TTACCCTATGGAGGTAATAATCCGTATGTAACACCAGATGTCCCGAGTGCAGGAAGGCCAGAACTTTTGGTATGATTGAGGCTAGAGTGGCAATGTACTTGTGTATGACTAAGCAAGGCACATTAAACTGTAAACCCCTTTAGGAACTAATATGAATGGTTCTAAGAAATGTATGAACTGCTTAGGAATATGTCAGCACTATATGAATCAGAGTATATTAAATAAGTAACAAAGGACTGAAAAGTATGTCCATGTACAGTATAGTATGCACTCAGTACTTGATTGGGGCTCCTTTTGCATGAATTACTGCATCAATGTGGCGTGGCATGGAGGCGATCAGGTGTTATGGAAGCCCAGGATGCTTCAATAGTGGCCTTCAGCTCATCTGCATTGTTGGGTCTGTTGTCTCATCTTCCTCTTGATAATACCCCACAGATTCTCTATGGGGTTTAGGTCATGCAAGCTTGCTAGCCAATCAAGCACAATGACACCATGATCATTAAACCAGGTATTGGTACTTTTGGCAGTGTGGGCAGGTGTCCTAAGTCCTGCTGGAAAATGAAATCAGCTTCTCCATAAAGCTGGTCAACAGATGGGAAGCGTGAAGTGCTCTAGAATTTCTTGGTAGAGGGCTGCACTGACTTTGGACTTGATATAACACAGTGGACCAACACCAGCAGATGATATGGCTCTCCACATCATCATGGACTGTGGAAACTTCATACTGGACCTCAACCAACTTGGATTCTGTGCCTCTCCACTCTTCCTCCAGACTCTGGGATCTCGATTTCCAAATAAAATGCAAAATTTACTTTCATCCAAAAAGAGGACTTTGGACCACCAAGTCTTCGTGCACCTTTTTCTACCATACTTTTTCCTTCCACTCAACTTTCCATTAATATGCTGAACTCTGAACAGCCAGCTTCTTTAATGACCTTTTGTGAATTATCCTCCTTGTGGAGAGTGTCAACTGTCAGGTCAGCAGTCTTTCCCATGATTGTGTAACCTACTGGGAGACCATTTAAAATCTCAGGAAAACTTTATAGGTGTTTTGACGTAATTAGCTGATTAGAGTGTGACACCTTGGGTTTATTTACTAAACCTGGTTGACTCAGAATCTTGGGCACCTGTGCATGGTAGCCAATCAGCTTCTAACCTTAGCATGTTCAGGTAAGCTTCAGCAATAAAACCTGGAAGCTGATTGGTTTTTATGCAGAAGTGGACAAGATTCTGAGTCAACCAGGTTTAGTAAATAAACCCCCTTGAGTCTACAATATTGAACTTGGTCACAATATTCTAACTTTCTGAGATACTGTATTTTGGGTTCTCATTAGCTGTAAGCCATAATCATCAAAATTAAAAGGAAGAAATGCTTGAAATATATCATTCTTTGTATAATGAATCTATATGATATATATGCGTTTCACTATTTGAATTGAATTACTGAAATAAATTAACTTTCTAATGATATTCTAATTTATTGAGATGCACCTGTATATGTTGTACATTCACATCAGTTCCTACCCTCAAGGAGCTAACAATCCAAGGTCCCTAACTCACAAACATATTAGGGCCAATTTAGAAAGGATCGAATCAACCTACCAGCATATCTTTGGAGTGCTTGAGGAAACTGGAGTACCCAGTGGAAACCCACACAGGCACAGGGAGAACATGCAAACCCCAAGCAGGTAATACCGTGGATGGATTTCAAACAGACTACCCTAGTGCTGCTCATTTGTATAATATCAGCATTGTAATAACAATACAAACTACAGTTATTTTTGACAATCCGATATAAGCTTATTAATAAACTCTCCTTTTATGTTGTGAGTGCTGCCTGTCTGCTAGCCATCTATTTCCACAACTTCCTGGATTCCTTGCAATAAAATAAACTTGCCTACTTGCTAGTAGTCTTCTCTAAAACATACACCGATGTGCACACCCGCAGCTCAGTATACATTCCAGCACGGTGCCTGCATGCTGGGATGACTGAGCTCCTGCATGTGAGCAGAAGTTACACCATCTTATGCTGACCAATCAAGATGGCCAAAGACCAGCACCAGAAAGGAGCTGGGGAGAAAGTACCGGAAGCAAATCTTGCAGGTCTTGGACTGTTGAAGCTAAGATAAGTATTGTGAACTTTACTTTCTCTTTTAAGTTAACATTTTAGCACAATTCCACTTTAAGGACCTTTAAACAGCATATATTTTAAAGAATCTAAGATTAGAAGAACCACAAATATTCTGGTGGACATGGAGTATTGATATTTGGTTGTATGGGCAGCAGTATTAAAAATACCACAAATTTTAGAACTTACTGTCTAAATAGCAATTGATGGAAAACAGCTAATTATTGACAGCTTTCTAAGATTACTGGACAATGGTGACTCCCAATGTCCTGAGCCCTACATTTACTTCTGGTGATAAATTATTTTGTACATCTGCCTGCCTAATGACAGTTCGATAAACACAAAGCCATATGAAGACAGAGCTCCAGAAATAAATACCCACCACTCCACATATGGCAGTAGTAAAATGGTAACTAAAATGTTGCTACTAATTTCCCCTGTAACACCTAAAACCTGGGCAATGAATTACATCTGCAGTCCCCAACCTTTTTTGCACCAGGGACCGGTTTCATGGCAGTCAATTTTTCTGGGGACTGGGGGTTGGAGTCAGTTCTCAGTCCCCCTTCACACCACAACTCTTTACAGCACAGTCCCCCTTCACACCACAACTCCCCTTTACAGCACAGTCCCCCTTTATATATGTGTCCACAGTGCCCCTTTACATCACAGTTCCCCCCCTTTAAAAGCAGTCCCACAGTGTCCTTAGTTCCCCATCACATCACAGTCCCCCTTTACATTATAGTGCCCCTTTACATTAATGTAAAGGGGACTGCACTGTAAATGGAGGTCTGTGATGTAAAGGGGGGATCTGATCTGAACAGGACTGCATTGCATAGGGGAACTGTGATGATTAGCACTGTGATCTTTACAGTGTAATCCCCTTTACGTCACTTTGCTCTTTTACATTACAGTGCCTCTAGCAATCACAGCACCCCCCCTCAATCACGGTGTCCCTTGCAGTCATGACCCCACTCCTCCTTTGCCACCTTTTACTCTCTGCCTCCCCTGCACAGTCCTACCTTTAGCAGTCCAGAGGCAAGATTCAGCCTGTGTGTCATGACGATGTGATCCTGTCAGCAGAGCAGGGAGCGAGAGGAGTTGCAGATCTGCCCGCTTGTTAAGTTTCCAACTCTCTGTGCAGATCTCCAGCTCCTTCCACCCCCTGCTCTGCTATCAGGAGAGCAGGGAGAACAGACAAAGGCATGGCCACACAGCGGGAGGTGAGCGGCGATCACAGTCTGTGATAGCCCTGTCTGGACTGTGGTCAACACTCACCTCCTGCTGTGCAGCCCATTCATCAACAGTCCACGGACTGGTGCCGGGAACCCCTGTATTACATAGTATGTAGTTAACAGAAGCTGTGTGGGTGTTTCATGCCATTACAGATAGTTTTTTCTTTTAAATCAGACAGATCCTGTCTGTTAGACTTGTAGTGAATTAATTGGATCAACAAGAAGTAAGCACTGTGCAATGAATGTGTAACAGGCAAATATTGCTGCCACGTGTGCACATATAATTATGTACCATACATAGAAAGAGGGGGCTGTGTCATATCCAATGTTACACCATACACACTATATGTTTATGACATGAAACAAAATGTTAGAACGGTGGAACTACCTTTCAATATGCAGTTGAGATATGTATATGATAGCTGTTTAAAGCAGTATTAAACCCAAAAGCGGCATTTATTATATTGCAGCTTGACAATTCTTAGGAGTGATGTCTGCGTTTGTTTTCTATTTTAGGCTCTTTTTCCTTTATTTTTATCTGGTGATCTGGTCAGCAAGTCATTTTTTTTTTTTCAAAAGAACAAGATCTCTTGCAGATGTAGCAGTTAGAGGCATGAAACAAATCATTTAGCACTGGCAGGGGTGTTTACATGATCAGCTTTTAACTATGTAAAACCTTTATCTCAAAAGTAAAAAAAAAAAAAATTGTCGCTGAAACTGCTTATAAGTGTGATCTGAAATTTGGCTTCAAATTCCACTGGAGGCACTTTAATACAGGATGTGTTACTGGCCAGATCACCAGGTGAAAACGGAGACAAGAAGCCTAAAAAAAAGAAAATGAATGCAGCCACCACATCTATTGATTAGTAGCCTGCAATAAATACAATTTTTTGTGCCTTTTTACTGCTTTAACCTACAGACCCCAACCCCACCAGACAGCACAGCCAACCTCATTAACATCCACTGCAGCAGCATACCTTCCCCCCCCCCCCCCCCCCCCCCCCCCCCACCCACACTACCTGACTGGAGCTCTCTCTGTTCACTCGGTCCTCTCCCGTGAATATGTTCTCATCCAGCACAGAACTGTTACAGAAATAAGGCTAAGTAGCAATCACATAAATTGGTCACAGATCCTTCCAACCATAAAAAAACGTTTTTAAGGAGCCAAAATGTTCCCATATGTAACAGGCACTATTGGAGAAGATTATACCTATGTAAATAAAAGTTACCATACTTCTTGCTGTATTAAAGTGCATCAATACTTGAGCTTGATATATCTCAAAATTTCTAATGTTCAACTTATTAAGTCACAAAGATTGCTATTTGCCATAATGACCCACTACTTTCAGCAAAGGACAACTGAAAATACGCAACACATGGCTGAAAAAGGTTCTCTACCACACGCCAATTGACTTCTGTCTAACTAGTACTGTATGTGTGTGCAGATACTGTATGTGTGCATGTGAAGAATGACCTTAGATTGTAAGCCTCTAGAGGGCAGGGACTGATGTAAATGTACAGTAGGTAAAGTGCTGTGTAAATTGTTGCTGCTATATAAATACCTGTAATAAATAATAGAAGTTATACTTATGCCAGTAATTACTGTACACATTAATGCATGTAATAAAATCAATACTCACTCTGTCATCGATGATTCTTGTCAGCCATCGCTTTGTCAGTTTGTGTCTCTGCACAGCCTGTGCACAGAAAATATGATAAGCATATAAACATTTTAGCATTCTCTATAGGCTCATTAAAATACGCAATTCTCGGGCATTTGAAAATTAAACAAAACTTGCTTCAAAGTCCTTAGCTTAGCACATTGTACTTCACTACATTCTATGAGAATAGATGGGATAACTACAACAGCAATGGTAGACTTTAGATTTCTGAGTACAGGTTTCCTTTAAAGGGCAAGTCCACTTTTGTGGGAACAAAATATAGCAAATAATAATAAAAAAATAATAAGCAATTGTTGCACAAGCCATAATGTAACTGAATGTTATTAAAAATTACCTTTCCTTTTCAGTCTGCAAATTTCTGTAAAATTCCATGCAATAGGGCAACCTAAAAGAATTCTGTGCACAGTTGGTGTACAGAACGGCCCCCAAAAATATCATTTTCTGCTTGTGTGATTGGCTCAGTAATTTTTGCAGAAGTGTGCCCCAAGATACAGGTCACATTTTAGGCATCCCCTGGAACAAAATTTTCTTTTTTGGTGAGACACTCCCAAAGCGTACTCACTTCTAAAGGGGTGCAGAACATGGAATTTTCCTCATTAGAACACTGCAGGTACATCAGCTGATTGATAATTAAAATGTCACTCCCATTCAGATTTACTTTGTACAAGACATGATGCAAAAAACAGCTATTCATTCAGAGCAGAAACAGGTAGGTATCCGCAACAAGGTTGGGAAAAATCATTGCAATGTACAATGATCACCCAGAGGGGATTGTTTTTCTCTTAACAAAAGTAGAGTTACTCTTTAAGTACCAATTATACAGATTGCTTCACAGTGATAGCTTCATATACTGGACAGCAATAGTTAGCTGCTTTTAGTATCAGCACTACACAAACAGCAAAATGTAAATACATGGTCTAGTCCTTCGTTATCCCTGCACTTTCAAAGAATGAGTGTCCGCAGATATACTGCATTCATGTTCCTTCCTAGTCCGACAAATTGATAATTCATCTACCTACTTCAATCAACTCTTCCTGATTACTGTCCTGATCTGACCATTGCATATGTTGGATACATAGTCATACTATAAACAGTAACACTTCACATGTAAAATGGAAAGTAATTGAATTTGCAATTAATTCACATATGCTAAACAAACAAAGGAAACCTTAGCTAATTCCAGAGCCACAGGGTGATGTGGAGGATTCTCTTGGTATATGTCTTGAAGAGTTTCCCTCCAGAACTGCATCCGCATCAGACCCAGGTTCTTCTGAGATACAGAGTCCTTCACCTTCCAAAAAAAAACCAAAAAGCGCAAGGGAGTCTATGAAAATCATTTCTCCTCATGCCATACTCAATAATCCAATGAATAAAAGTCTGTTTTTTTTTGTTTGTTTTTTTTTAAAATAAAGCCTTAATATTATTATACAGGGTTTATGCAGAGCTGAGAGTTTGAGTAGTACCTTACAAAACAGGGACAGAACAGTTACAACACAATTCAAGACAAGACCCTGTTCATGAGAGCTTACAATCTAAATGGAAGTGGTAAGGGGTACAAAAGGTAATAACGGTTTGGGGATGAGTTGATGGAGAAAGTGAAAGATACAGATATTAGTTTGAGGCAGGACAGAATTCCTTAAAAAGATGAGTTTTCAGGGAGTAGGAGATAGCCAAAATATATTGGGGTAGGGCATTCCAGAGGAAAGCATGGGAGGAGGTGATAGGAGAGCTAGAGAGCAGTGGGTCGTGAGAGAAGCGAAGTGGATGGTTTGGGTGATATTTTGAGAGGAGATCGGTGATATAGATCAGAGTAGAGTTATACGTTATAAAGTCATAGAAGGCTTTGGATGTTGTTGTTTGTACTGAGTTATATCCATAGAGCGAAAAGAAGCCAGAGGGGAGAATTCCAGAGAGGGGAGGTGAACACTGAACAGTTGGTCTGGTTCCTCAGCACACAGCTTGTCTATTCACAACGTATCTCCTGTGTACTGTGTGGAGGGGGGTGTCCCTTTTTTTTTGCCCTAAAATCAACACTTTTAAAAAGGGATGTACAAAAGAAGAAGACTGCAAAAAACAAGTAAAACCTATGTAGGAGGATGTGTTTCACCTCCGTATATCATCTGAGGTTATGCCATCTCCTCTCCACTCTAAACTACAACAACGCATAGACTCCTGCTAATTTCAGAACAAATAGTGTATATATATTTTTGTCTATGTTGATTAGTTCTCACCTCTAGTTGCACTCTCTTTATGACTGTGGCCTGTGTCTGGTCTGTGTTTGAGAAACATCCCCCCTATTCATGTGATCCTTATCAGTTCCTAATTGAGGCGGAGAAGAGTGCTCATTTGACCATCTCCCTATAAATTTAGATCAGCTCATGGGGGGAACAGTCACAGATGGGGTGCTGCTTTTGCGCGAGTGCTGCTTTGATGGAGTGCTAAGACGCAGTTGAACACAGCAGTCTAACTAAAGCAGGATAACTCAAGCAGCAGGAAGATAAAACAAGAAACTCTACGGCATGCTGGACGGACTGCAAGCAAACACCCTGGGAAACATCTCTTTGTGTACCTTTTTATTATGTCCCCTCTACTTCTCCTTTTCATATTACTTTCCTGCGTTACCAAAATCTCACTTCTTTACCCCAAAACTTGTACATCTCACCCTCACTGCTACCATCTCCCTACTACTGCTCTCATCACCTCCTGCTGATACTTCACTATCCTGCTGACCCAAACACCAGGACTGGAAGGCATGTACACTCGTGTACATCCCGCTCCCATCTTACTTTCCTCACACTTCTTCTTCTCCTAACCTCTGGGGATATCTCCCCAAACCCTGGTCCTCCACTATTTCACCCACACACCAGGCATCCTCTTTCTTCCAGGAATAGCAGCAATCCCCTCAATTTAACATCAGTCCCCGTGCTCCCAAAAACCACCCTCCCTTTTTCATGTGCGCTCTGGAATGCCCGCTGTCTGTAATAAGCTTACCTCTGTCCATGACCTTTTTGTCTCCCGCTCCCTTAACCTACTAGCAATTACAGAAACCTGGCTCCAAGCAGCAGATTCTGCTTCTCCCACAGCACTTTCCTATGGAGGCCTCATCTGGACCCACTCACTCAGACCCAGTGGTCAGAAAGGTGGTGGAGTTGGTTTGCTTCTATCCATACTGAGCACCTTTCAAGTCCTCCCTAACCCTCCCACTCTATCCTTCTCTTCTTTTGAGACTCACTGCACCCGGCTGTTTTCTCCCATTTCTCTGAGGATTGCAGTGATCTGCCTCCTGGACCGGTGTCCCGCTTTCTTGATGATTTCTCCGCCTGGCTACCCTACTTTCTCTCCTCTGAACTACCCACATTCTCGGAGATTTTAACATCCCTATTAATGTCAACAACCCAGCTACATCCCAACTCTTCATCTTAACCTCATCTTTTACATTAGCACAATGTATACAGTCCTCCACTCACTCTGGGGGGAATACATTAGACCTTGTTTTCTCCGATCTTTGCACTCCCTATAACCTCACAAACAACCCCTTTCCTCTCTCTGATCACAATCTCATCACCTTCACAGTCTCCTTGTCTTCAAACACCTATCCCTCCAAGCAGCAAACAATTACCCGCAGAAACCGTCACAACTTGAACCCTGCTCCTTTCCACTCTGCAACTGACCAACTCTATGACAGAATCTCTCTTCTGTCCTGCCCCAAACTGGCCACTGCTGTCTACAACAGTTTGCTTTCATCCACATTAGACTCATTTGCTCCTCTAACAACACGAAGCATCAGGCCCCGACCATTACAACCTTGGCAAACTAACGATACCAGAAATCTTAAATGACATAGTCGTGCGCTGGAGTGATTGTGGCATAAAACCAAATCCCAGCAAGCATTCACCCTATATAAATCTGCTTCCTTAACATACAATTCCTCCCTTCATGCTGCCAAACAAGCCTACTTTGTCACTCTTATTAATACCTTGTCATCCAGTCCTCGTCTCTTCTCTACTTTTAACTCTCTACTTTCTCCACCTCCAACTCCACCCAGTACTTCACTCACTGCTCACGAGATTGCAAATCATTTCAAAAACAAGGATTGACGCAATTCGTAGGGGCATCGCCACTACACAGACATCCATCCCACTTACCATACCTTATACTAAACCTCCCTCAACACTTTGCTCTTTTGACCTCGCTACTACAGATGAGGTCACTAAGGTTTTCACAGAAGCCCGTCTCACTACCTGTACCCTGGATCCTGTCCCCTCACAACTACTACGGTCACCCTCTTCTTCCATCCTATGCTCCCTCACTCACATCTTCAATCTTTCCCTCCCCTCTAAAGCATGCGCACATCACTCCCATACTTAAAAAGCCCTCCCTGGATCCCACCAACTGAACAACTTAAGACCCATCTCCCTGCTGCCATTTACCTCTAAATTCCTAAAACGCTTTCGTCAACAATCGCCTGAGCTCCCAGCTCACTGACAACAACCTTCTTGACCCTTTACAGTCTGGCTTTTGCTTACTACACTCCACTGAAACTGCCGTACTAAAACTCACTAATGATCTAAACAGCTAAAACCAATGGCCACTACTCCATACTCTTACTACTTGACCTCTCTGTGGCTTTTGATACAGTTGACCATCCCCTCCTCCTCAAAAAACCCCACTCTCTTGGCCTCAGAGACTCTGCTCTCTCCTGGTTCTCCTACTACTAATCGCAGCGATTTTTCAGCGCTACCTATAACGCTGCCTCCTCCTCTTCACTCCCTCTTTCTGTAGGGGTCCCTCAAGGTTTTGTCCTTGAACCCCTTCTCTTCTCCATCTACACCTCCTCCCTTGGCCACTTGATAAACTCCCATGACTTTAAGGTACCATCTCTATGCTGATGACACACAAATCTATCTTTCTACCCCTCACCTCTTCAGTCTCCTCTCACATTACTAACCTACTAAGCGACATATCGGTATGGATGTCACTCCACTTCCTCAAACTCAATCTTTCCAAAACTGAGCTCTTAGTATTCCCCCCAGCCCGTGCCCCCTCCCCTGACTTCTCCATCAAGATCAATAACACAATCATTATTCCCTCCCCTCATGCCAGGGTACTAGATGTAATCCAGACTCCCATCTGTCCTTTCATCCCCAAATCCAATCACTGTCCAAATCTTGTATACTTCACCTCCACAACATCTCCAAGATACGCCTGTTCCTAACCTCGGAAACCACTAAGCAACTTATTCACTTCCTTGTTATCTCTCGCCTTGACTATTGTAACTCCCTCCTCATTGGCCTACCTCATTGCAGGCTATCCCCTCTTCAGTCTATCATGAATGCTGCTGCCAGACTTATCCACCTTACTAACCGTTCTGTATCTGCCACCCCAGACAGTACAGCTACAATACAATCAAAATAAGAGGATTGGGAGGGCCCTACTCATAGGAGCTTACAATCTAATAGGGTGGGGCAAGTTGTACAAATGGTTACAGTTGATATAAAAAGTCTACACACCCGTTAAAATGTCAAGTTTCTGTGACGTAAAAATATGAGACAACGATAAATTGTTCCATTTTCCACCTTTAATGTGACCTATAAAAACTGTACAACTCAATTGAAAAACAAATTGAAAATAAATTTTTTGTAAACATAAAAAAAACTAAAATAATGAATAATGTGGTTGCATAAGTGTGCACAACCTCTTATAACTGGGGATGCAGCTGTGTTCAGAATTAAGCAATCACATTCAAAATCATGTTAAATAGGAGTCAGTACACACCTGCCATCATTTAAAGTGCCTCTGATTAACCCCAAATAACATTCAGCTGTTCTAGTAGGTCTTTCCTGACATTTTCTGAGTCGTATCCTACAGCAGAAGCCATGGTCCGCAGGGAGCTTCCATAGCATCAGAGGGATCTCATTCTTAAAAGGTATCAGTCAGCAAAAAGGTACAAAATAATTTCCAAGGCATTAGATATACCATGGAACACAGTGAAGACAGTCATCATCAAGTGGAGAAAATATGGCGTAACAGTGACATTACCAAGAACTGGACGTCCCTCCAAAATTGATGAAAAGACGAGAAGAAAACTGGTCTGGGAGGCTGCCAAGAGGCCTACAGCAACATTAAAGGAGCTGCAGGAATATCTGGCAAGTACTGGCTGTGTGGTACATGTGACAACAATCTCCCATATTCTTCATATGTCCGGGATATCAGGTAGAGTGGCAAGACCGAAGCCTTTTCTTACGACAAACACCCAAGCCCAGCTAAATTTTGCAAAAACACATCTGAAGTCTCACAAAAGCATATGGGAAAATGTGTTATGGTCTGATGAAACCACAGTTGAACTTTTTGGCCATAATTCCAAAAGATATGTTTGGGGCAAAAATAACACTGCACATCACCAAAACAACACCATACACACAGTGAAGCATGGTGGTGGCAGCATCATGCTTTGGGGATATTTTTTCTTTAGCTGGAACTGGGGCCTTAGTCAAGGTAGAGGGAATTAAGAATAGTTCCAAATACCAGTCAATACTGGCACAAAACCTTCAGGCTTCTGCTAGAAAGCAAAACATGAAGACAAACTTCATCTTTCAGCATGACAACGACCCAAAGCATACATCCAAAGCAACAAAGGAATGGCTTCACCAGAAGAAGTTTTGGAATGGCCCAGCCAGAGACGAGACCTGAATGTGATCAAAAATCTGTGGGGTGTTCTGAAGAGGGCTGTGCACAGGAGATGCCCTCGCAATATGACAGATTTAGAGTGTTTTTGCAAGGAAGAGTGGGCAAATATTCCCAAGTCAAGATGTGCCATGCTGATAGACTCATACCCAAAAAGACTAAGTTTTGGAATCAAATCAAAAGGTGCTTTACCATAGTATTAGTTTAAGGGTGTGCACACTTATGCAACCATATTATTTTAGTTTTTTTATTTTTGCTTCCCTCCACCTAAAAGATTTCAGTTGGTTGTTGAACTGAGTTGTACAGTTTATAGGTAACATTAAAGGTGGAACATGTAACATGTTATCCTTTACTATAGAATATAAAGGTAATTTACTGGCGTTATAGAATACCTACATGTGACAGTTCTACATTAAAGGCCCGCAGAGCCAACACAGAATTTTGGGATTCTGGAGGCAACAGCAATGTACATAAAAATCCTTCATAGTCCCGTTTCCTGCAAAAAAATAAACACACAAAAGTAGCTCAACTAATCATAATTCTTGTGGGGGATAACAGGTTAATCTACACAAAGCATGCACAAAACACTTCTTGCCCATGAAGCAGAGGCATGGAAAAAAACAGAAAGTGCACCGGCATTGTGCAAAATCCCCAATACATTTTTATTAAAAACGATATCTTGTACTCGCAAACAGGACCTGGTGTAACATGAAATCCATTCAAGTGGAAGCTTGCTCAGAACAATAGGCACACATATCACACTATCAACCCCATACAGCAGAATGTAAATCCTGCTTCAATTGTGCACATTGCACATTTCAAGGGTATACCAGCTATTCAGAGCAACTGAAAGTGCACAAGTCTGCATTCAAATAGTCCTTCATTGAAGATGTCACATGGTGTACTTTCAGCATGTTTTATAGCATTGTTCAAGGTTTTCCCAGTCTGGAGGGAGCTGCTAGGCTGTGCATTTTATATTGTATTCAGTCATTTATGAGAGCCATTGAGTGCTCTCTGGACTGAAGTAACCCAACCAAATCTGGCTGATAAAAGACATGAATAGGAGCTGGTTTACCTTTCTAAAGTATTTGTAATTTTTAACTGTGTATATATTGTTTGCCTAGAGTTCCGTGTTACAGCACAAAAAAAAAAAAGTTTTACATTGGGGATTTTTTTTTTATATTAAGTTTAAAAACGAAACTTTACTCTCTCAACCAACATTGACTAATTTTAATCCTTACGCTGCTAGCATTAGTAAATGGGTAGTAAATGGATATCATATTTACTTCTTTTAAACTTTTTTTTTTACATTTCTTCATTTACTTCCTGATGTCATATGTCCCAGGAGTCTACAAGAGGGGTTTTCTCACCTAAGCACACCCTCCTTCCTATCTGCATGCCTGAGCTAAGGGCGGATGGATTCCAGGTAGTAAACGCTACATAAATCATTTTCCCTTACTCAAGATGGGCATGGCCAGAAATGCTAAGGGGAGTGTTTTTCAAAGTGATTTCTCAGCAAAATAAAGCATGGAGACATGGGGGAGTTTGCATTGAACATTAAGAATGACTTAAAGGATGTGTTCATCGTTAAAAAAAAAAAATGCAAATTTTTTTTACTTGGAAAAAAAATTAGCTTTTTTTTTTTTCAAAAGGAGCCTGCAGAGCATTGCACCCATGATCAGCAAATTGCGGATGTAATGTCAGGCTCCTGCAGACTCTCAGGATAGCGGTGTGCCCGTACCTCCGGGCAGGAGGTTACTTGAGAGCCCCAGAAGATCAATGAACTACAAGATTGCTCTCCCGTGCTTCACTGAGAGCAGGGGTGAGGACATTTTTGAAAAAACTTCTTGTCCAAAGGACAATCCCTCATGACAATCTACTTGTCCTGATATTAAAAAAAATATTTTAACCACTTCCCGACCGGCCGTTGCATATAAACGGCTGGACGGTGGCAGTGCGGGGTCGGGTGGCCGTCTATAAACGGCCTCCCCGCACCCTGCTTGTGCGCGCAGCACCGCGATCCGGTGCCCACTGTGTCCTCCGGATCATTGCTTACTACGTGTGAAATCTGTGAATGATCACAGAGGTCACATGGTACAAGGCTATTCACAACAGCCTTGTACCATGTGACAAGCTGTGACCAATCACAGCTCACTCAGTACTTCTCAATGAATGCAGACAGAGAGAAAGAGAAATGATTGCTTTTACATCCTATATGGGTGTAAAAGCAATCAGTGTAAAAAAACAAAAACAAATCATCACCCCCCACAAGTAGTACAGTGTCACCATGGTGACACTGTACTGCTAGGGTGACAGTATGTTAAAAAAAAAATTTTTGGACTTTTTCATTTACATAGCAAAAAAAATAAAAATCCCAGCGGTGAATAAATACCACCAAAATAAAGCTTTATCTGTGTCAAAAAAAATGGTAAAAAATTCATATGGGTCCAGTGTTGCATGACCGCACATTGTCATTCAAAGTGTGATAGCGCTGAAAGCTGAAAATTGCCCTGGTCAGGAAGGGGGTAAAAGTGTCCGGTCTGGAAGTGGTTAAGCAAAACTGTATTTAAAAAAGGTTTTAACATTGCACTGTTTATCTCCTACTCACCTCCCTGCCTATCTCCAGCACCAAACTAACAAGGAAGGGGAGAGACCTCGCAGTGTGAAGAGCACCGGTTGGGTACTCATCAGGAAAGGTGATATCGGGCTTTTTTAATGCTCAGCAGAAGAGCATCTGCCGAGTAAATGAGATGCTGGCCCCAATATGAAAAAAAAAAAAAAACACCACAGCAAATCGCATGAAGTGAATCTTGTCACTCAATAGACGCTCCTCCTCATGACAATCGTGGCAAAATTGCACTGCATTTTCGGTGCCATTGAAAATAATGGCATCTGAACCTGCATTTTGCGATTGTAGTGTGTTTAAAGATAGCAGGCAGAATCACAGCAATTCTGCCTGATCTCAAAATGCCCAGGTGTGAATAAAGCCTTAGGCCTAGTTCACACTGATGTGAATCTGATGCAGATGAAATGCGATCTGAAACGCAAGTAAATTTGCATGGCATCTGAAAAAACATTGTTTTCTATGAAGGCCATTCACATCTATACGGTGCGATTTTGATCCGGTTAAAAGAAAAGGGTCCTGTGCGAGATTGGAGCAATGCGTTCCAAACTCACACAGCATAGAGTATAGTGGCATTCTAAGATAACTATTCACATGGGATGCGATTCATAGCTGGTATTTCATAGATGTGGCTGAAAGGCAGACTTGCATGGAACTACCTTTGACAATAATACTGAAAATGGACATGAAAATCGCACTACATAAATTAAAAAAATTGTATAAAAAAAAAAACCCACTAGCCCAGAACTGCATGTCCCAAGCATTGAGCGATATGATTTGCACATCCCTGGAGAGCTACAAGCCTTCAGCAGCAGTGGATGATGATGATGAGACGAAACCCAAAACAGGAATGGTTTTACAGGTGGAGGCCACTGACATTTTTTTCCCTACTCACCTTTTCTGATTGTTTTTCACTAGTTTTGCATTTGGCTAGGGTCATTGTCACTACTGGTAGCATGAGGCGATACCTGGACCCTACAGAGGTTGCACAGGCAGTCCAACTCCTCCAGGATGGCACATCAATACGTGCCATTGCCAGGTTTGCTGTGTCAAGAGCATGGAAGAGATTCCAGGAGACAGGCACTTACTCTAGGAGAGTTGGACAGGGCAGTAGAAGGTCCTTAACCCATCAGCAGGACCGCTATCTGCTCCTTTATGCAAGGAGGAACAGGATGAGCACTGCCAGAGCCCTACAAAATGACCTCCAGCAGCCCACTGGCGTGAATGTCTCTGACCAAACAATCAGAAACAGACTTCATGAGGGTAGCCTAAGGGCCCAACCTTCTCTAGTGAGCCCTGTGCTCACTGCCTGGTACCATAGAGCTCGATTGGCATTTGCCATTGATCACCAGAATTGTCAGGTCCACCACTGGCGCCCCGTGCTTTTCACAGATGAGAGCAGGTTCACCCTGAGCACATGTGACAGAGGTGAAAGGGTCTGAAGAAGCCGTGGAGAATGTTATGCTGCCTGTAACATTGTTCAGCATGACCGTTTTGGTGGTGGGTCAGTGATGATCTGGGGAGGCATATCCATGGAGGGACACACAGACCTGTACAGGCTAGACAATGGCACCCTGACTGCCATTAGGTATCGTGATGAAATCCTTGGACTCATTGTCAGACCCTATGCTAGTGCATTGGGTGCTCGGTTTCTCCTGGTGCAAGACAATGCCAGGCCTCCTGTGGCGAAAGTATGCAGGCAGTCCCTGGACGATGAAGGATTTGATACCATTGAATGGCCCCCACGCTCGCCTGACCTAAATCCAATAGAACACCTCTGGGATATCATGTTTCGGCCCATCCGCCGCCACCACCAGGTTGCAGGACTGTCCAGGAGCTCAGTGATGCCCTGGTCCAGATTTGGGAGGAAATAGCCCAGGACACCATCTGCCGTCTGATTAGAAGCATGCCCCAAGGTTGTCAGGAATGCATACAAGCATGTGGGGGCCATACAAACTACGGAGTACCTTTTTGAGTTGCTGCAATGAAATTTCAGCAAAATGGACTAGCCTGCTGCATCATTGTTTTCTCTTTGATTTTAAAGGTGTCTTTGAATTCAGTCCTCTGTAGGTCGATAATTTTCATTTCCATCAAGCGATGGGGAATCCTTACATTCCTAACACATTACCCAGTCCATATCAGTATAGATATCCAGCATGATATTTTCCCATTGAGATCTGATGTGTTTTCAAAGTGTTCCTTTCATTTTTTTGAGCAGTATATTTAAATAGCGTTTTTTGTTTGTGGTGCTCAGATGCAATGTAAAAAAAGAAAAAAAAAAAATCCAAGATTTCAAAAAAGCATTAAAAGTTTTTTTTCTTTTATGTATAAAAACTTGTTGGTCCATCAATACGTTTTTAAGGGATTGACAAATTTACTTTGAATCTGGAAGCCAGCTAAAAACGTTAGGAGACAGTTTTTTAAATCAGCTGCCTGGCGCCCGGAATTTTCGGGGCATCTGGCAATAGGAATTGCTCATGCCTTGTGCCAGGCTTGGACTGGGGACAAAACTAGGCCTGGGCATTTTAGACTGAGCAGCCCAACCTCTGTTGCCATTCCCACTTCTTTCTTCACCCGAAACCAAAACGAGGCATGAAACTGGCCTGAAGCCCGCCCCTCTGTACCCTAGACAGCATGTCGAAAGTAAAGCGTGGAAACATAAGCCATGTAGCCAAACCACATTGTATCCATCCCTTGGAACGTCTTGGTCCACCCCCTTGCCAGTGATTGGCTGAGCCCTGAAGCTGTCAGTGTCTTTTGAGCATGCGTCGTGGCATCCCTACGACGGCTCATGTTTGAGTTACGGTGCTGTGGTTGTGCCTGTCCGCCATGTCCCTGCACGGGACACGGAAGGAGATGTACAAGTACGGGGTGCCATGGACCATGCATGCCATGAACTGGAGCACGAGGCCGGACAAGAGGTTCTGGTTGGCTCTGGGCAGTTTTGTGTAGGAATATAATAAGGTAACTAGGGGAAGGAAAAAAAGAAGGAAAGAAAAGTTACAGTCCAGCCAGCTAGCTTGCTATGTGGGCAGGCTGGGGTGACAGTGTATGTTCATCTTTACAGAAAATCTGTAAGGTGACCTTACACTGGACCCCACCCCCCCTGGTCTCACTGTAAAAATGTCCCGTGATCCCCCGCTGTCATGCACCAGGGCGCTGATTTACCGGTCCAGGGATTTGAAATCTCTGCAGCTTTCTCTCCTCTCAGCACTGACAAGACGGGCTAGGCAGACTCTGATTGGTCAGTGCCATCCACGTGATGGTGCTGACTGACTAAAATGCCTCTTGTCCATACACATTGAGAGGTATGGATAGGAGATTAAGCCACAGGGATTTCAAATCCCTGGATCAGTGAAGCAGCGTCCCAGTGCCAGACAGCGGATGGCTGACAAAGCCCAGGCGCCAGGATGCAATTTCTAGTCACCATGGTGACCTGGGATTTGTCGAGCCCTGTCATAAACTATCCTATAAAGTGGAAAAACCTTATTGACCAATAATTGCCAGGCTCCCCATGGGGAGAATTTACTGAAAATACACCAGGAAGTGACAGAAAATGTCTCCAAAGTTAGGAGAATAACGATCACCAGGACAAGATAGACTTTATTATAAACAATGCATGTCATGTATCACATGACTGTCATATGCCTTTAAGTGTTTCTATATTATGTTTCTGCTCCTCCCTTTCCTTTGGTTTAGTTAATGCTGTATAGATAGCCCTCCCCCTTTCCCAGAAATGCATTGCAGCTCTAGCCTCATGGCATGAAGTAGATCACATTATGATCTTTTGACCTATCGAATGTTCATTGTTGTAAGATTCTCTCAGTTTATGGAATAAACTTCACAAGATCTGCAAGATGTCTTATCGATTGAGTCACTGACTGTGTTATCCAACTGAGGTTGAAGTTATCGCTATCTCATCACAACTGTAAGTTACAGAGATCACAATATCAATGCTTAGATGGGAGAGACAGAACAATGCATGTAACGTGTGCATCACACAACAGTGTGCTTCAGCACTAGGACTTGATGCACATGTATGTGTGTCGAGAACGTGCAGAAAATCACATGCTTTCCTGACACATGCAAAAACATGCTACTCTTTAGCAGATGTGCAGGGGGGTGCCCGTGACACGCATTGGCTATCTTGCCAGAAAAAAACACACCTTGCTGTTCAGAGAAGTGCAATTTTTTCCAAACGGTTGGGGACGTCTTTTCCCCGCGTTTCTCACAGGTAGGGCAGTCCACTGAAATTAACAGGCAGCCATACATGCAAGGCGCAAAAAATGTGCATAAAATGAACCCTCATAGATGTGACCCAAGGCAAAAGGCTCGTTCACAGGGATAGTGACCCTTGTTGCCCCTCTGAAAGGCGATCTGCAGGGACAGGCAGTGAGGAGGCGATGCACTTGAAGAAGCCACATTTGCAGGCCACACCGCCTGCCAAATACAACATGCTGTTTCATTTTTGCAGTGGCCATGGCATTTGTACAGGCACAGCCCTAGTTTAGGTGGGTAATCAAAAAGCGGTAAACCCACAGCTCAACCACCTGTTTTTATCGCTCCTCCGGCAGCCCCATGTAAATGAGCCCCAAGCCTGCATTCACACCTGAATGACACTATGCGTTTTGCGTTGCATATTTTAGATGTACTTATTGCCTGACAGCCTATTGACTTGAATGGGCTGCTTGTTGTGAGCCAAACTAGCTCAAGTACCATTTTTTTGGTAACGAGCATTTTATTTCATGGAAAATGTCACAAAACACGCAACTGCTATCCGTGTTTGGGGTGCTATTAATCACTTTCCCGCACCCTAGAGCAGAAATACTGTGACAGGGCTGCTCAAAATCACGCATATATATATATATATATATATATATATATATATATATGTGTGTGTGATTTTGAGTCACCTGACAGTTTCAGCTATCAATCACTGGGTCCCGGCTGGTGATTCCCCACAGGCAATCACCGAATATCACTAATGGGGGAGAGGTCTGTATGTACACAATACAGATCTCTCCCCTGTCAGCTCCAGCACACTGCTTCGTATGGCTCTGCATAGCACAGCCATACAAAGCAATGTGCTGACACAGTGAAACACACACACACACAGAACACAGTTAACCCTTTGATCGCTCCAGATGTTAGCCCCTTCCTGCCCAGTGCCATTAGTAGTGTCAGTGTTTTTTATTAGCACCGATCACTGTACTGGTGTCACTGAGGATGTCAGTAACACCAAGTCAGTTCCACCCAGTGCCAGAAAGCACGCCACAGTCCTGCTATAAGTTGCTGATCGCCGCCATTACTAGTATAAAAAAAAAAAAAAATTCCAGTATATATACCGCCATTTGTAATCGCTATAACTTTCACGTAAACCAATTAGTTTACACATATTGTGTTTTGTTTTTTTTGTTTTTTTTTTTTTTTAGCAAAGATATGTAGCAGAATACATTTTGGCCTAAATTTGACAAAATTTGATTTTTAATTTTTTTTATTTTTACTGGATATGTTTTATAGCAAAAAGTCAAAAAAAATATTGTTTTATTTCTCAAAATTGTTGGTCCTTTTTTTGTTTATAGCGCAAAAAATAAAACCCGCAGAGGTGATCAAATACCACCAAAAGAAAGCACTATTCATGGGAAAAAAAAAAGGGACGTAAATTGGACAACAGGAACATAAAAAGAAAATTGGGGGGCAGCATTGCATGATCACGCAATTGTTAAAGTAACGCAACGCTGTATCGCAAAAAATGGTTAGGAAAAAAATGTTGCCACAAAGGCGAGGTGCGGGCAGAAAGGTGCATTTCTCTCCGCGTTTCCACGTTGCTCAGGTATGAATACAGCCAACAACCATACAAAGTATCTGATAAAAGGAACACTTTTGATACAGAGATCCACAGGGAAGGACTACAGTGAAGATTCTGCTGGGGAGGAATTTACTGCAACTGGAGCAGCTGTGCACAGTAACCAATCAGCTCCCATCTTCGGCTGGTTCAGTTACGTTTTGAAAATGAAAGCTAGAAGCTGATTGGTTTGCCATGCACACCTGCTCCAGTCCCCCCTATAATGTCTGTACACAGAGGAGCTCAGCCATGCGGTCCCTCCCCTCGACACTACCTGACCAGCTCCGCACAGTAGGCGGCCGGCTTGCCGCTCTTCCCCCGGCTGTTCCGCGGGTACACAGGTGACTGGAAGCGCAGCATTGCCCGCACTGCCATGACAAAGTCACCCCGGCGGCCGGGGGCGGGGCTTCAGCGCTTCAACTCACTTCTCATTGGGAGAAAAGTTCGCTACACAGGCCGTAACGTCAACACCCGGTGCCCGTGTTATCGTCATGTGACTCGAAGTGACGCGTTTTACAGGCGCCGGATCGTCTCCATAGATTATTTTTCTCTTTTCCCCTGTTGGTGTGTGGAGCCGGTGAGTGTTCGGGAAGAGAGCTGAGGGAGGGGCTTCCACCCGGGGGTGTGATGTACTTCTTCCCATTCACTCCCTGTGTGCACACAGCTGTCCCTGGGAGGGGCTCAGGACTTACACCATAACATAATAGTAAAGTGAATAACATTCATTATCTCGTTGCAGTGGCACCCGAATGTGGGTGGGATGTATTAGGCGGCAAGTGAACATGTTGTCCCTGAAGTTGATGCGTTGAAAGCAGAAAAAATGGACAAGCATAAGGAGTTGGGCAGCCTTGACAGGGGCCATATTGTAATGGCTGGGTCAGAGCAACTCCAAAACTGCAGCTCTTGTGGGATGTTCCCGATCTGCAGAGGTCAGGACCAACCAAAAGGGACAGGGTCATGGACGACCAAGGCTCATTGATGTACACAGGGACTGAAGGCTGGTCCCTGTAGTCTGATCCAATAGAAGAACTTCGCTATCATAAATCACTCACAAATGGTTCCTATAGAAAGGTGTCAGATCACACAGAGCATCACAGATTGTTGTGTATGGGGCTGCGGTGTCACAGACCGGTCAGGGTGTCCATGCTGACCCGTGTCCACAGCCAAAAGCGCCTACAATGGGCACGTGAGCATCAGAACTGGACCACGGAGCAGTGGAAATGGGTGGCCTGGTCTGCTATATCACATTTTCTTTTACATCATATGGAAGGCTGGGTACATGTGTGTCGCTTACCTGGGAAAGAGATGGCACTAGGATGCAGTTTGTGAAGAAGGCAAGCCAGTGGAAGCAGCGTGATGCTTTGGGCAATGCTCTGCTGGGAAACCTTGGGTCCTTCCATTCATGTGGATGCTATTTTGAAACATACCATCTACCTAAACATTGTTGCTGACCAAGTACACCCCCTCATTGAAATGGTATTCCCTGATGGCAATTGCCTCTTTCAGCAGGATAGGTTGCCCCACCACACTGCAAAAATGGTTCAAGAATGGTATCAAGAACACAACAATGAGTTTGAGGTGTTGACTTGGCCTCCAAATTCTCCAGATCTCAATCCATCGCGCATCTATGGGATGTGCTGGACAAATCGGTCCAATCCATGGAGACTCCACCTCACAACTTAAAAGATCTGCTACTGATGACTTGGTGTCAGAAAGCATAGCACACCTTTAGAGGTCTAGTGACGTCCATGCTTCAGCAGGTCAGGGCTGTTTTGGTGGCAAAAGGGTCTATTTTGACAGTAAAAGGGGGACCCACTGAATATTAGTTGGGTAGTCACAAAGGTATGACTGCTCAGTGTTGGGCTCTTAATGGAAGTTTAAAAATAACAGACGTGGGCTAGATTCACACTTGCTGGTGATTGCCACTGTGGGACCACACCTGTTCCTGCAGCCACACCCACCTGCACAGAAAAATGTGCTGCCACTAAGGAGATGCGTGAGGGTGCCATTAATCCTAATAGCAGCACCCTTGCACTGGAAACTTCAGCATGGCTTCCCACACTGGGAACCTCACTGCACCAGGCAGCATCTTCAAAACTAGTGCTGGTACCTTTTCCTTGCGTTTTCAGTAGGTACAGCAGTCCATTAAAATGAATGGGCTGCCATTTGTGTACAAAACACAGCTTGCAGATCCACACAAGTGTGAACCTAGCCCTACTGGCCAGATCACAAGATAATAGAGCGAAGTTACAGGAGGACTCAGAAAAACAAAGACTTGTGTTAATGCTACTAACAGGCAGTGCTACATATGTCGTTTTTATTTGGTCATAGCTACACTGTAACCATAAGCTTTGCTTACACATTTGGGAGATTCCAGTAGCCAATTAGAGTGGCAGGAGGAAGAAGGCTCTGGGCTCAAAGAAAAGAATTTCAAATTTTGACAGTTAAAGAAAATGATTGCTTGTAACAAATGGAACTTTTTGATAACTGTAAAAAAAAATGACAGTTATTTATGTTATTTCCATTTTTAAAATAGAACTGCAGGCAAACTGTTTACATATGATATCTGTTTTAACTGCCACAATATTTAAAATATTGCATTCAAGCGTCAGGTCCGGGGGGGGGGGGGGGGGACCTTTATCAATTCAGTGAGATAAGTTGTACAAAGATTTACTTAAAGGTTAAAGCTTGAGTCATACCTTCCTCCCCCAGATACTCTAAAGTTACACTGCAACAGAATGGAAACCTGTCTCTGTTTAGAGTGAAAACCTGTCTCATCTAAATCTGTCACAGACCTGCACAAATATTTTTCATGGGACTGCCCGGGAGTACAGGTGAATGAATCACAAATACACAGAAATACTATAAGGGCTTGTTGACCCTAGTGGTTGGGAGCAGTAAAACCCTGCGGTTGAGCTGTGTTTTCACTGCCCTCCTTTTAGCTGCAGAGGCAGCAGCTAGGGGTTTACACATGCCACGTTGTTTTGCTTCATGGCCATGGCAGGAATTGTACTCCCTGTTGCTTTCAGCGGGTGTAACGTCCGCAGAGTCTACCCATACAAGTGAAAGGGGCTGTTCTGAAAGCACCCCGCAACAATGTAAAATGCACACAGTTGAACCGGGGTTCAAGGGGTTAAAGCGGGTAGTGAGGAGGTTATACAATGCCTCCTCACCACCTGTCAAATGCGCTCTGAAGAGTGATCTGAACAGAAATTGCTCTTCAGAGACCATAGCAAATGTGAACAAACCCTAACAAAGATTTGTTTGTAATATTGGTACTTTTTATCTTTAGCTGTGCTTGGTCTGGACTTGGTTACGAAGCCCTATCATGGCAAAATGCGTCATTGGGCAGTGCTTGGGCTGTTAGTGAAAAGACCTTGAAAAAAATTGTTCCAAAGGAGTGTGCGGCCTTCCTTATAAAGATACTGCAGTGTAGTAGAGCGAGGATGGGCACTTATATACCTATATCATCCTAGATTGGGAGGAGGAGCGGAGCTTTACATTGTGGATGCTACAACAGTAGTATTGGTGCTAATTTTCTTGATAAATATTACCCACTGTTTCCTGGTTCTTCATTGCAAATTTTCCATGCTCCCCTATGTAGCAATCGTGTACACAGAGATGGATGCGGTCATCCATTTTGATCCAAACCCCTCCATCTTGTATCTCTCTCTCCCAAATCAGATTCCTCCGATATCCCCCCTCCCACTCTGTTGAGTGACATGTGGTCTATTTGATGCAGAGATCCCAGGCAGCAAACTCATTGGGAGGGCGTCCTGGCTATAAACCCCAATAAGCTGGTGCCCATATGTCTGCGAGACCCTTGCTTGGAAAGGGATCGTAAAGCCATAAACCAAGTCCCTTGCTGAGCCTCAAAGACATTCCAGATAAGCAATAAAGCAGACATCACATTCAAGACCCACTTTCCCCTATTATTACATATCTTGGAATATGAGAGACTTGCATAAAAACCAGGCAGATATTCAACCCGGTCACTTTAATACAAGTCGTCTGATATATTACACCCCCTATCTGACATATACAGGAAAGCAGAAAAGTATATCTCCTTAACCGTCACAACAGGTATGTCATATTTCATCTGTAGACATTCAGCAGAAGATTCTGCGTATTAATCTACTCATGTATAGAATGTTATATGTATCCAGGGTAAGTTATGAACCATGACATCAACTGTGAGGGTTTTTGGTCATAGCTTGGGTCTCCGCCTGCAACACCTGCCCAAATGAGGCGATTGGTTTTCTGCTTTAGGGAGACACCCTGCTGAGTTCCTAGAAAAAGCTAAGCTGAGTTAAGCAAAGTTGAAGATTCTCCCTTTTAACATCGGAACTAACTTTGGGAGATAATACCCTTTTGGCTCAGGAAACCTAATCTGATTAGACCAAGGCTGACGGCAAGTACTTTATCCCTCTAAACTTCTTTCTGTAACCTTTTTGCTGTGTTATTGCTCTCTGTTTATATATATATATATATATATATATATATATATATATATATATATATATATATAGACTACATCTTTTTCTGTAAATATTTTGTATTACACCCTTTTGACCTTTTAGTAATAAATCTTACTTTCTGAAAGTGTTGAACTGTTTGTAAAGCTCTTTAATGCAAACTAAGAACCCCTGCCTCTGAAGAGCGCTACTGTGTGTGTGTTTTAAACTAAGGTATATCTCTGCCTGTGGTGACAGTGGTATACTGACGCTTATGCAAACATCATAGTGTTATTGCTGAGTTTCCTCTTTCTCTGTACAAAAAGGAGGTGGTGGCAGTGTGAAGAGTTAATTGCGTAATTAACCTGACCCAGTAACAATCGCTCCCAGGCTGCAGATACACAGATTGTGGTCCATTAGCTGGAAAATCTTTGTGCAGAGTGCAGCTGGGCGTGGCATTGTTACGCACGTGACAGCGTGGTTTTGGATTGGCTAGTCCTTCCGTCACGAGTTTGGTGAGCAGGGCTGGGTTCTGACACCGCGATCATCACACCCTATATCTCTTTGCCTCCAACTTGCACACAGGACAGTGATCATAGGTATCATCATCCCTATTCATTTCATGGTCAAGCTAAACAAGGAAGTGGTACTGGTCTTTGAACTGAACATGCTCAAAAGACTGGCTGCATAGTTTCTTTTTACTTTACATGTGTGCTTGAAGCTGTTAGACTGGTGTTCCACTTGGAGCTGTTTCCATACACTAAACTGATGATGGCCAGTAAGCATGGAATTGGAGTTTGGACAAAATTGCTAATAGTAGGATGTATATGTGCTTCTAACAAGCCGTTCTAGATGCACTGTTGGCTTTTGGAATATAAATTAATTCCTCTCACTGTTTACAGATATGGAATAAATCCTCTTAGTTTTTGTATGTACCTTCTGATTTTTGAAGGCACTGTTGTACTTTACCTAGATTTTGTAGATTGATTTTTGGCTCCTTTAGTCCATCTTTAGCATAACTAGCTGGTTATATGCAGACATTTGCCGTATTTTCACTCTAGCATATTACTTTGGCTCAGACATCTCTCATCTCTTTGCAGGCTGAAAACATGAAGAAGAAAAACCCAGGAAGTGAAAAGGTTCAGGCGAAGAAGATGAGCGCAGAAGCTGCGGACAGAGAGGCCGCAACTTCGAGCCGGCCATGTACTCCTCCTCAGACTTCATGGTTTGAATTCTTACTGGATGATTCATTGCTGGAGGCTCACCTACAGAAATCTTCTCCAGGTGCTGGCTTTTAGTTTTGTCTGCAAAGTATTCAGTGATTTGGTGCATTTGGCTTTCCGAATAAGACCTGTGTTACTGAAGCAACTAGCATGTTCTTCTGTGAACCCCATTAAGGGACTTGCTGGGAAAGTACCAGAGAAATCTCATTCAGGGGTTTTCCTTTGCAGCAGCATCTTTTAGTGTTATATGCAAACCCGAAATGTTTTAAAAATTAGGGATGTCAATGCAGCCTTGGCTGCAATCCGTATGATCATGAATTGACTGTGAAGCAGAGGCTTAAATGTTCCTTCACACCTATCCATTTGTGTTTTACTTGTGTTAAAGCTAGCATTTTACTTCACAAAAAAATGCAGCACATAGCAATACCTTGCCTAAATGTCAGTACCTTGCAGTACTAGGGTCCCTAGTTTGCATCCTACTTGGGACACTAGGTGCATGGAGTTTTCATGTTCTAGCTGTATGGAGTTTTTTCCGGGTACTCCGGTTTTCCCCCACACTCCAAACATGCTGGTAGGCTAATTGTCTCCTGTTCAAATTGTCCATAGCATGTGTATATATATGCATGTGAGATAGGGAACATTGATTGTAAGCTCCCTGAGGGCAGCGACTGATGTGAATGATAATAAAAGAAATTATACACATAAAATAAAACACACTTCTGCTATAGCCTACCACAGTGCACAGATGTGAATGTACTTAATGAAGCTCTTAGTATTTGTGTTTACTTCGATTTTAGTTCTGTTATAGGTTTTTTATAGAATATATATCTATCTGTAATGCTCTCTATTGTTTCATCTGTATTATATACTTCAAACTAGAATTCATCTAACAGATTGCTTTTTTGCTGATTTATTTATCTTTAGGCAGGCCATAGACGGGCCAATTTTCGGCCGATAAACAAAAAATCGGCTGGCCCCATTGCCGATGCTGCCACCCATGTCCACGAAAAACGTCCGTTTTTTGCGAATTTTCCAGCATGACCGATAAAATTAAACGAGAAGATCCGCAAAAAACAGCCTACAGGCTGGCCCCACTAACTGGGTGAATATCGGATGATTTTTGTGCGGATGAAAATTTGGCCGATTAACGACCCGTCTGTGGCCTGCATTACTCTTTTGTTACTGTTGTGGAGTTTACATAACAGCAAGGTGTGCTTTACTGTTTAGGTTTAGATGTCAGCATTGCTCACAGAAAACTGTGTGGCGATCTCTTGGGGCAAATGCGTATTGGAATAAAGGAGTTTACCCAGCATATATTCACTCACATGCACATTATGTTACTGCTGCACAGTGATGATAAACTTGCTGCTCATGTTGTAAATGCATTGGCTGTTGTGTTATCACTGTACCTCAGGTCAATTGGGTGAATGTTATTGCACATAAATATGTGTGTGTTTGGGCCCTAAAGATGCCAATGTCTTTTATTAAAAAAAAAAATATTTTTAAACCTCATGATACCTTTTGACCTGTTCATTTAATGATTTGAAGATTTTCTATCCTTAGATCCACCACCTGTTCAGCTGATTGTCCAGTTTCTAGAGCAAGCCTCCAAACCCACTGTAAATGAGCAGAATCAAGTACAACCCCCTACCGACAACAAGAGAAATCGCACTCTGAAACTGTTGGCTTTGAAAGTGGCAGCTCACTTAATGTGGGACCTTGATGTGCTGGAGAAGAGGTATGCATGTACTCACAAGTAGGATAGAATTTGGGTGTATTCAGATCCTAGTCCAAACCCACCTGAGCAAGTTCACCAAAAAGTGGTCACTTTACTGGCCAGTCATATGTGGCCCAGGCATTCCCTGTCCCGTGGCTGCACATATACATACCCCTTATTTACTTGCAGGTGCAGGATGGGAATGCCCAAGCCACAGATGATTGGCCCAATAGAGCTTACTGATGGGCTCACACAGGTAGATTCGGGCTAGAAACCAACCATGAAATGTCAAAAGCTCCTGCGCATGGGAGTGGGAGACTGGAAACAGAGATAATCAGTGTAAACCAGATATATATGAAAATTCTAAAAAGTAGGCCAAGCCTTACTGCTCTTGTGTATGACTGGGGAAGTCCAGAGAAAACTGCAGAGAAAATAAAACAAGCGCACTGGCCTAGCGCATTCTTTCAGATACAAGTTTATTAAAAAAGTGATAAGATTATATACTCACAAACGAGTGAAGACAAAATCGCAAGTGACAGTCACTGAGTGTGTATTCCACACAGAGCTAAAGACCCCGACATTAAAGAAGTGCCATCCGAGGGCCAAATAGAGGTTGACGCGTTTCCATGGAAACCCTCTTCCTCAGAGCCTCTGTTGCAGGGGGTGCCTAAAATCTGACTTGTATCTTACTGCAAATGTCAGAACTTTTCGCTCTGAGAAAATAATCCATAAATAATTTATGAAAACAGGCAGGGATCTGTTTTCAAAGAGATTCTCTACTAATTTTCATAGATTGACTGTTAACCCGAGTTCTTTATTTGTGCTAATTTGAAGACAAAAAGCAATTGTGTGTGTGTGTGTGTGTGTGTGTGTGTGTATATATATATATATATATATATATATATATATATATATATATATATATATAAAAATGATAACAGTTGCAAATATTATCCAATATTAATGAAATGGGGTCAGCTGTCTAAAAATTGCAGCATACGAAACTATCAGTAACCAGTAACTAGGCAGAATATGACAAAGGATATGCAAATTGACCACGTGATCTCTCCCTGCACCCAGATATTCAAAGTTTATACTGCTAATGAACTAATTTAGAATACCATACACAGGATTATCCAATGAGCTTAGAATCTACCTGAGGTCAACACCAATTTCCAGCAAGTTGTCTACTTTGTTATATCCAACTAAACCATTTACTAGAAGCTGAAATCAGCTTCAGGGATATTCCAAAGAGAATTCTTCCCCCCGAGCATTGAAATGAAGATAATTTATACTGCAGTTAAAATTATTTCAAATCAACTCCTGCGCTAACCATAACCAATATCAGACTAAACGGTTTAGCTGGAGATATAAGGCGAGCACAAATTTCCTGCAGAAAAATGAACCAATATGGATTTTGTGGTATCATTGTTGTCAGCTTTAGTCAGCTTCTGTGTGTGTGTCCATCTGTTGTCCCCTGTCTCTTCCTTTCCTTTGTCTCCTAATTTTTACACCCAAAAAACCTAGGCGGGCAAAGCTTATCTCACCTAATTATGATGTCACTCAAGGTGTCTATTTTCTTTACTAAATGATCCCAATTACCTAAAAGGGGCAGTAAAGGACTAGAGATACTTTGCGATTTTTTTTCCTAAAAACTCCTGTAGCATGTCAAGAGTTCACCTCTAACATTCAGCTTGTTAGTAGGCTATAAACTTAGGAGGTAGTCACTCTTTTAACAGAACTGGTTAGACAAACTGGGACCAGTGTCACTTTAAAATAATGTATTCCCTAAGTGATTATGAAAAAATAAAATTCTGTCTATGCATCTTACGGACATTCACTGAGCTCATTTGTACTGAGATTCTTAATTATCTAAATTCTTCCATTGCATACAGACGTTGTAATATAATAAACTCGAAGTAATTATTTTATAATGTTGAAAACATATCCAAAAAATATATACCAATATGTATTCTTAATATAGACCAATATGTATTAATTGCTAAAACCAATTAATATAGATGATCTATAGATTGAATATAGTAATCTAAAAACCAAATTACTTAATTAGGCAAGTATTCACTTCATGCAATAATAATACAATTGAGATTTTTGATTAAAATAATCCTGTCAAATAACAATAACACCATATACAAGGTAAATTTTAATAGGAACTCTTTTCCAGATGTTGATGAGAAAAAAAATAAGCGCTGTAAAGATTTATGATTTAGAGTGTAAGAGCACTTTGATTACAGCTGCTCTTGTGCATATGAACATTCATCCTTGTGCATGTGTGTAATATATCTTGTTTTTATTTGACTGTCCATATTTCAGTTTATCGGTACCCGTGCTGAACATGCTGCTCAATGAGCTCCTTTGTGTGAGTAAAGTACCTCCAGGAACAAAGCATGTGGACCTGGACCTCTCCAGCTTACCTCCAACCACTGCCATGGCCATCATGCTGTACAACAGATGGTAATTATTATTAATATTCTTATTATACAGGATTTATATAGCTCCAACAGTTTGCTCAGCGCTTTACAATATAACGGGAGACAATACAGCAACAATACAGTTCAATACAAAAGGGATAAATTAAATAAAACTAAATTAATAGCCATTAATTGAATAAATCAACTTCTGTAATCAAAGTCTACTTGTCTCTGATTAGTCTGCTTGTACCAATCTGCTGATAACAGATTTGTAATTGACTGCAATTGGTTACTGAGAGAGGATCTATGAAATAGTAGGTTTTCTGAGCATATATTGTGATATTTGAAACTAGCAGTCTTTTTCCATATAGTGAGATATACACTGCTCAAAAAATTAAAGGAACACTTTGAAAACACATCATATCTCAATGGGGAAAAATATCATGCTGGATATCTATACTTATATGGACTGGGTAATGTGTTAGGAATGTAAGGATGCCCCATCATTTGATGGAAATTTAAATTATCAGCCTACAGAGGACTGGTTTAAAGACACCCCAAAAATCAAAGTGAAAAAATTATGCAGCAGGCTAGTTCATTTTGCTGAAATTTCATTGCAGCAGCTCAAAATGGTACTCAGTAGTTTGCATGGCCCCCACGTGCTTGTATGCATGCCTGACATTGTCGGGGCATGCTCCTAATCAGACAATGGATGGAGTCCTGGGGTATTTCCTCCCAGATCTGGACCAGGGCATCACTGAGCTCCTGGACAGTCTGAGATGCAACCTGACGGTGTCGGATGGACCGAAACATGATATCCAAGAGCTGTTCTATTGGATTTAGGTCAGGCGAGCATGGGGGCCATTCAGTGGTATCAGTTCCTTCATCTTCCAGGAACTGCCTGCATACTCTCACTACATGAGGCCGGGCATTGTCGTGCACCCGGAGGAACCCAAGACGCACTGCACCAGTGTAGGGTCTGACAATGGGTCCAAGGATTTCATCACGATACCTAATGGCAGTCAGGATGTCATTGTCTAGCCTGTAGAGGTCTGTGCGTCCCTCCATGGATATGTCTCCCAAGACCATCACTGACCCACCACCAAAACAGTCATGCTGAACGATGTTACAGGCAGCATAACATACTCCACGGCTTCTCCAGACCATTTCACGTCTGTCACATATGCTCAGGGCGAACCTGCTCTCATCTGTTAATAGCACAGGATGCCAGTGGTGGACCTGCCAATTCTGGTGTTCAATAGCAAATGCCAATCGAGCTCTATGGTGGCAGGCAGTGAGCACAGGGCCCAGTAGAAGACGTCGGGCCCTCAAGCCACACTCGTGAAGACTGTTTCTGATTGTTTGGTCAGAGACATTCACACCAGTGGTCTGCTGGAGGTCATTTTGTAGGGCTCTGGCAGTGCTCATCCTGTTCCTTTTTGCACAAAGGAGCAGATACCGGTCCTGCTGATGGGTTAAGGACCTTCTACGGCCCTATCCAGCTCTCCTAGAGTAAGTGCCTGTCTCCTGGAATCTCTTTCATGCTCTTGAGACTGTGTTGGGAGACACCGTAAACCTGGCAAAAGCATGTATTGATGTGCCATCCTGGAGTTGGACTGCCTGTGCAACCTCTGTAGGGTCCAGGTATTGCCTCTTGCTACCAGTAGTGACACGGACCCTAGCCAAATGCAAAACTAGTGAAAAACAGTCAGAAAAGCTGAGTAGCAAAAAAAAATGTCAGTGGCCTCTACCTGTAAAATCATTCTTGTTTTGGGGGTTGTCTCATTTTTTCCCATCTAGTGCACTTGTTAATTTCATTAACACCAAAGCAGCTGAAACTGATTAACAACCCCCTCTGACCAGATCAATATCCCAGAGTTTAATTGACTTGATGCTATACTCTGATTACAAAGTGTTCCTTCAATTTTTTTGAACAGTGTATATTTAAAGTGGTTGTTAATCTCAGACATGAAATATAAACAAAGCATATCTCTCTACACTGTCTACTTATCTCAGAGCACTATAAGTGTAATTTCCGTCTGCTGATTCGTTCCTCTGCCAACAGCATAATGCACTTCTGACAGGTTTTCCTGACACCAAGAGAAAAATGGTGATGGGGAGGGAGTTCCAGCTGATTTACAGCCATAGCATTGTTCCTGTGAGCTGTGTGGAGAGGGTGTGTCTCTTCCCTCCAATCTGCGCTCAGAGCTCTCCTCACTGAGCTCTGCAGTGTGTAATTTCATTTCTCCACCCCCTCTTTTCTGAGCTCTCAAACAAGCTTTATAAACTCAGCATGGATGTAGAAAAGAGTAGACTGCAGATAGACATGTACAACGTATGTAGGAGGATTTGTTTCATCTGTGTGTATCACCTGAGGTGATATAGATGTGGATATATGTAAGGGTTTACAACCATTTTAGGTATAGTGGAGATAATGTAAAGTGTGGGACAACCACCACTGGTGATTTTCCTCCTCAGTATGGTGATATGTTAATCCTGCACTCCATGTAAATTGTACACAGCTAAAATACATATTTAGACAGTTTTATCTACCAAAGTATTTGTAATACACTCATTTGATCCAGACATCATAGCCAGGCCCTGCTCTGCAAACGACACTTAAAGCTCAACTCCATCTTTTTGAAAAAATAAAAATAAAAAATCATTGAAAGACGTGTGAAAACTAAAAAAAACAGCTTTCGCTGTTCTATAACCCTTTCACCTGCAAGCTCGCCACCCCACAATCCAGCACCAGTCCTCTTCCAAACAAAAGATGGAGTTGGGCTTTAAGCAATGCAGTCTGGTGTTGGACCTGCTGCTGTCTGTGGTTGCACAGTAAAGGTACAGCAGTGCCCTGTTGAAATGAGTCGATACTCTCTTCTCCCCCTGTCAATTTTTTATCTTTTCACACTTGTGCACTGTATCATATCCTGACTGGTTTCTAGTACTGACACTTTCTTTCTTATTCTGGGTGCTGCACTTCAGCCAGCTAACTATTTTTTTTTTTTTTTTAAACCATAAGATGAAAATATCTTGGGATATAGGAATGGAATGGCTCAATTTTAGGCACTATATTTATAAAATTCTTGTACTGTGTATACAGGCAATAAAGGCTGATGCTTTTACAGAGCATGTGGCCCAACAATGGCCCAGCCTTGCTCATTGCAGGATTTCTCTACACTGGCATGGATTCTCAATGGGAGATTTTTAAATCAACCAGACTTTAGTATCAATCATGATACTGGGTTCAGTTGACAATCATTTTATTGGGTCATTTTTTTATAGATAGAATATTTGTCAGGAAGTTTTTCCATCTCTCTTGGACCCTGTTGGTGAGATTTGTATGCTTGAGTTCTTGGGTCTTAACACCTGCTGTGGCTATGAATTTCCATTCTCCCATGAGAAATTTGTATTTAATTTATATGAAAGAGAATGTAACTTGTGATGGAATTCACAAAGGTGAAGGGGGGGCAGAGTCTGTAATGAGAGGGAAATCTCTCTACTGCAGTATACAAGACATGCAAGGAGTCAGGGAAGCAAAAATGGCTGCCAATTAGAGTTTATACCTAGCATAGGAAAAGTGCACATGGGGGTAGGGCAGTACACTAGTCAACTAGTCAGAACAAAGAAAGACCTAATTAAACATTTAGGCTAAAAACAGGTTTTTCTTGCATACATTTGCAAACACTTGAGTCTGAGTGGTGTATCATGGCTCTCTGCACAGTGTGATCCCTTGCTCAGAGAGTTCCCAACAATGACACATATTTATATAACAATGAGTAAATTGAGAGCAGGGTTACCTGGAGTGTGCCATGATCTCCCTAAAGGTACAACACACCAGAAGCACAAGATTGCTTAAGGCAGCTGAAGACCGAAAAAAAAAAAAAAGAAAAAAATGTCAATATCACCTCCTATGTCCAAAATATCTCTGATGGGTGTGTTTAAGACACTGCTCTTTACATTGTGTAATGTGCATTAGAAAAATACTATAGACTGTAATCCAAATAGGCAGATTTGATTGTGGTTCTTACTGTTTCTGAAGTACAAACCTATTAAACTTGCAGTGTCAATCAAATGTCGGTTGAAAAGAATTTCCTATGCGTTTGTTTATTCCTTGGGATTATTATGGATTTAAATTATAATCCCTTGTTTTGCCTTATTGAATGTCTGTTTTATCCTTGATGTTGATATAGCATGCAGAGCTGTAGTTAATGAGGAAAGTCAGTGTTTGTCTTCTTAATCCATGAACGATTTAATTTTCCCATTGGCTTCAAATTTTTGTTTTGTATTTGCTCTCCTATGGGAGGCCCAGAAAATTTCTGCTAGTTCTTCCCCAGTGTCGCAGCTTATTACTGAGGGAAATAAAGGTGTCATGCTAACCCAGTTAAAATTTCAGAATAAATGGTCCAGCTGCAAAACTCCTAGTGTTTTCCAACCTTTAGACATAAAAAAGCTAAAAAAAGAGGCAGACTAATTTTGTGTTTAACTGTGTCAGAAAATGACTTAATAAATGTTCTCCTTTTTGTCTTGTGGTTTTTCCATGTGGTATTTCAGCTGCTGTGTAGGATCTGGTGTTCTCTAGGACCTATTTGCTTCCACTCTGCAAGCTTCAAAGACCAGAGGTCACAGGCTTTTCGCACCTCCCTCTTAGGCCCTTTTCACATGGAATTCTTGTGTTCAGTTGTACAGATGGATGCCTGTAGTTGCTCTGCCTGCACAAAGCAATGACAGGCTGACACTGGCCGCTGCTGTCTTCCGGTGTTCAGATATAATCGCACAGCCAGTTCTTAGCTGTAGTTAAGGACAGATGATTGCCCCTGGACACAAGCTGCTTGTCACAGTGGAAAATTGTGACTGCACACTGCTCCCATACCTTCTTCCACATTTGACCAAAGCTCTCAATGCACCTGTCCAGGGTTCAGTTTTCTAGAGACTGTTTACTGGCTCACATCACAGTAATCCCCAAAGATGGGAAAGATCTCTCTCTATGCGCCAGTTACAGGCCCCATCTCCGTTCTGAATCTCGACCTAAAGATCCTCACCAAAATTAGCCAAACACCTCATACCATGGCACTAATATCATTAGCATGGGCCAAGTGGGTTTTCTGCATAACAGAGAGGCTAGAGACAATGTCAGCAAAGCCCTCTACTTTATCCATACCTCCTCCTCCAAAACCTCATGCATTTTCCTATTGACTGACTTCAAAAAGACCTTTGATAGGGTAAATTAGCAATTCCTGTTTCACATTGAAATATATGGGCCTGGACTACCTTGCAAAGCTCGACTCTCATACCTACTCCGAGTGTCTCCCGATTTACGGTCATTACACGTTTGCCTTCCTTCCCTTTTACCCCTCCCCTTTTCCTACCTATCCTTCTAGCTCATAATATGTGTATTGTTACTGTAAATCTAACTTATATTATGCCATACGTATTGATCTTTATAATCTAACTGTTATTGTTTTCTATGACTCGCAGCTGCACTCTGTACCTTTTTATAATGTTGATTATATTTGAACATTTGTATGAATCATGCTATGTATCCTCTAAAACTTTAATAAAGACCTATTGAAAGTGAAATATATCAGCCAGGGCCCCAATTTTCTCAATTGCATCCAGGCAATATACTTCACCCCTTCCGCAGCAGTTAAAGTAATTGGGACCCTATCTAACCCATTTTCCCATCACCAATGCTACAAGCCAGGGATGCTCTCCATCACCCCTAATTATTTGTCCTCCCCTTAGAGCCCCTCCTAGCCAGAATTATAGCAAACCTGAACATTCGTGGACGGACCAGGGGGAACAAACGGGATAAAATGTTCTCTTACCTAGAAAGCCTCCTTTTTCGCCACCACCTCCTCCCCACATACACCCCTTCCCAACCTATTGAAGGAACTAGACTTATGTGGCAAACCCCCTTTTTAAAAAATTAATGTTTAAAAATCTGAAAATTGCGATTGCAGCCAATGATGGTATGTATTTTACCCCTACTTTTATTTGTTCTGTTACAGGGCAATCAGAACTATTGTGCAAAGCAGTTTCCCTGTGAAGCCAATTAAGCAGGGTCCACTACAACCAAATGTGTAAGTCCTCAAGATTATAACGAAGCCATGCAGCTTTTTTATCTGACTATAGTTAAACTTTATGCATGTGCGCCTTTTGTTGCATCTTTGAATTATGGGCTCCTCTGTTGCAGAAACAAATAGCAATCGAACTGTACTGTACTGTTTTAATTGCAATGAAGCTGTTTCTTTTAATGACATTTTTCCAATACAGCACTATGTTTGCATAAGGGTTTGCTCACACTTGACTAATTTTTTACGCTTGCCAAATGCCCCTATAGCATTTGACAGGCATTAGACAGGCGTTTGGGATATTTTTTTAACACTCCCCAAATGCCCTATGCGCATTGTTGTGGCGTTTGCCAAGCATTAAAACCATACCACAAACGCCTATAATGAAGTTTAATGGTATTAACGCTCCTCAAACGCCTGCCAAGCGTTTGAGGAGCATCACCATAGACTTGAATGGGAGGCTTTAACTCCTCCTGACTCCATATGAGGCGTCAATTTTGCCACGGTGCTAATGCTTCAGTGTGAACATTACTGTGTGCTGCCATGTGTTGAATTTTCATAGGCGTTTGAGGAACGTTAAAAATGCTTCCCAGAGGCCTGTCTAATGCCTGCTCACAAAGCTAGTGTGAACATGGCCTATCAGTTGGAAGCGCTATGATCTACTTTGTGAACCATATTGTTGACAAACTGTCACAAAATAAATTTTAAACACACTTCTCTCCCAGCTGTGTATCCTGCTGTTACATTGCTCCTCTCCCAGGCTCCTGCACAGTAGCAGGCAGGCTCCAGCAATCTGACCTTCAAGATCTACACAGGAATGGCATGGTCACAACAGCAGCCAAAATTGATAGGATCTGTGCAATGTTACACTTTGTTTTTCACAATATTGTGACAGTTTTATGAGCAATAGCTTCCTGTAAAGAATTAACACACTAACCTGGTAAATCAGATGCACTTTGTGATTTGGATTTTCTACTGTACATTAGATTGATAAAGGTTTCCTTGTGTGTCTTATGAACAAATCCAGGAAATATGTTTATGAACTTTTTATGACAGTTGAAAATGCCCTCTGCTTGTCGTCATTCTTTGTAGCAATGCAAAGACGGGCACACCAATTATGTAACCTAGCAAGGCAATGCTAAACAGGAGCAAGAAAATAAACAGATCGTCCGACAGATTTATTACAAGGTTTCAGCTTGAGTCGTAAATTCCTCCTTTGGCTGCTCTAAAGTTGCACTGCAACCAAATAAAACTTGACCCTGATTACCTAATTATGCATCTGTTTACAATGAAAATATGTCTCCTCTTCAGTGAAGAATTCACTGTTGACCTTGAAAATTTGTTTCATTCTGCAGCCCATGAACACAGGTGCACAGGTGACAATTGAATTGTAAACCTGCTGCAAGTAAGAGGCAGCCTGTGTGGTGTTTGTGTTGCTATTTTTCTTGATAAATGTCCCCCAAAGTGTTTTTTTATTTTCTTTTTTTTCACTCCCTTGAGAGCTGCAGGAACCATTGTTTCTTTATTTGCTTTCCAGGAAAGCATACAAATAAGTAAAAGAGAAGTGTGGGAATAAAAAAAAATAAACATACATACTCACCTAGATGGGTACAGCATCAATCAGATGTTGCAGCTGTCCCTCTCCTGCTCTAGGACTGAGAACTGAGTGATCATTTGGACGTGATCTTCACTGAGCAGAGAGCAGTTACTGTTAGTCATGCTCTGGACCTCCAGCGTTTACTGTGGAGGGGGCCGAAGTGGCTGTGTGCTGAGAGGTTAAGCCAGCTGTCTCGGGCATCTGAGCGGATTTAGAATTAAGTCCACTCCTGTGACCCACAGGAGAAGTATGGCCAAAAAAGCTGTGACCATACTTCTCCCTTAAAGCCTTTCACACAAACATTATGTATTAGAATTGGTCATTACAGCACCAAAATCTGCCTGTAGGTGATGCTTCAGTAAAAAATTGCAGAGTCTGTTTTAAACTTGAGGGTGGGTAGCTCAGTTCTGGTTACCCTGCCATACATGACAGCACAAACAGAACGGAGTTAAAGCATAGAAAAATTCCATTGTGGAAGAGCTCTTAAAAATATGGGGTACTCGCATCCAAAGGAAAGAAAAAGGGTAGCAGGCCATCTACCTTTCAGCGAATGGAATCTATAGAATGTTAGGCTCTGAAAAATGTTGTCACCCTCCTTATATGCTATAGCCTGCTGTGTTTGTATCTACACATTTTCTGGTGGGCAAAATAGTTCTTGTGTATTTATCTGTTTGGTTGCAGCTGACATAACTATATGCATGTGCTGACATATGTATGTATGTGTTTATAATACTGTATGGGCTCGTTTACATATGTGGCCAAGGAAGGGGATTGCAGTAAAAATTGACAGGTGAACCACGGTTTGACCACCCCCAACTGCCTCTCTTAACCTAACACAGAGTGGTTATACACATGCCACAATGGCTTTGCTTCACAGCTGTGGCAGAAATGATACTCCCCTGTCACATTTTTGGGCAGTACTGCTGCCAAACGTAGCGTGTTCAAGTGGATGTTTTGCAACGTATGTGGTGGGTTTTGCAGACTATTTTCAGGATTAAAATAGACGGTGAGAAGGTGACATATCCCCTCCAGCCACCTTTCAACTTCCCTCTGAAAAGCGATCCACTGTGGAATGCTCTTCAGAGGGGTGGCAAAGGCTACAGTGTAAACGAGCCCATTCACACTTGATTGATAGTCCGGTACTATATACTGTATATGTGTGTGGTACTTCACCTCCATTTAGGGCTGTTTTAGTTTTGACACTTGCTGCTATATAATAATGAAAGCATATGATCAAAAATTTCCCTTTCTTTGGCTATTGAGTCTTCGCTGCACAGGTTCAGTGACAAACCTGTATGTCACACTTTTGAATTTTCAGTTAAATACTCCTATATGGAATGTTGTGATCACAAGACGGCACACACTTGAATAATGTTGTGGGTTTTTTTTTCCTTTCTTTCTTTTCAACAGAATGAATCAAATACAACAAGAAAAAGAGCTCACTGAAAATATTCTTAAAGTGGTAGGTTTTTGGTATGCTGTGGAAACAGCAGATAACAATCAGTCTGTATTTCAGTCAGTCATTGCTGGTTGTGTCTGGAGTTGCACTATATACATGTCTACAGGTGACACCTACTCATTGTAAAACTCTTACAGACAGGGCATTCTAAGTATAGGATGTGTAATTTGTTATTGTATTTAATGATCCTTGTTAGAGGAATAGCGTTGCATTTACTGAGATGCATAAAAACAGTAAATGCAGCTCTTCAATGAGGACTTTTTACATACCAGCCATTGCTGCTTATATCAGAGATTAGATCTCTATGCTTCTGTAAGTCAAAACCGCTGCATACACTTGGCTAATGGATTTGTTTCCATCTATGGGGTTGATTTACTAAAGGCAAATATACTATGCACTACAGATACAGTTACTCCAGAGCTTAGTAAATGAAGTAAAGCTCCACTTTGCAAAGATTGCCCAATCACATGCCAGGAAAATAAAAAAAAGCAGCATTTTTGCTTGCACATTATTGGATAATAGAAATCAGGAGAGCTTCCCCTCAGATCTAGAGCATTTGCAGTTGCAGTGCACAGTATATTTGCCTTTAGGAAATCAACCCCCCCTATGTAATTCTGGCAAGGCTTTTGGGACCAAAGGCACATATCCAGTGCAGCTATGCGTCTTAAGCTGGCCATAGATGGTGCAATTTTGTCTTTCCTGCAACCATAAGTTGTAAGAAAGAAAATTGCTCTATACACCCATCAACACTGACTGGAGCTAATCCCTCGGGTGGAACTATTGTGTTCTCCCGGTGGGCTGTTATCCCTGGTGGGAGATTGCAGTGATTATTGCTAGCACTATCGTCACTGGCAGTAATTGCATGAAAAATTTGACAGATTGATTGTACCCAAGTCGTACAACAAATCGAATTTGGTACATTCAGCCTGCCCATAGATGGTTCGAATCTCGGCCGGTCAAGTGCTGCACCTTAAGTCAAAAATCACTGTGGAATATTTTTTTTTGTTTTATTTCTGTTACCCAGTGTCATGCTGTCCATGATTAAGCCCTGTAGGTGGGGTGAAACCTGTCAGTGGAGCATAACAGGAGGAGTGCAGGCTCAAGCTGTATCTTCACCTTTCTATTTGTGGTTGGGTTCTGGTGTGTGGTGTTTCCACCTTCTGTGTTCCAATCTGCTTCTGCTAGCCTGGATGAGCTTGTTTGAACATTGGTACCTTATCTGTGCTTTGGACTGCAGGAGAAGTTTTGTAGTGCTTTGAGCTACACTCTAAGTTGTATATCGATCACCCCATGTGTTCTGAATGTGACAGCCTCTGTAATATATTTTTTGCAAAATATACAAAATTTTTTTTTAAATTTTAATCTAAAGCAGGGATCTCCAAACTTTTCAGACAAAGGGCCGGTTTAATCTGCTTCAAACTTTAGGAGGACCGGATTGTGACCAGTGGGGGTAGAGAATGTCCCGGGCCCAGCATCCGTAAAAATAAACATGGGGTATTATTCCTACCATTAATTCCCATCATTGGTATTAATGGGAGGAATAATGCCCCATCATTGGTATCAGTGTAAAAATAGTGTCCCATTGTTTGTGTCAGTGGGAAGAATAGTACCTCATATCATTGGGAGGAATAGTATTCCAAGGGCCGGATAAAGGCTAGCAAAGGGCCACAGTTGGAGACCCCTAATCTAAAGGATCCAGTCACTGTAAACAATTATGTGATTCATAGATGGATGCTTCAGCACTGGATCTAGTCTTGGATTTTTTTATCTTTTCTGGACCACTCAGACTTTATTATTTATCATCTAAAATAAGTACAATAAAATGTTGGGCCGATTATGGACCATTAAGTACAAATCACAAAGCTACCACACCAGGATAAGAATACTTATTTTTAAAAAACAGTGATAGTACTGCAGAGGTAAATCCAATGAAATTTTTAAATTTCAGTTACATAGCTACAAGAAAGATACATACATTTTGCTAAAGCTTTGTGAATTGAGCCTACTGTCTGACGGCCAAACAGAATGGCAGTTAGATGGATAAGCGGACCACTTTACTGAAGGACAGACAACTTGTCAGAGATTTTTGAATGGAAAGGCAGATAACCAGACTGACAGACTGATGTATGGATAAGGATTTGGTTCTTGCAATGAAGCTGGATTTCTGTGTTGAGATGGCCTCACATTGATAGTTTGGTATTATGTTACAAATATGGGGCATCAATCAGTGAAGTCTTCTTATGAACCACACACAGATCCACTTATTTCTGACATCATGAGTAGGCTGTGAACTGTGATTGTGGTTAGAAATTTCCAACCCTGTCAACATATACCTAATTTGACAGCTACTGTATAAAAATGGGCCACATACATAGTCCTGGCTCTCTTATATCTACAGCTGAAAGAACAAGCAGAGGACTCGGTCTGTGTGCTAGAGGAGGCCATAAAACTAAAGAAGTCTTTCTATGTCCATACCATGAGGACCCTGGACCTGTTAGCGATGGAGCCTGGAGCTGTGAATGGGGAAACTGAGAGCTCCACTGCTGGTTTAATGATCAGTTCTGAAGAGATACAATGTCAGGTATTACCAAGCTAGTTACCTTTTGTTGGATTTATTTCTAAGTGTTTATTTACCTGTTTCAGTTTTGTTAATAATATATTTACAATAAATAGTATAGTCTCAGTAAAGCTTTGTACAGCACTAAATAAAATAAAACCTTGTTGCAGTATAGGCTTAGTGCTTCCTTTTCTGACTTACCTTTATTGTCACTCCTTACAGCGGTTGTAAACCCTTGCATATACCCAGTAAATGAATAGCATCAGGTGATAGACAGAAATGAAACAAGCCCTCCAACATAAGTTATACCTGTTTATCTGCAGCCATCTGTCCTCTACAGCAATTCAAAGTCCAGAGTTTACACAAAACCTCTCAGTTCTGAAAAGCAGGTGGCAGGGATCTGAAGTTTCACACTGCATAGTTCAATGAGTCCTGAGCCCTGACACACACCCCTTTGCATGCAAAAAATGCACAGATGAGGATATCAGTCACAGGCTGTGTGCTGGAGCTCTCCTCCCCATCACCAATTATCTCTTGCAGTCAGACTCATGCAAACAACAGAAGAAACTAGGCAGTAGAGAGAAATTACACTCCGCGCTTTGGATAGAGGCAAGTACACAGTATAGAAAGTTGTGCTTTGTTCATATTTCATGTCCGAGGTTTACAACAATTTTACTAAAACATTTATTGGCTTTTGCCTTGCTCAGGTTGATCCAGCAGTCATGTACAGTATGGCATAACATGTCTTTCCACAGGACAGAAAACATTTCCTGTTTAGTTCCTCAGAAATACGGCTCCAAAATATAGTTAAGAGTCCCAAGAGGAATCTGTTCAAAGTAAAATCCTATATATGTGAAGATACTCAAGGAAGTAGTTGCTCACCTGGGTTCACATGCTGCCTTTGGGACCATAAAGCTAAAAATAATTTTTGGCTTAGTGGTATGCAACCCATGGGTCAGGAAATGGTTGCTTCCATCAGATCATTTTCACACAGGTGTTTTGATTCACAACTTAGTAATTTATTTTCATTTTCAGTGGTTTGAGTGGGTGTAGGTTATGCTGGGTGTTGTTTTTGACTGGAACTCATGGCAATAGATTTATTTCTCCTCTATAGGTGTGCTATGACCTTGGAGCCTTTTACTTCCAGCAAGGACCCACCAACCCATTAAATTATGAGAAGGCTAGAGAGCATGTTTTCAACACCAAACAACTGGTATCCAAGGTAACCTTGTCAAAATGAACAGATATTTGCTATGTCTCCTTTTTGTACATCTTGTGAACCATAAAACACTCAGTGAGAGTGAGAAACAGCCGTTGGTTCACTATTGGCAAAGTAAAAATGCTGCTTACATGAATGCAGTATCTGAATTGGTGACACGTGACCACTGTGGTGCCTGTCATTTACTATGAGCAAAAAAAAAGTAAAAAAGAAAGTGTGTGTGTGTTTTAGTGTGTTATTTTAACCAGTTACTATGAATTTACAAAGATCAATGTTGTTAAATTTGTCTAAAAAGCATAATCTTTATACAACAAATTAAATATTTGTATTTCTTAAAAACAGAGTCGCGTTCTTTCTTTTCCAAAGATAAATACACTTCCATATGCCTCTACCCACATTTTCTATCACTTTATATTCATATACATTAATCCTGTTCATAAAATAGTTTTTTTCTTTTTATCATATAGTGTTATGATACAGGGTATCTGGCAAACTGGATGCATTTCACAGAAAGAATGTGCTTATTCTTGCAGGAGTGGAAATGTCAATCACATCTTTTATGAACCTCTGTGGAAGCATAAAAACATCCCCACATGTGACTGCAGGGGGGAGAAAAGGATCACAAACCAACACACAGAGTTGATCTCTAAAAAAAGCCTCAATAAATAGTTTATTCACCAGTGTATAGAAAACGCTTGTGAATTTGGTCAGGAATTAGTTATTGTGGATCAAGTGTGTGTTCCAGGGGTATTATGTGCCAATGGAGGGTGCACCATACCTCTGGGGCACACACCTGGCCAACAATCACCAATTCTTGGCCAAATTCAAGGAGGTTTCCTATATGCTTTGAATAAACTGAGGCTTTTTAAGAAATCTATTCACCAGGTTCATTTTGTGTGCATTTTTCCACCTGCAGTCCCATGTGGAGATGTTTTTATGCTTCTTCAGAGCTTTGTAAAAGACATGATTTACACTTCCACTCTTGAAAAACATAGGAAAAAAAGAGGCTCTGCCCACTTTAAATGTTATATTTGAAGTCAATAGAGCTAGTTTTCAAAGTCCTGAATGTTCTTCTGTTACTGCTATAAGAGTATTGTCTGTTTCTCTGTCTCTTCCTCAGATTGGTGCCGACTCTGCCCACTGCGCAATAGATCAGAGAAGGTTGGCCGGATACTGCCAGGCATGCAGTGTTCTAGCCCCATCAAATTTGACTGTCCAGCAATCGTCAACATATAGTCAGATTCATAACTTTATGAAGAGTGGTAATTACCAGGTAAGGCAGATTATTTTGTTATATGTAAAATATCTGTCCTCAAATGGTAATAAAACTGGCAGTTTTTGTAGGATTTAGAGTTGGTATTAAAGCAGAAATCCAGTCTTACCTTCACCTTGCACAGTTTGGACAGGTTCCTCTCCTGTACTGAAATTGATTACCCTGATGTCACTGGACACTGTGCGCTTTTTATAACCTGCAGCAAGCCAGAGCATGCCTCATATTCTGCTTAAAAGATGTCCACCATCATCTAACCCTTTCTTTCCAGCTTTACAGTCCCTGTCCTGCCCGTTTTCATTCACTACATTTCAGTTCTTTCATCTGTGGAGGCTCAGCATGACATGATTGCATTACGTAGGGCAGTCTGCGTTCAATACCTTCTGTCTGGAAATGCTTGCTCCTCCAGAATGACATCCACCCATCAAGGCATTTTGATGTTTGCATATCTCCTTCCAAAAGCCAGCTGACTGCTTGCATCAGGTCTGAGGGCTTTTGAGAAAGAGTACTGAGGCCGGGTGCTGTGATGATTTCTGGAAGATATTTACAACATGCTGCCAGCCAGCCCCTCATTTGGGTCATGATCTGCCTGCATTTTATAAAGAAGCATGGAGACCCAGTGAAGATATGTAACAAAAACTGAAAATTTCATTAGCATGTAATGAGGTGGAAAGGAGGTACCAGGGTGGGCAGAAATTTATAAGCAAATTAAACTTCGGCTTTAAATTTTAAGATTTAATGAGTTAAGCCTGTAAGAATATAATCTTCCTTAGTGTAACACCCTGCTTCCCTTCCTCCCCAGAAACCCCTTCCTCGCCCCCATGCCCCCTCCTCCTTCCCCACACACACTTACCTGACTCCTCTTCCAGTGATTTAGCGCTGTCCCATCTGCAGCCCCACTCCCCTCTCTTCTCACAGGACACACGGAGAGCAGCGAGAGCCATAGGCTCCTGCTGCTGTCAGTCAAATTCTGTCAGGATGCTTTCTTGCTGGTACATGACCCCTGATTGCATCTCCAGGTTTACCACGTTTGTGTCCCCGATGTTTTTTTTTTTTTTTTTTGGGGCTGCTGGGAATGGGGAACTCTCCTTCACACCTGTCCTCATGCTATCTGGTTGTGCACGCTGGTATACACAATGATATGGTCTGTTCTCAATGTCTCCCTGGTCCGCAACCCCTGGGATGCTCTGCTACATGAACCAATATTTTCCTTATCAAGAACCCAGAGAAAGCTGCTGGGGTTTGTGTTCCTGCCTGGCTACCCCGCAAACTCTCGCTTGAGTATGGAAACAGCCTTTCCTAAATATCGCTGAAATAAAACAGAGACTTATGGGCATTATGGCGCACAAGAAGCTTCCCTGGATTGATTATAACGCCCAGACGAACATAGATGTAACCTTCCCTTTGTGAGGGTATAGCAAACCACTATGTGGGTGTATAAGGATGCACACCGCCCAGCTCAGCTTTATTTTAATTAGAAAAAAAAATTGCCTTATATCTCTTCAGTTTTCCAGTGTAATCATTAATGGAGTTCTAGTCTTTAGCAAAGAATTTGTGCATGGTCACCTTTATTTGTTTTCTTTGTGACAGGGAATACTAAATATTTTCTATGAAGATAATGTACATGGTAACCTACCTGACCAGTTCAGACAGTCGGTTTTGAGAGAGCTCTTCCAGAAGGTGCAGCAAGGGTATGTGCTTTCACGTGTTATTGCTAACACCTGTAATTTTAAGTTCAGTCCCAGTCATCTTTTATTTTTGTTAGATGTGGTTAAAAAAAAAATGAACCATTGCTTGGCTTTGCTGATTTTGTCTCTTTGGGAAAGCTTTTTTTTTTTTTCCCCAGTCATAGAAATGTCAACAACAGGAACATAGATTGCAAATAAGGAGTTAGGAAGAAACAAAGACCATATAAATGGCTTTAGGTTCTAGAATTATTTATGTATTCAAAAATCAGGATACAAAAGTTCCTCAGAACTTTGAAAGTTGTTTGGAAAAAACAGAGGACTTTGGAGAGTTACTAAACCCACAACAGTAGAATCCGTCTGTATATGCAATAAAGCATGATTGTTATACTCCCTGTGGAACCTAAGCGTTTATTCCTTCACATTGTGTAAAAAGGCTGTTTGATCCTGTCTTCTCTGATCCTCCCCTTCTTCTGCTGTCCCCAATCCATATGCTGACAGAGCTTGGGGGCAAGCTGCACATGTGTATTGCTAGAGTGTTTTTTTTTTTCTTGGGAGAGCGCATGTGATCAGCACAAAGCCAATTAATGCTGTCCAGAAGGAGGGTCAGGGATCCTGCCGCCTCATAGAGCAATCCGGGGAGAATTAAATCTCCTCCTACAAGCTTTAACCAGTGCTCTGCTGGACACTGATAGTCACAAGACTGCTATATACTGCTGATGCGAAAAGGTATTTAGCAGTTTATATTTACTAAAATAATTGCATTTCCATGTTCTGTGTAGTGTGGGAGACCGGATATAGTGAATGCAGGGTCCTGGGTTTAGTAACACTTAAGTTTTTTGCTTTTTTCTTCTGAAGCTTCTTCAGCAGATGTTAAAAATTGCAGGCTTCTGTAGGACTGAAAAGTAGGTTCCAATCCTTCTTAATGCAAAAACTGAAAAAGGTTTTGGAATTCTAATTTGCAGCCATTAATGCAGTGGCTAATGTCTTACATGTACAGTATCATCATGATCCTTGGCACAGGTAAGTCAGCCATGGTTATTAGATTTGTGTATGTTAATGTTGTGGGTGTACTTTAGTTTAACAGAAGCATGTTCACAGTTACATGTATTTCTATCCAATCTATTTGAATGCATGATTCCTTAATCCTTCAGAAAAACCCTTCTTCTGGAATTGCAAATATATTATGTTGTTCCCTTTAAGAAAGATTGTTTCCACTCAAACACATTATGCTGACCTGCTAAGATTTGCCTGAAACTATTTCCTTTCACTGCAGCAATGATGCTCTGAAGGTGATTTGCTTTAAAATCTGTGCTTGCAACACAATGTGGGACATTCTTAATGGGCGTCCAGTTAGCGTGCATTTTCACCAGCTCTTTATGAAGCCAAACAATGAGAAAATAGACTATCTTCTTGAGGTATGAGGTTTTTTTTTATTTTGTATTTACCTTGTTGATCATGTCTTTATAATACGTGTACATTCGGTATGTCATATATGTCGCGTTTGTTACTAAAATAAAATGTACCCATATTGGATAGAATGGGACATGGTTCATTTTTTTGGCTATTTTGTGTGGGATCCTTTTGGGGAGACAAGAACCCACATCCCAAGATCTGCGTGTCCTATGTTTACATGAATTCTCCATATACTTCTATAGATCTATGTTTGTGGGCAGCCATTTCTGATTTTCTAAAAATCTCAGTTGACGGATTATCATGTTGACTCTTGTAGTTTAATACTTTTTTGAGTGGCTGACCAGAAGCAGACATGTATAAAATGAAAAGTGAATTCAAAATTTCTCATGTGCCTTCTTGACCCACAGCAGAATTGCAGAGGATTAAAGCTATTCGATCAGCATTAAAATTAGGGAACTAGCATTTTAATTTTGTATTTCTCTCAATTCAGGTTTATTTTAACGGATAAATGTGCATTTATAAAGGTTCTGAAATGGTTTTCTTCAAAAATCTTAACTATTGTTCATTACTTATAGTTTTTTAAACAATTTTGAAATGCTCATCTTCTCTGTGCTCTGGTTTTTTTTTTTTTTTTTTTTTAGCTAAGTTTTCTATATACCTGTGACTGTTCAAATACCGCTAGTTATTTAGTATGCACACGCATGCTTTAGACAGTTTAAACTCTCTGTTCGCTCACCAGATGTTAGTCAGTATTGGGTGGATGTGATACTGTTACATTTGATGGGAATTCTATTACTACTTGTTTGCTGGAGTTTCCAACTCTATTAAATGATTCCAGGCATTGGGCATGTTATACATACCAGTTTGGACCAATGTAACTATGTATATACCATACCTGGCCCTTGGAAGCTGTAAATCAGACGTAGACCCTGCTACTGCTACTTCAGTTATCTCCACTTGCTTCTGAGTCCCATGCTGAACGGTTCCTCTAATGCATTGTAAATAAAGGAGGTTGACTACTCGGCCTGAGTACCATTTAGAGAATGCTTTGTATTTCCTGTAAAACATTCTCTGATTGGATGAGGCGGAGAATGTGATGTCCACACCTCTCCTTTCCACCCCCCGTCCAATAATAAAATGCTTTGTATTTATTCAGGAAATGCAAAGTATTCTCTGAATGGAGAAAACATCCCCCCTGTGTTTGATAAGCAGAGGTGCAGCTGCTCAGCACAAGACCTGGAAGCAAGTGGAGATGAAAGAGCAGCGTCTACCTTGATTTCCAGCTTCTGCGGGCATTGACCAGTTAAGGTATATACGTAGTCACGTTGGTTCAATCTAGACCAATGTAACTATGTATAACATATCCAATGCCTGGCATTTATTCTTTAGCCGCTTAAGTACTACAGGGCAGCACCTGTGTGCAGCATAACGTGCATATATATACGTGATTTTGCAGTTCCGGGTAGGAGGCGTGCGCGCCCTACCCGCGCCGCCATTCATTGCCGCGAATGTCAATCACCAGGTCCCGGCCGGTAATTACCTGCCAGCACTCGGTGATTACCAAGCATCTCTCTTACAAACAATCTTCCTTCCTGTCAGCTCGAGCACACTGCTCAGGATGGCTGTGCTGTGCACAGTACAGCCATCCCGATCAGTGTGCTTACAGTGAAGAACATCCCCCCCCCCCCCCCCTTAGTAAAACACTCCCAGCAGCACACAGTTAACCCTTTGAACGTCCCTCACATTAACCCTTTTCCGCCCAGTGCCATTAGTACAGTGTCGGTGCTTTTTCTTTTATCACTGATCCCTGTATTGGTGTCACTTGGGTATCGGTGACACCAAGTTAGTTTCCCCCCCCAGTGTCAGAATGTCTGCCGCAGTCCCGCTAAAAGTCGCTGACCGCCACCATTACTAGTAGAAAGAAAAGAAAATCCCATTATCTATACCGCCATTTGTAGATGCTATAACTTTCACGTAAACCAATTAATTTACATTTATTGGAATTTTTTTTTTTTAGCAAAGATATGTCGCAGAATACATTTTGGCCTAAATTTATGACTAATTTTGATTTTTTTTAAAAAATTTTTACTAGACATGTTTAATAGCAAAAAATCCAAAATATTATTTTTTTTCTCAAAATTGTCGGTCTTTTCTTGCTTATAGCTCAAAAAAATAAAAACCGCATAGGTGATCAAATACCACCGAAAGAAAGCTCAATTTGTGGGAAAAAAAAAGTAAATTTATTTTGGGTGCAGCGTTGCATGACCGCGCAATTGTCAGTTAAAGTAACAAAGCGCCTTAATGCAAAAAATGGCCTGGTCAGGAATCCTCAGGAGGGCAAGTGGTTAAGCTGCCGGGTGGCATATCTTGCCCCAGTCCAATAAGGACTGTGGATTTTCTATTTTAAGTAATCTTTTTTTGCATATGGTACTTTATAACTTGTATATACAATGACATACAGTATGTTTACATGACAATTTGTGTTTGAATATAAATTCAGTAATTTTATTCATTGTTTTTTTTTTTTTTTTTTTTGTTTTTTTCTAGGTGTGTTCCAAGGCCCTGAAGATTGAAGAAGCTTCAGAGTCTCAAAGACGAATGGTAGCTTCATTTTTAAAGTAAGGATCAGCTTTATCTGCAAGCCTTGCTGAAAAAAGGCTGATTATGAAAATCAAATCGGATACCGACTGTGATCAATAAGCTTCCTTTCTGTAACCTGGACTATAAAAGTTAAATGTGGAATTTACTTGCCATTAGAAAAAATTCAATATCCTTGAACATGTTTTTATATTGCTAGCTCTGTGTATTTTCTGATTGGTAGGCACAAGGATAAGTTACCTATCAAGTAAGGATGGTCATAGATATGCAGATATCTCCCTGAAAATGATGAGCTTAGCAATGCCTGCCTATTCTTTGAGAAAGTAGCTGGAGTGCAGGCATCCAGTACCAGCAAGTGTATAATGACCATCAAAATGCTTTTTGTGGTGGTGGTTTCCTGGGCCTGATCTTCTCAAGCAGTGCACATAATGACAAATATCACTTGCTTTTACTAGTTCCTTCATCACTTCCCTAGGAATAGGTAAAGTCTGTACCGTTTATTCTGTTTGAAGCATTGTGAAATTTAGTGCAGCTTTTTATTTTGCAATGAATGTGCTGCTATAGAAAAAGCCTAGGTATTCCATTAGTTCCCCCTAAGAAGTGCACATAGACAGTGAGCTATATTTCAATATAAACAATTAAGTACTTAATTCCTATTTTTCCCCTTCTTTATCCAGAAACTTGTGCTTGGGCATTGAAGACTTACAGTTAGTGTTTATGATTTCCTCTCATGAGCTATTCATGAAACTGCTGACAGATGACGAAAGGAAGATGCTTGTTGAGCAAATCAGGCAGAGAACATCCCACACCAATCTCTGTACTAAGCCTGTGACCTCCTTCTATGACATACCAGGTCAGCTGCAATATCTGTTGTTCTTGGATTGCTTTCTGTTAGCACGATCTCTTCTTATGATCACATTTACTTGGTGGGTTTTATCTGGACCTCTCGCTGAGCAGGCTTCATTATTGGCTTATAACCACTGATAAATTGGGAGGTTCCAGAGTTCCCAGGCCACTACTGTAGGGGATAGAATTCCTAGTGGCGCATCCAGGGCTTGTGAGAAGCATGTTTGTGTGTTGGGAACACGCATGATTTTGCATGCGTTCCCTGACACTCAGTAATGTGAGCGTTAGACTAGGGTGCCGAAAATACTTTTCAAGGGTGCCCTGACTGAAAAAAGGTTGAGAAACACTGGTCTATAGAACCAAAAACGCAACTTTTTGCATTCAAAAAAGTCCCTGATCCTTTCCAAAAAAACGCATCGGGTGAAAATGCAAAGATATGAACATGTTCCATAGGAAATCATGTTAAATGGACTGTAGTGCATTTCTGCAAAACGCTGCGGAAAACCCTTCAGTGTGAATCTAGGGTAAGGCTGGCCATACATGATTAATTTTCTTTCGTTCAACCAGCAAGTTGATCGAAAAAAAAAAATTGATTCCCCGATCCACACAATCTGGGTAGATGGGGGAATCCTTACTGCAGTGCTATTGATTTTTTGACAGTGTGGAGTTTTCCCCGTTGTCGGAATACACTGATCAGCACTACTGGCTGTAACCGGCGGTGCTGATTGAGAGAAAAACAGGCTGGTTGTACACAAGTCAATCGAATTTCGTTACATCTATATCCAGCTTAATTGAAGCAGAGCACCAGCTGACACTCTATATGCAGTTTCAGCAAACCATTTTTTTTTCCTTTTAGGATAAAGGCTTTACATAAATAAAAGCTGATCATTTTAAGCATCCCAGTCAGTGGTAAATGGTTCACATCAACCCTCTTAAGTGCTACATTGTCTGGATAGCTTGGTCTGGTAAAGTGTAACAAAAGGCATTTTTTTCAGTTTGGATTGAGTAAGGGAGGGTTATAACCCCTGTTAGTTTTTTGCCATCTGTGTTCCATTGGGGAGATTTCCCTTCACTTCCTGTCCCACAGCGCAAACAGGAAGTGAGATTAAATCCCTCCAAAGTGAGGGAAAACTGGAGGGTCAGCAGGGTAACCAGAAATTGTGTCCACTTTGGAAGATGTCCCCACTATTCCTGCTCTGATGACAACCCAAATTTTAGATTTTTCTTTTACTTTCAATGATAATGGTAAACTGGACAAACCGAGAGGGTGAATATTTTGTGTAAAAAAAGTTTGTCTTTTTCCAAAAACTTGTGGAAAAAAAATAAATCTTCCGGGGACTCAATATGCCTCTCAGCAGATAGCTTATGGTGTCTACTTTCCAAAAAAGGGTCATTTGGGGGTGTTTGTACTGTCTTGGTATTTAGGCACCTAAAGAAAGGCAGTCAGAAAGTAAAAGCTATGTAAATTCCATTATCTATACCATAGTTTGTTGATGCTATAACTTTCACACAAAGCAACCAATATACACTTATTGGGATTTTTTTTTTTCCAAAAACATGTAGCAGAATACAATTTGACCTAAATTTATGACAGAATTTGAGTTTTGTTTGGTTATTTGGTATGACAGAAATGAGAAAATAAGGGGGTTTTTTTTTTTTTTTCAAAATTTTCTGTCTTTTTTTTTTTTAGTGCGAAAAATAAAAAGCGCACAGGTGATCAAATACCACTGAAAGAAAGCTCTATTTGTGTGAAAAAAGGACGTAAATTTCATTTATGTACAGCAGTTCATGACCGCGCAATTGTCTGTTAAACCAGTGCAGCGCTGTATTGCAAAAAATATTGTAAATTGCAATATCTATACCATAGTTTGTAGACACTATAACTTTCACACAATGCAATCAATATACACTTATTGGGATTTTTTTTACCAAACCCGTGTAGCAGAATGCAATAGGGCCTAAATTTATGACTAACTTTGAGTTTACTGTATTATTTTTATAGCCGAAAGTACAAAAATATCAGGGGTCTTTTTCAACATTTTCGGTCTTTTTTTTGTTTATAGTGCAAAAAATAAAAAGAGTAGAAAAAGCGTATAGCAAAAAGAGGCCTGGTCAGGAAGGGGGGTAAATCCTCTGGAGGGTAAGTGCTTAAAGAGGAAAGTTTTTAGAATCTAAAAATCAGCAGAGATAAATACTGTCACAGGAAATTCACTGTGTAAATTTTTTTTTTTATTTGTCCGGAACAGGACATATTTTAGAGCACCTCTATTCCCATCTAATCTTCCCTCCATCCCTTTGTCAACAAATGAGAATAGAGAACACAGGACAGGGCTGGGAGAAGTCACTTTGTTCTGTGTAACAGTTGTCTCTGCCTCTTAAGCAAATATAAAATTATGATTACATGCGAAGTGGGAGGTGAGAAATGCCTATGACCTTTGGGCTGTGAAGCTTGCAGAACTGAAGCAATTGGGTAATAGAGATTCCCAGGTCCTGCACTGTCCACTGGGGGAAGACACATATAGCCACTAATGTAGACATATCCCCCTTTCCTCACCTGTAATCTTGGGCAGCCATCCGAGACAAATGTGCATAGGTCTGCAACCAAATTACAACTGGAAACGAGACAGATTTTTTTTCTAAAAACAATTAAGAAGTGGTCAGGGGCAGATTTTATTCTGTAGAAGTGATACTTAAGAGTAGATGAGGATGGAATTTATGAATGAAGCTGCCTAATTATCATTAAAGGATAACCTCTGGGAGCATGTTACATCCATATTTAGGGTGTAACATGCTCCAGCATTCCCACACCCAAAAAAATCCCCCCCCCCCCCCCCCCCCAGTGAAAGCGGGCGGGAGTACTTCTCCTTGCACCCACTGTCACAATCTAAAAATAGCGCTGTTGTGCGGGGCTCTGTCCAAACAGCCATGTCATTCATTTACAGAAATCTGTGAATGAATGGACTACAAGTACCATCTACCACCTCAGTAGACAGCTTGTAGTTCTCAATGAACTGTGAGGGTGCTAGTGCACTCTAGAAGTTCATTGATCTTCCTGCTCTTCAGTAACTCTCCGCCCGTACGGGAGGTACAGACAGAAAGCTGACTGAGAGTCTACAGTTGCCTGACATTGCACCTGCAATCTACTGATCACAGGTGCAATGCTTTCCAGGCTCCTGTGGGAAAGAAATATGTGCATTTGTTTTTTCCCAAAAGGGGAACGTTGTCTCAGTTTATGTCAGATTGTTTCTCTTAGTATTGCCAGGGTATGCAACAGAATTTCTAAATGTCATACATTGTTTTGCATGCATTATTTTTAACTTTTAATTTTAGACTGTTTACAATTAAAAAAATAGTTCTGGTTTAAGGACATACGAGACTTTATTTGGTACAGTCTTCTCATGACATGAGGTCAATGAAACCTAGGTGTCCAGACCAAATTTAGTAGCATTGATATGCATTGGTTAATTTGACTGTCATGAATAATCATTTTTCTGCCTAAATAATTTTTACTTGTTTAAAAAAAAATATATATATATTTTGACTATTGAATAGAAATATAAAATATTTGATACTTACTGCTTGTTTTCATTATACGCTGAGAAGTAGACAAAAATATTTCCAAAACATTTTACAGTTTTTCACTTTGATGCCTGTAGCACTCGTTACAGTTCCACCTCTGCACTGGGCATCAGGAGAAGGAATGCTCATCTAAAGACTGACTGTGGCCAGGTTTCAGTTAAATAAATGAATTGTCTCTAAAGCTCAGTACACATATTATAATCTGACTGCACGATCTCTTTTAGATTGACCAAAAAGTATGTAGTGCAAAGGTCTTCCCAACTGGATACAAACTGATTGGACAGTTTAGATAGATCTTCATATTACAAAGTTTTTTGATAGATCTAAGGTTGATTGTACAGATGATAGTACTGTCAAATTTCCCCTTTTTATGGTGAGCCACCATATAGATTACTCATCTCCTAGTGCCCCTCCTCTCCTTTCCATAAATGCAAGCATACACATTTTCCCTTTTTCATGAGTTTAGCCTTTATTAATGGCTAAGTTCACCTTTAGTAACATGTTACATGCTGCATCCATATTATTTATGGTAACAGGTAACCTATTACTATGCAGCACCCCTGTGACTGTGCGGGTCTTCGTGCCTTTCCGTGAAAGAAACATCTGTACACAATGTAGCAAGTGTGTGGACTGTTATGGAGTGTTTTTTGGCTTTTAATCTTGTGCACTTTTTTAGCATCTGCCAGTGTGAACATTGGACAGCTAGAACATCAGCTCATCCTCAGTGTGGATCCCTGGAGAATTAGGCAGATTCTGATTGAACTATATGGCGTGACCTCTGACAGCCAGTTCTGGATTGTGTCTAACAAGGTACAGTAGATACAAGAAGTAACAACTTAACAGACATGTAGTTATGTGCTCCTGGTGGACATTCCTGCTTAGTAGTAGTAGTGAATCCATTTATGTGATATATATACTTATTTTTCAATAATTTTTCATTTTTTATAATATTATTTTTATTTTTTTTCATTTATTTATTTTTAGTGGGAGGTGCCAACAGTATACAGCGGAATAATCCTGGGAATTAAAGATAGCTTGACAAGAGACCTTGTCTATATACTGCTGGCCAAAGGCTTACACTGCAGTGCTATTAAGGTGATTTGTTCTACATATTAGTGTGAATGCTTTATACAGATCTTATGTTTATGAGTAATGGGTGAATGGCACAAAATATAAATTTTAAAATGTATTTTAGCTACCTGGACAGATACAGCTTTCTGAGTCTCTGTATGCCTAGGCACACAAATACTGTGATGGGACCCTTCTCTTATTATTTATTAAAAGATATAGGCTGTTGGTGTGTGTTCTTGACTCTGGACTAGAACAGACATGTAGGGGTTTATTTACTAAAGCTGGAGAGTCCAATATCAGACTTCCTTCTGCATAGAAACCAATCAGCTTCTAACCTCAGCTTGTTCAATGAAGCTTTGGCAATGAAACCTGGAAGCTGATTGGTTTCTATGCAGAAGTGAGTCTGATTTTGGACTCTCCAGCTTTAGTAAAAATAAACCCTGCAGTGTCTTCCTAGACATGTTCAGCATCTTCCCGTTACATGGGGTGTACACCAAAGACCTGAAATCCTGTATCAGTTCTCATGTTGGCAGTACATGTACTACATAGTGGTGTCTTCCCCCTTTGAAATCTATAAGATGGGATCTTTATGGTGGATACAGAAATCCCCTTATTTTAAACATCAGTTAGCCCAGATACAGCTAATAGGAATCTGTAAAACCATTAAGACAAAGAAATGTTTAAAGAGACTGTCACCAAACTATTCATTTACTCAAAAACCTTCTCATAGGATTATATGACATTGATGTATTTTATGCATGTTGTTTACCTGTAAAAGCCTGCCTTGTGTTGTGTTCCCTTCACTTCTTTCCTGTCTGCTACATAAAGAGTTAAGTAGGGAGGTGAAGAGACGGAAGGAAATGTATATTATATAGGGCACGCTTGTTAGAGCCCAACCTCTGTAGCTGCAGGTGCCAGATGGATAACAGGGATGGATGGATGGGAGCAGTAACACTGAGGCAGCTCTTCTTTGAGTGGAAGCAAGGCTCTAATGCAGTAAACATGAAAGAGAGGAAGGCGCCTCTAAGTGCAGTATTGACAATTTATTGGTGAACAATAGATAAATTGCACTTACAAGATAAATGGTTAAAAAGACTCATCGTGTGGTATAATAAGATCCAGGTGAGACATCCAGCCATCCAGCAGCAAACTCTGTCTATAGGATCAGGAAGTAAAGCCCAGGATGTGCCTGATCCTATAGACAGAGTTTGCTGCTGGACAGCTGGATGTCTCACCTGGATCTTATTACACCACACGATGAATCTTTTTAACCATTTATCTTGTAAGTGCAATTTATCTATTGTTCACCAATAAATTGTCAATACTGCACTTAGAGGTGCCTTCCTCTCTTTTTCATAAAGAGAGGGAAGGAGGAGCTGGTCCAGCACAGAGAGTAATTAGACACTCCCAGAATAGGAGAGGGTTGTGATGTGTAGGGAAGTTTGGATCTGTGCTGGGGACACCTTTATGTAGTACAGTTTTCTAGCAAGTTCAAAGGCATATTACATGTGACTAAAAACCCCCTGCAACTAGCATTAAAACTTGGTTTTTCTGCTCTTTGGCCTGCAGGGTTTTAAGTTGGTTACAGGGTTTCCTTAACTCAGATGCTTCCAATATGAAGAGTAATTTTATTTCTCTAATTCCCTCTTGTAAGAATAGACAAAGAATTTTTTGGTTAACAGAAACCATTTTAACTGGATTATACCAAAATGGTGACTCGCAGTATTTGATTCAATATTAGAAAGAGATGGTTTTTTTATTTATTGTCTTGTGTTTCTTTTGTGGATTTTTATTTTCTTAGTTATTACTCGCCGCAACCTTTCAGTTTGTGAGCTTGCATGAGGATCAGCAGCGTTTAATTACTTTTCCAAAGCAATTTGTATGGTTTATGTGACTTGTCTTTGTATTTCGCAGGACTTTCCTCATGCAAAACAGCTGCTCACTTCCTGTCTAGAGCTAGTGACAGAATTCTCTCCCAAGCTGCGGCAGGTTATGCTTAATGAGATGCTGCTACTGGACATTTACGCTTTTGAGGCTGGGGGCGGAGTCTCCAGCGATCGGCCACCACCAGAACTCATCAGCAGAGTACGAGGCTACCTGGAAATGAGGATTCCTGGTGAGGTTTATGACTGATTCTTGCAGATTGTGCTTTTCCTATAGATCAAACTGTTCTTTCATGCACACTTCAGCTACATACTGTAGTCTTAAGCTGACCATACAGTTCTACAGGGACCGACTGGAATTCAATCAGTGTGTGGTTATCGCTGCTAGACAAAAGTTGATCGATTGTAAAAAGGACACATTGGAAAATTTTTCCTGTGGGTGCAAGTGTCAGAATACAATGTAATGGTGAGGGGTTTTTTTACCTCCACCCCATTTGTATGGGTGGAGAAATTTGTATTTATATATTTTTTTTTTTTTTCCTTTTTTGTTCAGTCCACTGGCTGAATGAAAAATGTGTATGGCCAGTTTTGTGCTGGCCATACACCACTTGAATTCCAGCCATAGCAGCAGTTGTCAGAATACAAAAGCCTGCAGGGGAGATTCAGTGTGGATGAGGGATGTATTGATTTTCTCTCATTCAGCCCACAGGCCTGAACAAGAGAAAGTGTATGGACAGCCTTATATTTTTCACTTAAAGTGGTTGTAAAGGCTGAAGGTTTTTACCTTCATGCATTCTATGTATAAAGGTAGCAAACCTTTTGTGTGCAAGAGCCACCCCAATACTTACCTGAGCCTCATCGTGATCCGACAGACAGAAGGAACAAGGTGAGCCTGCGGGGTTCCCGAAAAGAGGAGGATCCAGGCTGCTCTGTGCAAAACTACTGCACACAGTAGGTAAGTATAGACATGTTTGTTATTTAAAAAAAAAAAAAAAATTTACCTTTTTAGAATCGCTTTAACTTTTGGGCAGGTCTGGGCTTCTGGTGTTTTTTGTATTTTATGAAGCTTTGAGCTACCCCTAAGGTATCCCTGCTCTTAATGTATTCATGTCAGGCACTCATATTGTTTAGCAGTAAAGGGCTACACATTGCAGAATCACCTTCACATGGCGGTGTGGCTTCACATATATTCAACAATGAATGCAACAAAAAAACTTTTTCATCCAAATGATGGAACCAGTTTAATTAAATCTGGATCAATTGCTTAAGATTATTTGCATTATCAAAGTTGAATTTTATTCTCTGTCAACATTAGCTATTTTTAATCTTTATGCTGCTAGCCTTCCTACAGTTACAAGAAAAAGTATGTGAACCCCTTGGGATTACGTGGAGTTTTGCATGAATTGGGCATAAAATGTGCTCTGAACGTCATCTAAGTCACAACAATAGAAGAACACAGTCTGCTGAACATAATACTACACAAACATTAGATGGTTTGCCATGGTTTAATTGCACATAACAAGTAAACATTCACAGTGCAGGGAGGAAAAAGTATGCAAGGCCCTAGCATAATGACTTCTCCAGAGCTAATTGGAGCCAGGAGTGAGCCAACCTTGACTCCAATCAGTGTGATATTGGATGTGTTGCTGACAGCTGTCCTGCCCTTAAAAAAACACACACCTGTTTTGGGTTTACTGGTTTCAAGAAGCACTGTCTGATGTGAACCTTGCCTCGCAGAAAAGAGCTCTCAGAAGACCTACGATCAAGAATTGTTGATTGCATGAAGCTGGAAAGGGTTACAAAAGTATCTCCAAAAGCCTTGATGTTCATGTGTCCACGGTAAGACAGACTGTCTACAAATGGAGAAAGTTTAGCACTGTTGCCACTCTCCCTAGGCGTGGTCGTCCTGTAAAAATGACTGCAAGAGCACAGCGCAGAATGCTGCATGAGGTAAAGAAGAATCCCAGAGTGTCAGCTAAAGACCTACAGAAATCTCTGGCACATGCTAACATTTTTGTTGACACATCTACAATAAGGAAAACATTAAACAAGAATGGAGTACATGGGAGGACACCACAGAGGAAGCCATTGCTGTCCAAAAAGAATATTGCAGCACGTTTGAAGTTTGCAAAAGAGCACCTGGATGTTCCACAGCACTACTGGCAAAATATACTGTGGACAGATGAAAGCAAGATTGAGTTGTTTGGGAAGAACACACAACACTATGTGTGGAGAAAAAAAGGCACAGCACACACCAACATCAAAACCTCATCCCCACTGTAAAACATGGCGGAGGGAGCATCATGGTTTGGGGCTGCTTTGCTGCCTCAGGGCCTGGACGGATTGTTGTCATTGATGGGAAAATTAATTCCAGAGTTTATCAAGACATTTTGCAGGAAAACGTACGACCATCTGTCCGCCAACTGAAGCTCCGCAGAGGATGGGTGATGCAGCAGGACAATGACCCAAAGCATACAAGTAATTCAACAAAACAATGGCTGCAACAGCACAGAATACGCCTTCTGGATTGGCCCAGTCAGAGTCCTGACCTCAACCCGATTGAAATGCTGTGGCATGACCTTAAGAGAGCGATTCACAGCAGATATCCCAAGAATATTGCTACACTGAAACAGTTTTGTGAAGAAGAGTGGTCCAAAATGACTCCAGATCGTTGTGCAGGTCTGATCTGCAACTACAGGAAACGTTTGGTTGAGGTTATTGCTGCCAAAGGAGGGTCAACCAGTTATTAAGTCCAAAGGTTCACATACTTTTTCCTCCCTGCACTGTGAATGTTTACATGTTATGTGCAATTAAACCATGGCAACATCTAATGTTTGTGTAGTATTATGTTCAGCAGACTGTGTTCTTCTATTGTTGTGACTTAGATGACGTTCAGAGCACATTTTATGCCCAATTCATGCAAAACTCCACGTAATCCCAAGGGGTTCACATACTTTTTCTTGCAACTGTAGATAGAATTATATATTATATTTACTTGTTTTTAACTTTTTTTTTTTTTTTTTTTTTTTTACATTTCTTGAGTTGCTTCCTTTTTTTTTCTGACTTAGTTCAAAATTTCATACACCCCAGGAGTTTTCTGGTCATTTTTTTTCTTAGAGAGGAGTGGAGGACAGGCTTTTGTAGGTAAGCACACCCTCCTGTCTGGATGCCTGATCTAAGGGCAGATGGAGCCTGTGGGGGACCTGAGAAGAGGAGGATCCAGGCTGCTCTGTGCAAAACCACTGCACCCACCAGGTAAGTATAGATATGTTGTTATATGATCCCCGTGTATAATATATTAAGGGGATATGATCTCCTAGTATAATACATAAGTGGGGGATATGATCTCCATGTATAATACATAAGGGGGATATGATATCCATGTATAATACATAAGGGGGATATGATATCCATGTATAATACATAAGGGGGGATATGATCTCCATGTATAATACATAAGGGGGATACGATCTCCATGTATAATACATAAGGGGGATACGATCTCCATGTATAATACATAAGGGGGGATATGATCTCCATGTATAATACATAAGGGGGGATACGATCTCCATGTATAATACATAAGGGGGATACGATCTCCATGTATAATACATAAGGGGGGATACGATCTCCATGTATAATACATAAGGGGGGATACGATCTCCATGTATAATACATAAAGGGGGGATACGATCTCCATGTATAATACATAAGTGGGGGATATGATCTCCATGTATAATACATAAGTGGGGGATATGATCTCCATGTATAATACATAAGGGGGGATATGATCTCCATGTATAATACATAAGGGGGGATATGATCTCCATGTATAATACATAAGGGGGGATATGATCTCCATGTATAAATACATCAGTGGTTCATATAGTGAACTCGGTGTAGAACCTTTTAGCATCACTTTAATAGACATGAGGGTAATGGTGCAGAGGAGGGTAAGAAGGTGTAGATGATGCAGAATGGTGTGTGAAATTTTGTTTTTCATGGTTTAACAAACCATGAGAAAAATACCCTAAAACCTGTCATAAAACACCAATACCTACTGTGTTTACACCTTCCTTTCCTTTACACCATTATTCCTATTTAGAGTGGTGTATTTTGGGGTACAGTATGTATCCTACTGAATAGTGAGAGAGCACTTTCTCTCTACAGCAGGCCATACATGGCTCAGTTTTTATAGTTTAACCAATCCAGCTGATTGGCTGCATGCGCCGATCGAAGCAAAATTTTCCAACAAGAAAGTTCATGAGAAGTCACTGGATAGATCAACTTCTCGTGAACTGGAATGCCCATAGATGGATTGAAATTCAGCTGGTCTCTGCTGAACTGGTGGAAGTTCAATCCATGTATGGTCAGCTTTACTGGCTATATAACACTTGTAGACACTTTTGTTTCTGCTTAGTATCCAGTAGGAGGTAACGATTTGGTCATGTGTAGTAGAGATCAAAAGTTTCTTTATTTTGCTTTTTTTGTTATTCTAAACTCTTCATATTGTAACAGATCACCTGATACTTTACCTTTGCTCTTGCTCAGAATAATGCAGTACATCTTCTCTCTGCAGACATTCCCCTCCGACAAGTCGTGGCAGAGGAGTGTGTAGCTTTCCTACTCAACTGGAGAGAAAATGAGTACTTGACATTACAAGCACCTAACTCCTTAGTGCAGAACAATCCCTATGTCAAGGTAATATTTTACTCCTGATTCAAGCAGCCTCTCTCATAGCAGTCTGTTGTAGGTCTCTTACAAGAATCAGTGCTCGTTTTGGGACAGGGACTTTGATACAGAGATGTCCATGTCCCAAAACTAGCACCATTTCCAATTCATGACAGCTGGAAGAACTGGTTGGGAGATTCAGCTGTGATGGGTGATGTTTGCCAGGACAGGCCATTACATTTTATAAGCTTTTTGGCCCCGTCATATTTAAGCTTTAAGCCAGCCATACATGGATCAAAATTTGTCTGGTTCGGTGGGGACTGGACGATCTATGTATAGGAAGGGTGGTTGCACAGAATACAATCTACCAATTGACTTCTGTACAACTGCCCTGTCAGTTTTTTTCATCACTTGATCAGCATCACAGGCTATAGCTGGCAGCACTGATTAGTGTATTCTGATGGCAGGGAGGTCCCTCTGTGGTCAGAATCTAATGACACAGTGAGGAGGATTCCCCTATCCACAGTGTATGGATGGGAGAACCAAGTCAGTTTTTTTTTTTTTCGTTCAACCCTGTGGTTGAACAAATAAAGACTCCTCTATGGGCTGCCTTAAGCATGATTCTATCTGTCCAGGGGTTTTGTTTTTATCACGTTGTTATTAAAATGATCCTGTAATGAGAAATAACATGACAAACTGACATTATATTCCAATGTGTGCAACGGCACAGGAGAGAGGGAGGGTGCCTGATTTTAACCATGGGTAGGTTTCGATCTTATGTAAATTTTGCCTGGGAGCTCCCTAAGCTTTACAGCACACTTCCATGCACTTTTGTGTCTGCTTGGAGATTTGGCAAGTCTCCCATCTTCATTCAGCTTATTTGGCTGATGATGTGCCCTTCTATAATAAACCTCTTACAAACCTGAGCAATTCAGATAAGCATATGAAAAAAAACTATAGAACATACCTTCAGGCCAAAATGAACTGATCCAGAGATCGTCAACTGAAGTTATTTGTAGATCTCAACTATTCCTGCAAAAATGAAACTTTTTAGGAGCCTCTGTTGGTTTATTGAGGCAGTCTGTTATTTTAAGTGACTATCGGGGTGTTTTGGGAGGCAGGAGGGCATGGGCCATGCTCCGCTTTTTCCGGACAAATTGAGACGTGCTCCTTATTCTGGGCCTGGATTGCCTAGGTTTGTGAAATGTTCAAAGTTCACCTTTAGGAGCAAGTTACGTTACACCCATATTTAGGGTGTAACATGTAACATTCTCCTATGCACCCACCTCGCACCGCCAGCGCTCCCTTCTCTGTGACAGCTGGTGAGGGACTGTCTCTCCACAATCGCTGTTACAATTTAAAAACAGCACTGCCGTGCAGAGCTCTGCCCACACAGCCTTGTCATTCAGTTTTCTGTGAATAAATAGACTACAAGTACCAGCAGCCCTTGCAGATATACAGCTTGTAATTATGAATGAGTTCATTGATTCTTCCTGCAATTCAGTAACTTGTCGCTTGTACAGGAGGTATGGGCAGACAGCTTACTGAGAGTCTGAAGGATCCTGGCATTGCACCCACTATCTTCTGCTAGCGGTTGCAATGCTTTACAGACTTCAATGTAAAATAAGAAATGCACATTTTTAACTGCAAAAAGATGTGTGTGTGTGTATATATATATATATATTAGTAATTAAAAAAAAGTGTTTTTTTTTTTTTTTTTTTTTAACAAAAGGTGAACTTTAAAGCAATTGAAGAGGACTTCGATTTTAGCATGCTACCAAATGTTTTCTGGATAGCAACACAGCATCTTCCCTAATGCATGCAATATCAATTTAACCACTACACTTCTATGTACTACTGGTTTTCATGATAAATTCCTTTCCTTTTCACAATCTCTGCTACAAATTCTCTGACCAGTTAATAGATTCTTTGTTCTCTCTCCAGCTCGGACAGCTGCTGGCAGCCACATGTAAAGAGCTCTCAGGACCGGACAGCCGGAGGGCAGCTAAAGATCTTTGGGAGGTGGTGTTACAGATATGCAGCGTCTCCAATCAGCACAAGCGGAACAGCGAGGGCAGAATTAGCCTGATCAAAAATAGAGAATCCACTATGGGAATCATGTACCGGTATGTTATTGGATGAGTAACTTGCCACTCTGTGCTAACTGATCAATTTTTGAAGTACACAGCTTGCAACTTGCTTCCTGAATGTTAAAGTAGGCGTCTGGGAACTGGAGTCCCCAAAAGCTATTGGGAACTGTTATGTAATTTTAAAGTGACAGTAAACACTGGTTTAAAAAAATAAATCTTCAAGTATGTAGAACAGAATTTCTGCGCTAGAAATGGAGCCCTATCCCTATAGCTGCTGACACTTAGCCTCCTACCAAAGTGAGTACAATACAATAAATAATAAACAGTGCAGCACTAAATCATAAATCTAAAGATAAATAAATACAAATGCAAAATGAATTTATATATACAATATATAAGTGCAGCCGTGCAAATAAAAATTAAATAAAGTGCATGTTAGAGTGGGCATTTTTTGTATAAAGTTTACTCAATAAATTGCGGTTTTACACTATGAGAGCTTTCTGTTTATATATGAACTGGAGAGGAAGCTGCTGACAGAGTGTATATCTCTGGGGAGGATCCTGTGATACATCTGAGTGGTGTTTTATCCTAAAGCGAGCTGACCCTGTAGGGTCAATGTAAGGAGGTGAGGGGCCACTGTAGCCATTTTCTGGATATACACAATGTGGACACTTGTTATCACTTGCATGAAGATTTCGTATTGGACACTATATTTATATGGACTTGTTTATAATGAGTGGTGATTTATATTAGAGTGATTTGTTGACAGATTGCTGTGATCACTTTGTCACTTTGATTATTCCCATGGGGGAATACACGTGTTGCACTTTATTCAATTTTTATTTGCACGGCTGCACTTATATATTGTATATATAAATAAATTTTGTATTTATTTATCTTTAGATTTATGATTTAGCGCTGCACTGTTTATTATTTATTGACTAGGAAAAGTTCCTTCTATTGCTCTCAGCCTCCTCAAAATTCCTTTTTTACTGCTGTGGTTTGACTTCCTATTAGAGGGTGGCTGTATTTGTTCGCCATGGTCCTACTGTGTTTAGGAACAGAGCAACCCTCTCTTGTTTGCTCCCAAGGTGGACTATGAACTATGAGAAGTGTAATGTGCATAGAACCGTGCACTTCTTCAACAAACAAAGGGAGGCAAGAAGGTTACAAGAAGGCAGGAATTCACAGTAAGAATTGATTTAATGAAAAATTGACTACAGGGTGGGTGTGTATGAATTAATTTTGGATATTTAGTTTCACGCTAATTTTCCACCTTTACCAAAAACTGAGATAAATGTTTTGGTGTAGTGACATTTTAGTTTTTGTTACTGCTGTTGACCATTCCTTAATTCCTTTTATTGTAGGAGTGAACTTCTGTCTTTCACAAAGAAATTAAGAGTAAGTATCTTCTTTACTTGTTTTTTTTAAATGGCTTTCAACAGACTTTAATTCAAAGTTATGTTTCATTATTGTCTGGAAATCTGATGAAATTCATCCTAAATCCCAGACCTGCTATCTTCCACTATTTCTGTATATATAATAATTAAAGTGATCCTTTATGCTGTATATGTTATAGTATGTAAACATGTATCTATTTTTATCTATTTTATTTGAAAAATTGCCAGATTAATTGAATCAGTGTTTTTTTTTCCTCCCACCTCCTATTTGCAGGAACCTCTAGTGTTAACAACATTGCTATCTTTGTTTGTTAAGCTTCATAATCTGCGGGTAAGCGCTTTATTCATGTGGTTTGAGTTTGTTAATTGAGTATAAATAGCTTATAAACATGTTTTCTTTTGTCATACAGGAGGATATTGTCAATGATATTACTGCTGAACATATCTCTATCTGGCCAACCAGCATTCCAAAGTAAGTTCATTGTAATTGAATTCTTTTATGTTATAGGGGCAGTTGTCTTCTCCTATTTGCTCTCTGCTGCTGCCTGGATGCACCTCTAGAGACCCTTGCAATTCCTATGCACATTTTGTCTATCTGAAAATCAAAACTTACACCAGACTAAGCATATTGTCCCTCTACCTCTGAGGATGGCGATTTACCACGTAAGAACCCAGGATTGAATTGAGGGACAGAGTTACCAGTTGTTTTAGGTTGTGTTTGGGGGTCTGGGTGGTAGAGGAGCAGGTAAAGGGTAGAGCAGGTACCCTGTGGTGCTTGCTGAGCAGCATCCTCCTGACTTTCTTCACACTTGTGATAGTATGCATGGGCCATCATCATATGATCTTTTTTGACCTCTTCAGAGGCTCAAAAATGAAGTGTTTCTGACCCTCCTCTTCTTGTGCTACATAGTGTCCTCTTTTTTGAGGCATTGAGCTGTAACCCAGAAGTGCTCCAGCCATTGAGAAGGCATCAACTCACTGGTCCTCCTTTTTATTGCTGTAGCATAATGCATGACTTACTGTATATGGCTGTTGAATTAAATATCCATAGCTGTTGAGTAAATTGATGATCCTGACAGAAAATGTTTAATGCTCTAGAAACATGAAAAAAAATCAAGTTAACATTTGTGGTGCTTTTTATACATTTTGTATCTATGAGATTTATAGTGATAGAGGTCTCGGCTATCTATGGCTAGTTCTGAGTAAGGGTGATACTGCTGCATCTGTGCTGTCATTGGAGCACTGCAGTTATTACGCTCTGTTAGTTCTTGCCACATCATTTCCATTTGCATGTTGTGTCTCATTATGTCGGACATCAGCACTAACTCATCCGCTGCGTGACTCAGGAAGTCTTAAACCTTTGGATTTAATTGCTGCCTATAGAAGGATTGGACACTGGCATAAAAAAAAAAAAAAATTGTAGGGCAGCGCAGGTTATAGCCCCTCCTGCTACCACCTTGCTTCAGTTTTTTTGCTAGTGTTTTAAGAGCTGGACATTTTTTCTTTCAGTTCTGTTACACAGCATGACCTGTAATTTTTTTTTTTTTTTTTTTTTTTTCTTTAGCAAACTTTTTTTTTTTTCTCATAAACCCCTTGTCTACCAAGGTACGCTTATAAACGGCGGGGCAAACAAGGGGTTATAGCAAGCAGCAGCCATGACCTAGGTACTGACTTTAACAGCTGGAGGGGTACTTTTATGTAAAAGTAATCTGCCCCACTGATGGTGATATCCCATGGTTGCCACGCTCTCTCTCGTTTCTCCAGAAAGCCCAAGACTGCGGAAATCTGTTAACTAATGAACGTGGAAGCAATGTTTACTGTGTTGCTTCCGGTTTCATAACTGTCATTCTTCAGCTACTGTAGCTGAGAATGCAGCTCATCAAGCAATATCTCTGCTTTATTAGCTACATTGTAGGGCACAGAGGACTTTGAGGGTCTAGAAGGGGAGGAAGTGGGGAAAAAGGATGGAGGTGGCAGTCATGGGGAAAGAATGGGAGAAACAGTAAAGGGAAGGGAAAGGGGTGCATTAGGAGTGTTAATGCAAACAGAGTTCAAAGTCTGCAGAAGAATGTGGTGATCTTCCAAGTCTTTGGTATTACTCTTTCTCATTACATTTGTCTAAATTCTTCCAGCTTCCAGTCTGTAGACTTTGATGCTGTTGCTGTCACTGTGAAAGAACTGGTAAAATACTCACTGAAAATCAATTCCAATAACCACAACTGGCTCATCATCCAGGCCGATATATATTTTGGTGAGTGAACCCTTCACATAATATAAATTCCTGTAGCATATAGCTTATGTACAGGCAAAGTGCTCCTTGTATAAACATGATTTTTTTTTTCCAGCAACCAACCAGTTTTCTGCTGCTTTAAACTACTATCTTCAGGCTGGGGCTGTCTCGTCTGACTTCTTCACCAAGCAAGTCCCGCCAGATGTGTATACTGATCAGGTAAGATAGATATTCAAATACTGGAAAAACTTTGTGATCTCAGGAAACTGTATGTCTAGGGTGCCTCTTTATGTGCAGATGTACTGTATATACATTTGGGAACCTCTGAACAATCTGGGGCACATGGACCACAGAGACCAGTCGTTACACTTGTTGTGGGATGCCATGTTGGGGATGTGTCCATGATTGGGAATACACTGTGTATGGCATTATGAGAAGCTCAAAAAATGTTTAAATATTGACGTCTATATTTGCTCTTTTTAACTGACAGTCACTGGGTGCTATTATATCATTAGGTATAAAGCAATCCTGAGATAGACAAAAAGCTATTGTCATACTTACAACTACATACTGTATAAGGAATTTCATTTGATTCCAGTAGTGTTTGTAGTCTAATAAAATCCATTCCATAATGAAGTTCACAGTGCAGCTTTATAGCTGCACAAAAAAGCAAATGTTTGCTATGAAAATGATAATATGTGTCAATCATATGGGCTGTACTAGGAAATGAGGGGGCTGGCCAGATTGCATGCATGAGAAAAACTGCTGTCTGACCTATAGAAGATTCCAGCCACAGATAAAGATCTGTGGTGCACAGGTTGTCTAGCTTCCTTCTGTTAGGTATGTAGATATCTAAACTGAAAGGGGGGGGGGGGGGGCTTTCTTACCGAGGGAAGGTCAGTTTTTTGAATTGGGACTAAGATCATTACTGGCATGCTTTGGATGCTGAAAAGTGATACTGTTTTCTCAAATGTCCATAGCATATAGCTTGTACCTTATCCTTAAAGTGGTTGTAAAGGCTTTTTTTCTGAAAAAACAAAAAACAAACATGTTCTATTTACCTGAACTGTAGTAGTATTGCACAGAGCATTCCTGAACCTCCTCTTCTGGGGTTCCCCGCTAGTGCTTTTGACTCCTCCCCTTCTTTGTGTGCCCCAATAGCAAGCTGCTTGATATGGGGTTATACCTATGAGCTTGATCCTGAGCCAGGCTATGTGCATCTATTAACACACACAGCGAGGTTCAGCCCCACCCCCCGCTCTCTGCTCACAGGATTTGATTGACAGCAGCAGGAGAAAGCCAATGCAGATGGGCACAGCACTGGATCGATATAGGTAAGTATACAGGGGGGTGAGGGGGCGTGATATATGTGATTTGCATTTCCCGGTAGGGGGGTGAGCACACACCGCTATTGGCGGCTAGAGATATCAATCACTGGGTCCCAGCACTCAGGGAAAGCTGACAGGGGAGAGACCTGTGTGTAAACAACACAGGTCTCTGTCCTGTCAGCATGGACGTGCTGTTTTGTATCTCTCTGCACAGCATGTCTCCCTAGTATAGTAGTAATCTGCACAGCAGAGAGATACAAAAGAGCATGTCTCCCTAGTAAAAAACAGCACACGGTAAAACGCACACGGTTAACCCTTTGATCGCCCCAGATGTTAACCACTAGGCCTGTGCACCCTCTGTTCTTTCCTCATTTGTTAACCCCTTCCTGCCCAGTGTCTTTAGTATAGTGTCAATGCTATATTATAGCACTGATCACTGTATTAGTGTCACTGGGGATGTCAGTGGCAGTTAGTTCCCACCCTGTGTCAGAATGCCCGCCGCAGTCACACTATAAGTCGCTGATCGTGGCCATTACTAGTATAAAAAAATTAAAATTCCAGTATACAGTGGATATAAAAAGTCTACACACCCCTGTTAAAATGTCAGGTTTCTGTGATGTAAAAAAAAAATGAGACAAAGATAAATCATTTCGGAATTTTTTCCACCTTTTAATGTGACCTATAAACTGTACAACTCAATTGAACAAAAAACTGAAATCTTTTAGGTGGAGGGAAGTAAAAATACAAAACCAAAATGGTTGCATAAGTCTGCATACCCTTAAACTAATACTTTGCTGAAGCACCTTTTGATTTTATCTCAGCGCTCAGTCTTTTTGGGTATGAGTCTATCACCATGGCACATGTCTTCCTTGCAAAAACACTCCAAATCTGTCATATTGCGAGGGCATCTCTTGTACACAGCCCTCTTCAGATCACCCCATAGATTTTCGATCGGATTCAGGTCTAGGCTCTGGCTGGGCCATTCCAAAACTTGAATCTTCTTCTGGTGAAGCCATTTCTTTGTTAATTTGGATGTATGCTTTGGGTCGTTGTCATGCTGAAAGATGAAGTTCCTCTTCATGTTCAGCTTTCTAGCAGAAGCCTGAAGGTTTTTTGCCAATATTGACTGGTATTTGGAACTGTTCATAATTCCCTCTACCTTGACTAAGGCCCCAGTTCCAGCTGAAGAAAAACAGCCCCAAAGCATGATGCTGCCACCACCATGCTTCACTGTGGGTATGGTGTTGTTTTGGTGATGTGCAGTGTTGTTTTTGTGCCAAACATATCTTTTGGAATTTTGGCCACAAAGTTCAACCTTGGTTTCATCAGACCTTAACACATTTTCCCACATGCTTTTGGGAGACTTCAGATGTGTTTTTGCAAAATTTAGCTGGGCTTGGGTATTTTTCTTCATAAGAAAAGGCTTTCATCTTGCCACTCTACCCCATAGCCCAGAATACAGGAGATTGTTGTCACATGTTCCACACACACTCCGTACTTGCCCTTTAACTTGTAATTAAAACTAAACTTTTAAACCTTAACCCCTAACTCTGACCCCTAGTGCAACACTAAATTACCCATACTTGGGCTTTATGCACACTAGGAACTTTAAATAAACAACAGAAAATGCTGGATAAAAAAAACCCTCAATATTAGCGTTTTTGTCAGTGTTTTTCAAGTTTTGTGCTGGCTGTTAGCAGTGAATAGCGGGTTGTTAAGAAGCGGGTGGCCACCGAAGTCCTTAACAACCGATGACTTATCAGCTGTCAGCGTGATTCCCCACTGACAGATGAATGAAACAAAAGACTGCATGAATTTTTTTTTTAAACTGTGTGGGGGTTCCCCCAATCCATACCAGGATATTCGGGTCTGGTACAGGTTTTAAGGGGAACCCACGCAAAAAAAAAAAAAAAAACAGCAGCATGCGGTCCCCCCAAAAGTCCATACCAGAACCTTAGGTCTGCTATTGATTTTGAGAGGAATCTCATGCCAAAATTAAAAAAAAAAAAAAAGTGTGGGCCCCCCCCCCCCAAAATCCATACCGGACCCTTATCTGAGCATGCAGGCCAGGTAAGGACCATACTAGGCCACATGCCCTCAACATGGGGTGCTTTGGGATAGAGGGACAAGGGCCTCTTAAACACAACCCTGGTTTATGGTTATGGGTGTTTGCAAGCGGTTGGCTTATCGAAATCTAGAAGTCCCTTTAACAACCCCTATTCATTCACAAAAAAAAAAAAAAAAAAAAAAGAGTAGTGTAGATAAAGACAGGAGTCGTTTTTAATCCTTTTTAAGTCCTTTATTAAAAAAAACGTAATGAAAAAAATGTGTCCCCCTGTGTATATCCATCGACAATTGACAGGGCATGCTGGGTCAATGCGATCACAAGGAGGCAGGGTCACACGGTAATATCACTGGTGGCTCCCCTTAGTTTATTTAGCGGCAGCTACAAAGTGGAGCTGTCCGACGGCTGGGGGGGGACAGTTTATTTTTAATCTTTTTTAAAAAAAGGACTTCGCCAAAAACTGGCTCCTCTCTTTATCTACACTACTCCTTTTTGTTTTTTTTATTATTTTTTTTTTTTTGTGAACGAGTAGGAAATATTACTCCTATAAGCCCCCTGCTTATTTGATTTTTTTTTTGCCGTGGTGTTCTAAAAATCTGTACCAGACCCAAAAGGCTTGTGCTCTCCAAAACACAAACCAGAGAGTATTTTTTTTTTTTCTGCTCCTATAAGCTGAGCTTAAAAAGTGTACACCTCTGGGCTAAAAAGTGTACATGGGCAAATAATTATATTATTATTATTATTATTTGCTTCAAGAGGCAGAAAAAAAACTTTAGGACTGTACACCCTGTTCCCAATTATTATGCAAATGATATTTTTCTCATTTACCTAAATAATTGATGTAAATAACAGTCAGTATAATTCTCATGTTATCAACTATTAAGAGTACAATTCACATTTTATTGAACAAACCTCCTAATGATAACAGTATTTTTTTAAACATAAAAACACTTCCAATGCACTGTTCCAAATTATTACGCACAGTAAGTTTCAAAACACTTTATAGGTTGTAAAGAACTGAAAATTGTCATTTGTTGTGTTTGCAGCATATTTACTGAAATCAAAAGCTATTTCAATCAAACTTTTAACAACATTTTAAGCTTTTTAAACATTTTAAAACGGTCACGTTACATTTTAACATAGGACCCCTTATTTGATAGCAGCTTCACAAGTCTTGCATCCATTGAACTTGTGAGTTTTTGGACAGTTTCTGCTTGAATTTGTTTGCAAGATGTCAGAATTGCCTCCCAGAGCTGCTGTTTGGATGTAAACTGCCTCCCACCCTCATAGATCTTTTGCTTGAGGATGCTCCAAAGGTTCTCAATAGGATTGAGGTCAGGGGAGGATGGAGGCCACACCATGACTTTCTCTCCTTTTATCCCCATAGCAGCCATTGATGCAGAGGTATTCTTTGCAGCATGAGATGGTGCATTGTCATGCATGAAGATGATTTTATTATGGACAGCATAGTTCTTCCTTCTGCACCAGGGAAGAAAGTGGTCAGTCATAAAGGCATTGAACTATTTCACTCTTTTTCGGCAGCAGAGAGATCCTTTTCTTCCCCATATTGCTTGAAAATGGTGCTCTGTTTATTACTGTGGAACACCCTCCTTTAGTAGTTTTTCCCTAAATTGGGCTCACCTGCCAATCTAATTATCACAGGTGTCCGAGATTGTTTTCAGTGATCAAAAGAGCCCTGAGACACAATGGCATCCATGAGTTAAACTGAAAAACAAAATATTTAATCTTTGTGACACTTAAATACAATTTGCATAATAGTTTGGAACAGGGTGTATGTTTGAGTTAGTGTGCATGTAGCCTTATTGGTACTGAAAGTAATCATTCCTGTACTAAGATCTCCACACGTAAAATTACTTAATATGCTGTTTTTTAGTGCGAAAGATCAAAGTGTTTGTCAAAATTTTGAATTCTTTAAACATATGTATACATTGGAATTTTCAAACAATAAATTTTGGGATAAATATAACATGGTGTATTAAGTTTTCGGTTTATTTAACAGGTGATTAAAAGAATGATAAAGTGCTGTAACCAACTGTGCTGCCACACTCAGGTAAGTGCCTGTATTTCCCTAATGCCCAACCTGCGGCCCTTTGCTACTTGTTGAGGGACCGTTGCTTTTTCACCTTTTCACTGCCAGAGCCATTTTTTGCACACATGTATAAAAAATTATTTTAGTCCTGAAGATTGTAATAAGCTCCAAAATATTATATCATTTCTTAAAGCAGGCACTCTAGAGAATAAAATAGTGGTAGTTCCAATATTTTGTTACACAATATTGGTGCAAAGGACTAGGAAACAGAATTTCAGTAAAAAATAGACTAAAGTTAATTTTAGGGTACACATGCACAATAAATTACAAATTTGTAAAATGTAAAGGATGGGGTTGCACTGAGTAAATCGATACTCAACATATCAAACATTAAAATTGCTTGCTCCCAGGAAATGGCGACAAACTTCAGTACCCTATGTTTTCCGTAGGTGACGCTTTAAAAGCCCCTACAGGTCATCAGTTTAGAGTTAAAGCAAAGCTTCACTCAAAATGTAAAAAATTAAAAGTCAGCTACAAAAACTGTAGCAGCCAACTTAAAAAACAGATACTCGACTGTCCTTCGATCCAGTGGTAGGCTCACCACAGCCAGTTTCACTGGCCATCCTCTCTTTCCAGCGCTGGCATCTTAAGTGTGGCCTTGCGGCTTCACAGTCAGGTGCCCACTTTGCATGCACAAGCAGCGCTGTACCTTGGGAATGGTCCCATAGTCTTTTGGGACCTGTCACTTGTCCCAGAAGACTGGGGGGAGGACAACTTCCGCTCTCAATCACCTAGGCGGTCGCAGCGGAAGTGGTAGCGGGTACCTGTCAAAATCAGATTCCCGTTCCCCAAAGGTGCCAATCCTTAACAGGGAGCGGGGGGATGGGACCTTAAAGCGGAACCTCCCCTATTGGGTGGAGCTCTGCTTTAACCCCTTCACGTTTAAGGGTAAAACAAATCTTAACGCCTAAGCACAATCTTGCAACTTTGACATGTGTTAGTAAAACCGTACATATCATCAAAACTACTTTGTACACATCCAGGTGGATTATACCTTATTTTTTTTCACGACAAATTGGGCTTTCATTTGGTGGTAAATGGTAATGGATATCTCCTGATTCTTTTTTTTTTTTTATCAAAGGAAAACTGGCCCAAAATAGTAAAAAAAAATGTTTTAAATTTAGCTATGTGTTTCTTGTTACAACTATAACCTACCACCAAAGAACACCCCAAAATAAATTTTCCAGCTCTTGGTGATTGCAGCGATACCATATATGTGTATGTTATTTGTTGATTGTACCCACAGTACAGCCCAGAAACAATAGTGCACATTTTGTTTTTTTACTTAGAACACACTGACACAAACTAATACCAATTAAAAAAAAAAAAAATCTTGACCCAAACACTAACCCTGGCATTGAACTAGATCAAACCTTGATCTAGGTATTTTTTTTTTTGTATTTATTTATTTATTTTTTTAACAAACGTTTGTTTGTTTGTTTTTTCCTCTATGCAAGGAGAGAGAAAGATACAATGTATCTCCTCCATTCATAAAGAAAAGAAAAAGGGGGGGCGGGCTGTACAGTGACTCATCACTGTGATAGCCAATCAGAGGCTATCATAGTAATCATGTCACCTGGAATCGGGAGTCCCGGGTCCCGATCATTAGAACGGGACCTGGGGCTCTCAATGACACCCTGGTCTTTGTGCTGGGAGCGCACTGTGCGCAAATATGTGGCACCATGGAAAAAAGCCCAGTTCTATGAGGCCACATATTTGTGCTACGTCGATGTGAAGGGGTTAAGCAGGAGCTCCGGTGCTAAAATGTATTACTCTCACTCCGAAGTGCATAGTAATGTAACTTGTATCACGATCAACGTGACTGCAGAGAGTTGGTGACTGTCAGTGGTGAGCAACAATGGCAGCACATTATGGAGCAGAGATGGCCTGAAGTAGGAGCGCATGCTTCGCAACGCATCGCCATTGTTGCTCATCACATCCGGTCATGACGTCACTTCCGCCCGCCAGCTGTGTTCCACGCAAATCGGGAAGCCCTGAGAGCCTCCAGAACTATCTACCAGCGTGCCCACAGCCTTGTCCATCAGGCGGGTCGGAACTGGTACTGATTACAGCCACTTACTCAGCATTACATGCCCACTTATATCTTCCTTTTGTGACCATTAAAACATTCTTTTTAATACTACACCTAGATGGCGCTTGTTTCTCTCTTCGCTTTAGCCCACTGTCGGCTGACAACGAGCCACAGGAATGCAGAACGAACTTCCCTTCCATGACCCACAGGAGAAGTACAGCCAAAAAAGCTTTGACTATACTTCTCCTTTTAACTTTTTTTTTTTTCCCATCACAAGTGTGGTGATTTTTTTGGTGACAGGTTTTCTTTAAATGAGACACCAGGAGTCTATTTTGAAAAAAAACGGGGATTTTGGATGCTTTCGAGTGGCTGCCCAGCCATCAGATCACTTCCATCTGACAACCGGCATTAGGCTTGTCATATATAAACACACTCCCTTTGGCTGTAGCCACCGGGAGTGTGTGTAAACCCCCCTCCTGCTGTCAGGTCCATATGACATATGGACCTGGCAGCAAGAGCGTTCGAGGGACTGTAATGACAGTGATCTCCATCAGTCTTTTTATAACATGTTCCCAGACTCTGTCTTTGTCCTGCACCATGTCTCCAGTTTCCAACTACACCTGAAGCATATCTGCAGCCTCAGACCTTCTCCTGTATATGTCCAAAGATGGTCTTCTGTACTATTGCATACACTATATTGCCAAAAGTATTGGGACATGCCTCCAAAGCATTGGATTCAGGTATTCCAATCACCTCTAAGGCCACAGGTGTGTAAAATCAAGCACTTGGGCATGCAGACTGCTTCTACAAACATTTGTGAAGGAATGGATCGCTCTCACGAGTTCAGTGAATTCAAGCGTGGTACAGTGATTGGATGCCACCTGTGCAATAAGTCCATCCGTGACATTTCCTTGCTGCTATATACTCCACGGTCAACTGTTAGTGGTATTATAACAAAGTGGAAGCAACTGGGAACAACAGCAACTCAGCCACGAAGTGGTAGGCCATGTAAAATGACAGAGCGGGGTCAGCGCATGCTGAAGAGCACAGTGCGCAGAAGTCACCAACTGTCTGCAGAGTCAATAGCTAAAGACCTCCAAACTTTGTGTGGCCTTCAGATTAGCACAACAACAGTGTGTAGAGAGTTTCATGGAATTGGTTTCTATGGCCGAGAAGCTGCATCCAAGCCTTACATTTCCAAGTGCAATGCAAGTGTCGGATGCAGTGGTATAAAGCACGCCGCCACTGGACTCTAGAGCAGTGGAGATGTGCTCTCTGGAGTGAATCATGTTTCTCTGTCTGGCAATCTGATGGACATGTCTGGGTTTGGCGGTTGCCAGGAGAACTGTACTTGCCTGACTGCATTGTGCCAAGTGTAAAGTTTGATGGAGGGGGGTTTATGGTGTGGGGTTGATATTCAGGGGTTGGGCTTGACCCCTTAGTTCCAGTGAAAGGAACTCTTTTAATCCATCAGCATACCAAGATATTTTGGACAATTTTATACTCCCAACTTTGTGGGAACAGTTTTCGGGATGGCCCCTTCCTCTCCAAACATGACTGCACACCAGTGCACAAAGCAAGGCCCATAAAGACATGGATGAGCAAGTTTGGGGTGGAGGAATGTGACTGAGCTGCACGGAGTCCTGACCTCAACCCATTAGAACACCTTTTGGAAGAATTAGAGTAGAGACTGCAAGCCAGGCCTTCTTCCAGAAGTACATTTGTGAGGTCAGGCAATGATGTTGGGCAAGAAGGGTCAAACATTCCCATACCAGGGGTAGGCAACCTGCGGCTCTCTAGCTGTTGTGGAACTACATTTCCCATGAGGCATTGCAACATTACAAAACTGACAGTTACAGCTATGACTTGCAGAGGCATGATGGAACTTGTAGTCCTGCAAGAACTGTAGCTGGAGAACCGTAGGTTGCCTACCCCTGCCATAGACACACTCTTAAACCTTGTGGACAGCCTTCCCAGAAGAGTTGAAGCTGTTATAGCTGCAAAGAGTGGACCAACTCAATATTGAACCCTACGGCCTAAGACTGGGATGGCATTAAAGTTCATGTGTGTGTGTAAAGGCAGGCCGACCAATACTTTTGGCAATATAGTATATATTGAATATTTATGTGTAACCTAATATCTTTCAAGTTGACCACCACTGTTGTATTTTCGTTGTATATATTAAACTGTATTCATTCATAAAGCTTTTTATGAAACACTGAATTGTTCACATTTGTTTTTTGCCACTAAAGGAGGTTATGTATGTTCCTACAGCAGCCATACAATCTCAAATACAGCTGGGCTTTAGGTGGGAGATAGCTATTGGACCAGCATGTTGTTAGATTTTGGGAAGAAACAGGAATACCTGGAGGAAATACACATAAGTAAAAGAGAATATAGATGCAGTATGCACATAGAGTTGGGGTAACTGACGGTTCACCTAGAAGAACAAGGACAGAGTACAATAAACATTCAGATATACATTGTATATTCTAAAGTCTGTATCACTAAGATTTCATGATTATGACTTTTCTTTTTACAGGTCGCTATACTCTGCCAGTTCCTTAGAGAGGTTGATTATAAAACTGCCTTTAAAGCTCTCCAAGAACAAAATGGGTAATGCTGCATTATTCTTGTAGATGCAGTAGAAAAGTAGGCTTCTCAAATGTGTTTTTTAGATTGTGAATTGAATAGCGAACGGTTAAAATCACTTTTAGGTTTTAATTACTATTTGTGTCCTTGTTTGGGGGGGGGGGGGGGGTTTTCCTGTCACAGGAAGCAAAAGTAAGGAGGACAGGAGCTTAAAAAACATGTTATCTAAATCATACAGTACGGGACACAGGCTGAGTATTCATAGACCGAGTTATAAGTTGTATTCCAGAACTGAATTTTAACTAAGCAATTACAACAACTATCTTCTGCCTTTCTCTTTTGTGGGGATGTCCTAAACAAGTTTTGACAAAAATTTCTAGAGTGGCTGTGATTTCCATTCTCTTGTGGCTCAAAGCCTGGTTAGCTGAGGCTGCCTGTAAAAAGATGCCTCACATACAGTTGTGCTCAAAATAATAGCAGTCAGACATCACTAACCTGATCAATCACTATTTTTGGTAGAAATGATATTTCTACATGGCAAATAATTTACTAGCAGGTGTAGTAGAGTAATAGAAATCCAACAGACCCAACAGTCATGACATGCATGCTGCTGATTCTGTGTAAATGAATCACTAATTGAAAGGGGCATGTTCAAAATAATAGCAGTGTGGAGTTCTATTAGTGAGGTCATTCATTCTTTGAAAAACAGGTGGAAATTCTTGCCCTTATTTAAGGAAGGAAGGCTGCAAATGTTGTACATGCTAGTTACAGTGCATTTCTCTCTGAAATGCTGAGGAAAATGGGTCATTCCAGACATTGTTCAGAAGAACAGCGTACCTTGATTAAAAAGTTGATTGGAGAGGTACATTTGGAATTGTATTCAGAATCAAATCCTACAAGGACGTTGTAACTACCCAAATGCAACTAAAATGACATCAATTGTTTATGTAATACAGTAGTAAATGGTTCTTATGTGGTTTCTTCATTGCCACAATTATTCAAACCCTTAAAGACTACCACTCTGAAGAACAGAGGTTCATACAGGTGCTTTCCATCAGGTATTGAAAACACCTGTGGATGTCACCGAGCAGCAATCAAGCATAATAAGCACCAATTAGGCAGCTTTAAAATGACTGTGATACTCAGCTCCTTCTAGACATTTACTGGTGTGGTTACAAACATGGTGAAGGCAAGAGAATGGTCCAGGAAGACAAGAGAAGAGGTGATTTCTCTTCACAGGAAGGGCAATGGCTATAAGAAGATTGCAAAGATGTTAAACATACCAAGAGACACCTTAGGAAGCATCATTCGCAAATTCAAGGCAAAGGGCACTGTTGAAACGCTACCTGGTCGTGGCAGAAAGAAGATGCTGACTTCGACTGCTGTGCGCTACCTGAAGCGTAGAGTGGGAGAGAAGTCCCCGTGTGACTGCTGAGGAACTGAGAAAAGATTTGTCAGATGTGGGTACAGAAGTTTCAGCCCAGACAATAAGACGCACACTGCGTAATGAAGGCCTCCGTGCCAGAACTCCCAGGCGTACCCCCTTGCTGTCTCCAAAGAATAAGAAGAGTCGACTGCAGTATGCCAAAAGCCATGTGGACAAACCACAAAAGTTGTGGGATAGTGTTCTGTGGACTGATGAAACAAAATTAGAACTGTTTGGGCCCATGGATCAACGCTATGTTTGGAGGGAGGAAGAACAAGGCCTATGATGAAAAGAACACCTTGCCTACTGTGAAGCATGGTGGAGGGTCAATCATGCTTTGGGGCTGTTTTGCTTCTGCAGGTACAGGGAAGCTTCAGCGTGTGCAAGGTACCATGAATTCTCTTCAGTACCAGGAGATATTGGATGGAAACGTGATGCAGTCCGTCACACACCTGAGGCTTGGGAGACGTTGGACCTTTCAACAGGACAATGATCCCAAGCATACCTCCAAGTCCACTAGAGCATGGTTGCAGAGGAAAGGCTGGAACATTTTGGAGTGGCCATCGCAGTCACCAGACTTAAATCCGATTGAGAACCTCTGGTGGGACTTAAAGAAAGCAGTTGCAGTGCGCAAGCCTAAGAATGTGACTGAACTGGAGGCCTTTGCCCATGAAGAATGGGCGAAGATACCCGTAGATCGCTGCAAGACACTTGTGTCAAGCTATGCTTCACGTTTAAAAGCTGTTATAACTGTAAAAGGATGCTGTACTAAGTACTAAGATTGAATGTCACTTGGGGGTTGAATAAAACTGATAATGCTGTGAGCACAGAAAAGACATTTGTGGTTATTTCATTATAACTGTTATGTTATATTTGTCTGACCTACAAGTGCCTCTTTAATGTAAATGTAAGCAAGATGACTGAATGATCAAAAGCAATGTCAAACTGGCCCAAAACACTCAATTTCAGTGGGGGTTGAATAATTTTGGACACAACTGTATAAAGAAGTGCAGAAAATGATAGGCTGCTCAGCTAAAATGATCACAAATTCTTTTAAAATGGCAACCAAAACCTGAAAGACGTGTGGAAGAAAGCGAAAAACTACCATTTGAATGGATAGAAGAATAGCCAAAATGGCAAGGACTCAGCCAACAATCAGCTCCAGGAAGATGAAAGAAGGTCTAAAGTTACCTGTGAGTACTGTTACAATTAGAAGACGCTTATGTGAAGCCAAGCTATCTGCAAGAAGCCCCAGCAAAGCCCACTGTTGAAAAAAAGATGTGCTGAAGAGGTTACAATTTGCCAAAGAGCACATTGACTGGCCTAAAGAGAAATGGCGCAACATTTTGGGACTGATGAAAGTAAGATTGTTCTTTTTGGGTCTAGTGGCTGGAGACAGTTTGTCAGATGACCCCCAAATACTGAATTCAAGCCACAGTACACTGTGAAGACAGTGAAGCATGGTTGCGCAAGCATCATGATATGGGGATGTTTCTCATACTACGGTGTTGGGCCTATTTATCGCATACCAGGGATCATGGATCAGTTTGAATACATCAGAATACTTGAAGAGGTCATGCTGCCTTGTGCTGAAGAGGAAATGCCCTTGAAATGGGTGTTCCAAGAAGACAATGACCCCAAACACACCAGTAAACGTGCAACATCTTGGTTCCAGACCAACAAGATTGACGTTATGGAGTGGCCAGCCCAATCCCCGCATCTTAATCCAATAGAAAACTTGTGGGGTGACATCAAAAATGCAGTTTCTGAGGCAAAATCAAGAAATAGAGAAGAACTGTGGAATGTAGTCCAATCATCCTGGGCTGGAATACCTGTTCACAGGTGCCAGAAGTTGGTTGACTCCATACAACACAGATGTACAGCAGTTCTCAGAAACAGTGCTTATACAACTAAATATTCATTAAGTGATTCAAAGGAAAGCAAAATCTTCAAACATTTTTCAGTTTATATAGTGAATGTTTGAGTTTATATAGAAGAATACAAACACTGCTATTTTTTGAACAGTCTAATCACTTTTCTTCAATTTTTTTAGAGGAACAACACAAATATTTTCCTTCATGTTTTGATTTGGAATAGAATGTGTAGTGTTCCCAATGCATTTGTGTGTATGGAAAATAACTTTTGTTCAACACACACTGCTATTATTTTGAACATAACGGTATATGCCTTTTGAAGGAGGATGTCTCTTTGAGGCATTTGGCAAATTCAGAAAAGATGTAGGTTGGAAAACTATTCTTTCTCAGAGAAAAGGTTTAAAAAAAAAACAAAACCCTTTGCTCAGGAGTTTCCTTTAAATCGCAGGGCATCTCTGCATTTTATTCAGGCTTCAATCTCTAAGCCTAAGTCCAGCACTTTCACCACAGGACGTAGCCCTCAAAGTCACCAAGTCTTCCCTAAAGCCCTCTCCCAGTGAAGGGGTGCTCTCACTTCTAAGAGTAGTGGGACGTCTGTTACAGCTTGCTTCCCTTTGGGTCACAGACATCCCAGACCTGCGAGTTCAATCAGTAGTTTCAAAGGGGTACAAAAGTAGTGTTCAAAACTCCACCCCCTCACTGCTTTCTCCTCTCAAATTAAACAAAATTTGCTCAAGGACAGTCAGATTTGCAGAATTTCCTGAATTATCTCTTGTCGCAAGGAGTAGTTGTGCCAATACCCCTAAAAGGGCAGATTTAAAGAATTCTATTCAAGCCTGTATTTGTTCTATCCTACACCTACATTCCCTAGACAAATTCCAAAATTTTGCATGAAATCCACAAGGTCTGTCATTGCCTTTCTGAGACAAGGGGAATACTTGGCATTCATAGACATGCAAGTTGCCTATCTACTTACAATATTCCCTTTTATCCACCACATCAGTGATTTCTACGCTTTGCAGCAGGAGACCATCAGTTTGTCACATGGCCACTTGGCCTTTCCTCTGCCTCCAGACTATTCACAAAGGTCCTCACACATCTTCTTGCGCTTCTAAGAACTCAGGGCATACAAGTCTCAGGTTATCTAGACAACTTGCTTCTGAAGGACTTCTCCCCCTTCGAGCTACCTGCAAACATCCACTTGACAATTCATTTGCTTCAGGCTTTTAGCTGGGTAAACAGCTTCCAAAAATCTGTTCTCCAAGATCCAGTCCTTTGTATAATCAAACGTTCCAGAGAAGAAACTTCTCTCTTGGAACCCAAACTCAGGACTTAAGATCATAGAGACACCCCTCTGAGATTTTCCACGAGAGTTATGGATGTCATGGTGGACTCATTCGAGGCTGTTCCATTCACCCAATTTGACCTCTCCAACACAGCTCTTGTTGGCATGGAACAAGCTGACTCATTCTCTAGACCTACCTATGCTCCTGTCCAGCCAAGCCAGGAGTTCCCTAGCTCTCCAGCCCTTCATTAACAATGAGGAAGAAGTCATTCCTTCCATATCACTGGAAAGTGATAACAACAGATGCAGGTCTTTCAGGCTAGAGAGGAGGATCCCAGTCTCTCACAATATTGGGAACATAGTTATCCATGGCAGCCAAGCTCTCGAACATCCTGGAACTCAGAGCGGTAAGGATAGCTCTGCACCACTGGATCCCCCCCCTTCTGCAAGGGTACCCAATCATGGTGCAACCGGATAACACCAGAACTGTAGCCTACATCAGTTACCAAAGGGCCACCAGGAGTCATGCAAGTTGGATTATCTCATTGACAAAAAACCCCTGTTCAATGATCTCCCAGGGGTGGACAACTGGAAGGTAGATTATCTCAGCTTTCACTGCCTGGCCCAAGGGGAATGGGCCCTTCAGCTGTACATCTTCAACATCATATTTCAAAGATGGGTGACCCCGGATATGGTTATCCTGGTCTCTATATTCAACAAGAAGTTACCTCTGCTTGTGGCCAAGACCAGGGATCCTCTTGCACTGCCATCAGATTTCTTGATAATTTCCTGGTCTCCGTTCAGTCTAATCTTTGTTTTCCCTCAAATGCAAATTCTACCTCGCCTGTTCCGCAAAATAGAGAAAGAAAAGAAAATGGTGATTTTGATTGCACCAAACTGGCCCTGAAGAATCTTTTACACAGAGTACTAGGAGACAACCCCTGACATCTTCCCAACATGCAAGACCTGCATTCCACCCTGCTTCTCAGTCACTGGCTTCAACGTCCAGGTCTTAAAGGTGATTTCCACTTCTACAGCCACTGTACTAGTTAATTTGGGCCAACAAATTATTTCCTACACCAACAGGTAGCCTCAGCTACATACAGTGTAAAGCCTTGTGTTCCATATGTGAAGCAAGACCTCCCTGAACACCAGAACAAAATAGAGCCACACGCAGTCATTCTTAGTTAACTGTGTATTTTATGAATGAATACAAAGCTTCTTCTGAGTGGCTGGGTTGGAGATTATGATGTCATCCATCCACCTTAGCCAATCGGAGGGAACCTTGTATTCATTCAAATAATCTAAAAATGCCTACAAATGGCTGAACATTGCTCAGCCCGACTATATTTTTTTTCAGGATGCGAGACAGGAAGGTCTCGTCTTACATCCTGAACACAAGGCTGTATACTGTATGTCACTGAGGCGGCATACAATTCATACAGCGCACTTAGCAGGCACACTTGTTAATGCAGGGAATAGTTCATTTGGGCCAGCTTGGCCCAAACAAACTGCTTAAAGTAACATTAAGCTAGAAATCATATTTAATAGACAGAGGTGCTTCTGAGTCTGTCATTCCCACTTTGCTAAAAGAATTTAAAAAAAAAAAAAAAAAACTTCCAGAAAGATCCATTTTCGTACCTGGAAAACCTTCTTGCCTGGTGTGAGCACAGGCACATCAGTCCCAGAGATTACTCAGTGCCTTGCATTCTAGCTTTCCTGCAATCAGAACCTAACATGAACTTGACCTTAGGTACTCTGTTCAAGGCTGAAACCTGTCCTTTCATTCTTTTTCCGAAACCTCTACCCCCACAATCTTGTCAAAACCTTTATTCAAGATGTATCTTGGACAGGTCCCTTTTTACAGCACACCATCCTTTTTTGGAACCTCAATTTGGTTCTCTCTGGCTAGCAGAAACTACCCTTTGGTTCTCTAAGGGGATTTTCCTGATGGGTTCACTGAGAGACATATTTGACAGCATCCAATAACACCACTATGTAAGAGAAATCATCTAAGGAGCCATTTCTTCACAAAGACAAGGTAGGCTTATATCCAATACTATCTTTTCTTCCTATGGTGGTTTCAGTCTTCCATCTCAGTGAAAATCTATTTCTGCATCCTTGTGCCCTTCTCCAAAGGACCGAAAAGAAATTGCTCTGACTACATTTAGGCAATGAAGAGTCTACCTCAAAGCAACAGCTCCTATCAGGAAGATAGACTCCCTATTTGTCCTACCCTGAGGACCTTGCAGGGAATATTCAAAGTCCACCAACACTAGATGTACTAAACAACTCTTCCTGTTGTTACTCATTCCACCGGGTAAAAGGGTTTTTCCTGAGCCTTCCAGGTCCAAGCGTCTATTGCTTGGTTTTGAAAGGCTACCACTTGGGCCTCTGTTCGTACCTTTTCAAAGTTTGACCAGGTGGACATCCAGTCTTCTGTAGATGCAGCTTTTGGCCACATGGTTCTTGCAGCAGCACTTTGAGGTTGGGTCTGTTGACCTTTGTTATTGGGCTCTTTGGCACAGTTATATTTGCTTTGTTGCCCAACCTTCTTACTCATTGCTTGGGGACACCCCAGGATCTATGATTATTTGGCCTTTGTCCTGCACTGTAATGTTCAATTAAGATAAAAGGAATTTTGATTTACCTGTAAATTCAATATCTTGGAGTACAGTACAAGACACAGGCCATGCTACCTTTTTAATCCTGTGCTACTCTGCATTGCTTGCTGCAAATATCAGGACTTATGGAATGGGGCATGAGTTATACCGTAACCTGCAAGTACCAGCCTATCGCCCAGGATCTGTGAACACTCAATGTCCTGTACTGTACTCCAAGATATGAAATTTACAGGCAAGTCAAATTTAATTTTTTCGTCTTTATGATATGACCTGTGTTCTGCATTAAGTGGGAAATAATATTTTTGTCCAATTCTATATTCCAGCCACGATGCAATGGATTCCTACTATGAATACATATGGGACGTGACCATTCTGGAGTATTTAACGTGTATCCTTTTATCTAGCAGCCAGATTGAAAAGCACTGTAAATGACATTGCTGAGTAGGGTAAATGGTCAGTGACTTGGAATGACCAGTATAATCAGGCATAACAAAAATCGTAATTTTTGTATTTTATTCATAAGTATTGGCTTGCCCATAGCAATCATATATTTGGATATTCTGACATGTAAGAATGGGAGTAATTTACCACTGTGTTACAGTATGTCTATTTGTTTTGTTTTGTTTTTGTCGCACGTGTAATCTCTTTAACTAGTATTTCAGATTTACACCATAAAAGGGGGGAAGTCGATAAGAGACAGATAGCGGTAAGTTAATTTGTTTTCATGGGAGAGTACCCTGTATGAGAAAATGCGCTTGTAGTATCTTTTGTGGCTGGCACAGCCTCAAGTATGATCCTGTCTCTGAAGGCTCCCTTTGTAAGGCCAGTTGGACTAAAGCACCAATCACTATACCACCTCCAGATCTCAAAGCGTTAAGAAGAACTCTGAGGGACTGAGTTCATGCACTTGGTGAAATGTTACATGCTTTCTCAGATACCTTGCCTCACATTTTTTACCTTGTTGCATTGATATCATGCGGCCACAGCAATACTACTACTATGAGTGGGCCCACTTTTGTTTGTTTCACAAAGGGAATGTGTGTGCTGTATAGGTCTAATGTTCTTTGACTTCCAGCCAAATACTGGTGCTTCGCTTGATATGGAAGTTCAGTAGCATCCCTACACCTATAGCTAGACAGAATGGTTCTGCAGCAAGGTACCTCTGGAGTTTTTCTAGAGAAGGGGTTCTTAACCAGGGTTCCTCCAGAGGTTGCTAGGGGTTCCTTGAGCAATTTCTACCTTAGCTAAAAAAGAGCAATGGTGTCAGTGGAAACTTATCTATCTGTAAGGGGGTGTAAGGAGCATTCTTCTTACTGACCATCTCCCTGTTTCATGAATTGTAGATATAGTAAGTATTAACCGGGGTTCCCTGAGACTAGGATGTTACTTCAAGGGCTCCTCCATGATGAAAAGGTTGAGAGAGGCTGCTCTAGAGGTATTTCTTGCATACGAGGGAGGAGATTTTCAGCTAACTTTAACCCTTCTCATAGTTTCTAACTCCCAGAGTTGTGTTCAAAATAATAGCAGTGTGTTGAAAAAAAGTGAATAAAGCTCAAAATCCTTCTAATAGCTTTTATTTCCATATTCACAAATGCATTGGGAACACTACACATTCTATTCCAAATCAAAACAAGAAGAAAAATATATCAAATTTGTGTTGTTCCTCTAAAAAAAAATTGAAGAAAAGTGAATATTAGACTGTTCAAAAAAAATAGCCTTGTTTGTATTCTTCTTTACAAACTCAAACATTCACTATATAAACTGAAAAATGTTTGAAGATTTTGCTTTCCTTTGAATCACTTAATGAATATTTAGTTGTATAAGCACTGTTTCTGAGAACTGCTGTACATCTGTGTTGCATGGAGTCAACCAACGTCTGGCACCTGTGAACAGGTATTCCAGCCCAGGATGGTTGGACTACATTCCACAGTTCTTCTCTATTTCTTGGTTTTGCCTCAGAAACTGCATTTTTGATGTCACCCCACAAGTTTTCTATTGGATTAAGATGCGGGGATTGGGCTGGCCACTCCATAACGTCAATCTTGTTGGTCTGGAACCAAGATATTGCACGTTTACTGGTGTGTTTGGGGTCGTTGTCTTGTTGGAACACCCATTTCAAGGGCATTTCCTCTTCAGCATAAGGCAGCATGACCTCTTCAAGCATTCTGATGTATTCAAACTGATCCATGATCCCTGGTATGCAATAAATAGGCCCAATACCGTAGTATGAGAAACATCCCCCCATCATGATGCTTGCACCACCATGCTTCACTGTCTTCAGTGTACTGTGGCTTGAATTCAGTTTTTGGGGGTCATCTGACAAACTGTCTCCGGCCACTAGACCCAAAAAAAACAATCTTACTTTCATCAGTCCACAAAATGTTGCACCATTTCTCTTTAGGCCAGTCAATGTGCTCTTTGGCAAATTGTAACCTCTTCAGCACGTCTTTTTTTTCAACAGTGGGACTTTGCGGGGGCTTCTTGCAGATACAGTCAGGTCCATAAATATTGGGACATCGACACAATTCTAACATTTTTGGCTCTATACACCACCACAATGGATTTGAAATGAAACAAACAAGATGTGCTTTAACTGAAGACTGTCACCTTTAATTTGAGGGTATTTACATCCAAATCAGGTGAACGGTGTAGGAATTAAAGTTTGCATATGTGCCTCCCCCTTGTTAAGGGACCAAAAGTAATGGGATATTTGGCTGTTCCATAGCCAGGTGTGTGTTATTCCCTCATTATCCCAATTACAATGAGCAGATAAAAGGTCCAGAGTTCATTTCAAGTGTGCTATTTGCATTTGGAATCTCTCAAGATGAGATCCAAAGACCTGTCACCATCAGTGAAGCAAGCCATCATTAGGCTGAAAAAACAAAACAAACCCATCAGAGAGATAGCAAAAACATTAGGCGTGGCCAAAACAACTGTTTGGAACATTCTTAAAAAGAAGGAACGCACTGGTGAGCTCAGCAATGCAAAAGACCCGGAAGACCACGGAAAACAACTGTGGTGGATGACCGAAGAATTCTTTCCCTGGTGAAGAAAACACCCTTCACAACAATTGGCCAGATCAAGAACACTCTCCAGGAGGTAGGTGTATGTGTGTCAAAGTCACCAATCAAGAGAAGACTTCACCAGAGTGAATACAGAGGGTTCACCACAAGATGTACCTGACCTGACCTGAATCCGATTGAGCATGCATTTCACTTGCTGAAGACAAAACTGAAGGGAAAATGCCCCAAGAACAAGCAGGAATTGAAGACAGTTGCAGTAGAGGCCTGGCAGAGCATCACCAGGGATGAAACCCAGCGTCTGGTGATGTCTATGCGTTCCAGACTTCAGGCTGTGATTGACTGCAAAGGATTTGCAACCAAGTATTAAAAAGTGAAAGTTTGATTTATGATTATTCTGTCCCATTACTTTTGGTCCCTTAACAAGTGGGAGGCACATATGCAAACTGTTGTAATTCCTACACCGTTCACCTGATTTGGATGTAAATACCCTCAAATTAAAGCTGACAGTCTGCAGTTAAAGTACATCTTGTTCATTTCATTTCAAATCCATTGTGGTGGTGTATAGAGCCAAAAATGTTAGAATTGTGTCGATGTCCCAATATTTATGGACCTGACTGTAGCTTGGCTTCACATAGGCGTCTTCTAATTGTAACAGTACTCACAGGTAACTTTAGACCTTCTTTGATCTTCCTGGAGCGGATTGTTGGCTGAGTCCTTGCCATTTTGGCTATTCTTCTATCCATTCGAATGGTAGTTTTTTGCTTTCTTCCACATCTTTCAGGTTTTGGTTGCCATTTTAAGCATTTGCGATCATTTTAGCTGAGCAGCCTATCATTTTCTGCACTTCTTTGTTTTCCCCTCTCCAATCAACTTTTTAATCAAGGTACGCTGTTCTTCTGAACAATGTCTGGAACGACCCATTTTCCTCAGCATTTCAGAGAGAAATGCACTGTAACCAGCATATACAGCATTTGCTGCCTTCCTTCCTTAAATAAGGGCAATAATTGGCACCTGTTTTTCAAAGAATGAATGACCTCACTAATAGAACTCCACACTGCTATTATTTTGAACGTGCCCCTTTCAATTAGTGATTCAATGACACAGAATCAGCAGCATGCATGTCATGTCTGTTGGATTTCTATTACTCTGCTACACCTGCGAGTAAATTATTTGCCATGTAGAAATATTATTTCTACCAAAAACAGTGATCAGGTTAGTGATGTCTGACTGCTATTATTTTGAACACAACTGTACATACATACACAATCTGCTCAAGTAAAAAATTATTAGGCTAGTCTATTTTGCTGAAATTTCAGTGCAGCAACTTAAAATGGTACTCAGTTTGTATGGCCCCCACGTGCTTGTATGCATGCCTGATGTTAGGGCATGCTCCTAATGAGACAAAAGATGGTGTCTTGGGGTATTTCCTCCCAGATCTGGACCAGGGCATTACTGAATTCCTGGACAGTCTGAGGTGCAGCCTGGTGGTGTCGGATGGACCAAAACAGGACACAGAGGTGTTCTATTAGATGTAGGTGAGGGGGGGCCCATTCCTTCATCCTCCAACCACATGAGGCTGGGCATTGTGTACCAGAAGGAACCCAGGACCCACTGCACCAGCATAGGGTCTGACAATGGGTCCAAGTATTTCATTCCCGATACTTAATGGCAGTCAAGGTGCCATTAGCTAGCCTGTAGAGGTCTGTGCGTCACTCGATGGAAATGCCTCCCCAGACCATCACCAAAACGGTCACGCTGAATGTTACAGGCAGCATAATGTTCTCCATGGCTTCTACAGACCCTTTCATGTCTGTCTCGCGCTCAGGGTGAATCTGCTCTCATCTGTGAAAAGCACAAGGTGCCAGTGGCAGACCTGCCAATTCTGGTGTTCAGTGGCAAATGCCAATCGAGCGCTTAAGTGCCGGGTAGTGAGCACAGGGCCCACTAGAGGACATTGGACCCTTTAGAAATCTATTTGATTGTTTGGTCCATTCACACCAGTGGCCCGTTAGAGGTAATTTTGCAGGGTTCTGGCAGTGCTCATCCTGTTCCTCCTTGCACAAAGGCACATATACCGGTCCTGCTGATGGATTAAGGAACTTCTATGGCCCTGTCCTGCTTGTCCATGCTAGAGCCTGTGCTGCAAGACACAGCAATCTTCTGGCAATGGCACATATTTATGTGCCATCCTGTAGTTGGACTGCATGTGCAACTGCTGTAGGGTCCAGGTATCGCCTCATGTTAACCGTAGTGACACCAACCCTAACCAAAGGCAAAACTAGTGAAAACCAGAAAAGATGAGTAGGGAGAAAAAAAAAAAAGTCAGTCAGTGGCCTCCACCTGTAAAACCATTCCTGTTTTGGAGGTCATCCATTGTTACCCATCTAGTGTACCTGTTAATCCGTTTCTGCTGCTTTTGGGGTTATTTCATTAACAACCCCCTCTGCTACTTAACTGACCAGATCAATATCCCAGGAGTTTAATTGACTTGATGCTATACTCTGATTAAAAAGTGTTCCTTTCAATTTTTTTGAGTGTGTGTGTAATTATATATCTACTTTTCTTCTCTTGCCTACCCTTCAGTGGTTAATGTGGGACAAAATGCTGAGCACACTGGTGAACACAGGCACCGTTCCTAGGCAAAAATCTGTTCAAGCAATGAAATGCTTGATGTCCAGAGCCCAAAGTAATCACATCTGTTCTCTCCTTCTGTACCCAGATAAAAGCCATTGGGCAACCAGAATTGAATGCCAGTAACCCTGAGGAAGTGCTGCAATTGGCTGCACAGAGGCGGAAAAAGACCTTCCTTCAAGCAATGGCTAAACTGTATTTCTAAGTTATGATTATGTTTGTGTATATAATTTTTCCCAAAACAAAATAAATAGCAACAGTTTATTTTATACATATACACATTTGTACAAAAATCTTATTTCAGACAGACAATATACAGTTCATAAGTTTACAAATGTACATTTATTTTCCTGCAGTGGTGTAAAAGCTTGATATAAAAAATGATTAACTGCCCCAAATTATAAAAGAAAAAACAGTCTGTCTAGCAGCATCACATTTTATAACTGCACCAAAAGTTTCACAGTACATGAGAAAGGCACCAGATGCAGAATTAAATGAACATGGCACATATCAATTATTTCATGGGGTTTAAGGATATGCCCTTAAAGTTATAATACCTGCTTTCCAGGAGAACACCTCAGTATAGGCTGTAAGGATTTACTAGATGGCATTACAGCTTGTGCATACTTTGTCATAACTTCCCCAAATTGCAGACATAAAGGGGGGGGGGGGGGGGGGGGGAATTTTTTCATCGATCAGATACTACATGCTCTTGGCCTGGGGGGGGGGGGGGGGGGGGGGGGGGGGGGGTATACTTTAGGACAACACCCTGAAGATGTAAGTCTAGCATTTCTATGAAACAGCAATTTCTTTAGAGCCTAGATCAAGGGATGTAAAGTATGAGCTGGACAGCAGTTACACCTATCACAAACCACTGTGGAGAAGCAACCTTTTTTTTTTTCCCTTTAAGGCCCCATAGTCAGACTCCGGAAGGTGTAATGCATGTTTTGGAGCTTTGTTTTTTGTTTAATACATCTGAAAAAAATTGACATACCTTTCTTTAGCATTAGAGGAGTTAGTAACCCACTTAAACAGATCACAGTGCACGTGTTACTCCCATGAGGGCTGCATTTATTAACCCATGCAAGCCTCTGTTCCTACTGCAGTCAATGTAAACAATGCCTTGTGCTACCTACAACTAAACCGTGACAAGCAAAAATAGGTAGCTACAGCCCAAAAATGCCATGGGGGTCATTTATTAAAACTGAACACAAAATCTGGTGCAGCTGATACCAATTAGTTTCCAGGTTTTATTGTCAAAGCTTAGTTGAACAAGCTGAAGATAGAAGCTGCTTGGCTACCTGCACCAGATTTAGTAAATCTCTCTCATGTATAGCAGTTGAACAATTGTAAGTGTGTGAACAAGCCTTAATGTTCTCAAAACTTGACAGATTACATCTGATCTATCCAATAAAACAAAGCTTAAAAAGGGAATATTGCTTTTTTTTTTTTTTTTATCTGAAAGATAAAAAAACCTAGAATTAATGTATTTAGGCCAAAAAAACAACATACTTACCTTCACATCTAAAAAGGCATTGGTAAGTAAATTTGTGGATTTTTTTTCTCCCCACCCCCCTTGAACACTTTCAATGGTATATTTAACAGTACAAAAGAAACACTTAGAAGTTTAGATCAATCTTTTACCACAGAATACCACTAAAATAATTCAGGTCTAAGGAAACCCCTACAATAAAGCAATTCAGTGGGAAGAATTCCCTCTAGAACAGAATGCCATCCTTACCATACAGTTTAAAGCTGAACTGTGGGTAATGTGCTTTTTTTTTTTAATTCCAGGCAGTGGTGTTGTGCCCACAGGGCATGGGTTAACTGCTAATTTTTTGTCTATGAGCAAGACTGTGCAGTGGACTTTTCCTGACATCAGACCAATAGACCATTTCTGGACATGAGGACATCAGGAACAGTCCAGCATGGGACATGGGGTAGTGCCATTTTCCAAAAGGATTGAGCGGGTTCTGCAGTTAACACACGTAAGGCAGGCACAGGCCTGCTGCATTGGGGGGGGGGGGGGTTGATGCTTAGTTGGGGTTTAAAAAAAAAAAAAAAAAGTATTGGCCCTGGTACAATTAGGAGTTTTTTTGCAAACATAGCATACAGAGGCCTGGTACCAAATAAGTTCTCACTTTATTTGAAAAGCAGGCTAGCACCAGTAGCCCAGTCTCGCCTTCTACAGCAGCATGCAGAAGATCAGGACTACTGCTGCATGCAGAGCAATAGTTCAACAATTCATCAACATTCATGCTCCATGTTGGAGAGTTGTAAGTATGCAGGTATGTCTGATCACTGCTCTTTCCAGTAGTAGCAGTCATGATCCTGTGCATGCTGGTAAAGGGGGAGATTGACATGGCAGTCTAACAGTTAAAAACAAGTCACACCTTGACTTTAAAACAGCAGTATAAGGCCTACCCAATGGGATGATATAGGTATGCCTTTCCTACATAAAGTACATACTTTAAAGAAATACCAGTAAGCACACGTGTAAAAGATCTAAAAACCATGCATTGATAGGAAATCTTGAGGAGCAGTTGAGACTTTGGCTATAAACAGAAGGAAAGGAGGTCTGATGAAATAGCTGCACTGTGAAAATTGCTCCCTGCCTGAAAACCACCAGTTAGATTGTAACACCCCGGAAGCCATTGTATGGTCCTCTGATGTATAACAAGCTTGAGCTTCATATAACAATCTCCTTAGGAGTAAGAATGTAATACTTTATGCCCCAACAGTTGAATAGAGCCATAAAACTTCTTCAGATCTAGAAACTGTTATAGTAAAACAAAAAGGTTCAGTAAAATTGCAAGCTGCCTGTGTAGATTCTAGATCCAGATAATAAATAAGTTAGTAAATTACATACAAAAGCACTTAGGCAACAGTGCAAGGTAAATGAAGTTGAGTTGACAAAGCTTGTTCCAACACCAAATCAATTCTTCCAGCTCCAATGAAACCGCAAAATATCCACAGAAATATCATAGACTCCCATCAAATGTCGCAGTAGATCAATCTCCATTATAAAGTCTGAGTCTTCTCTGTACTTTTGGGGGGGAGTTAGAATGCCAGCAACAGCCAGCTGAGCCGGTTCTTCCAACACCACTACTTCAGCTTTCACCATGACATTTTCCTATAGGAGAAAAGAAGAGACATTACAGACAATTGTGTGCAACCTCATCTTGTGTTATACATGCATATATGGTCCCAACAGTCAAACCCATTAAAAAAAAAAAAACTAGGTTGCATCATTTGGTCTTGCATCTGCCCCAGCACCACTTAGATTTCTAGATCTTACAATGACCACATCTGTATTTACCCCATACTAGGGCATGCCTAACAGAAAAATGCACTAAGCATACAAGAAATCCCTGCCCTCACTGTCAGAGCAAAAGCCTTGTGCTCAGTAATAGAAACCCCACAACAGGGTATTGCTTATACTGAAAAATGAACATGGAAGTATTAGTAAGCATCCCCAAAAGCTGGAGCATGGCTTACATGAGGTTTTTATTTGTTAATAGGACAGATTTCTTTTGGTGGTACTTAAATTGCCTCAAGTTTTTTATTTTTTGCTATAGTGAACCAAAAACTGCAAATTTTGAAAGAAAAAAAAAAATATCAGTGGCACTGATGGGTATTGACAGGCAGCACTGAGGCTACACTGATGATCAGTGTACATATCCCCTCTGAGTAATGTCGATTACCGGCTCCCCTCTCAAGCCGTCAGCGTGACAGCTCGTGAGCAGAGAAATGCCAATAACCGGCATTTTGCATGTGATCAGCTGTGATTGGACAGAGCTGATCACATGACCAAGTCGAGAGTTGGCACTTTCCATTGATATGCTGTGTCTGAGAGACACAACGCACCGATCGCCCCACGCTCCCCAGAGCCGCGCATGATGTGGTTAGAGTGGGAGGACATCATATGACGTCCTCCCAGAACAAGAGGACCACCTTGCACCTTATATGGCAGGCGGGAGACTGTTAATGAAGCACTTTATAAAAGGCCTGTTTTAACCACATTTCCTCTTGGATAGGGCCAGCATAAATCTGTATATAATAGACAATATACATAGAGAAAATGTGAACAAGTCTGATGAAAGAGAAATGGAAGGTAAAAAGGGTTTAACTATATAAAACCACTATAGTATAATACTACAGCATTTACCAAACATAAAACAAAAGCAATGTCACACCAACTAATAACCTCAGATATCCCTCTCTCTAATAGAGGGGAGGGTGTCTGTACACATACCAGCAGGTCAAGGTAATTCAAGTGAGTTTGGATGTTGTGTCGATCTTCTACAGAAACCTTCTTAAATGCTTTCAATTTCACAGGTGGGTTGCTCTGTACCACTCTCGCAAAGGGGCTCATCCAGCAGACACATTGAGAAATATTTTCCCAATTCAGCCCTGTTAAAAAATAAAGCAATATTAAAATTATACCAATCACAAGTCTCAGCACCATAAGAAATTTGTGTACATTTCTGATATTCAGGATCTTAATCTGCCAAATTAACTGACCCATCCTCTATGGGATTATGGGTAATTTTTCTTAGCAAGTCAAGTCTACAAGGGGCAGGAGAGAAATTCTACACCGATCCTCCTACCCATAGTGTTGGGTCAGTAAACTTGTGCAGTGGCATATGCAAACTGGATACTGTAAAAAGGGAAACAAAAAACACAAGTTGGCAGCTGCCCTACTTACTAAAAAGGTACTTGCCCTAGGGCCATCTACCCTTCTACTTAATTCACCTCCAAAGCCAGCCATAAACAAGTTGAATTCTGAAAATTCCCTTTCAAAAATCTTTTCTAAAATGTTTGTTTGAATTTCACACCATTAATGGGCCACAGCAACAGATGATTTTTGCTAGACCACAGAATTTGAGTGATCGGTGTGTGGAAATATGTCCAATATTAATGATGGGAGAATCATGGGAGAAAAAATAAAAATATATTTTTTTTGTGTGTGTGTGTGTGTGTGTGTGTGTGTGTGTGTACATACATATATACACACACTAAACAAAAAAATATATTTTTGTTTATTGTGTACACTAATATTAATAAATATATATCCATACATACACACACACACAAGCTGTGACCTGAAAGAAAAATTCTTGGCCACAACATGAGGTGAAAGTGAAGACTTGGTTGGTCATACTTGCAGAAAACCCTTACCTGTTGCCTTTGCGACTACTTCCATTGAAGTAAAGTGGTATAAAGCTGCAGCTGCCAGAATTCTATACTGGAAATCCAGAGAGGTAATATGGAGAATGCAGAGATCTAGAAGCTGCAATGACAAAATACAAATCCTTTACTTACAGGACACAATTGACTTTCTTGATCATCCACATTTTGTATATTTAACAACTAGTAAAACACAAAAGTTAAATTCAAAAAACGGCATCCCTACAATTACCAAGGCAAATCATTTTGAGAGACTGGAGCTAAAACAGGTTAAATATTGGTCACTCACAAAACTGCTGCATTAATTCAGTTATCAGCAGAAGGAAACCAATAAATAGCATGCAAGTTCAATTTGCCATGAGGAGCTGAAAAAAATTAAAAAAGAGCTGGTCCACCCAAAAGAGATAGGTCAGATGTTAGGTCAGATGTTGGTTAAGTCTTGTTAACAAAGTTCAGCATCACAACAGTGGCCTTGCAGGAAATAAAAATTCTACACACAAATCTTCCACAGCTTCTGCACACCTAAAGTGTCTCCCACAATGTGGTGTTCTTCTCCATTCTACTTCAAAATTCTTAATAGAAAGACTTCCAACAGGGACAAGTTCTGAGTGCTGGATATGAGGAATTAACCTGGTTTATGCTCCGAATTTTTATTTAGTAGTCATTGTATGCTGGTATTATGTTAATTATGATTTTGGGTAATGCTAGAGCAAGCGATGTACGATTTGCATTTTTGCAGTTGGATTTTCTGTTATGTGTCTTGTTCCATTAGTTGCGGTGTTCTCATGTGGTCTTCATTGAATGTAGCTGTATCTTAATTTCCATTTTCTAGTTTAGGGCATTCACATCAGAATACTTTATCAAATTGCAATCCCCACAGCAGGTATGCATGCCAGGAACTCACCATTGAGACACAAACCATTTTTTAGTAGTTTGCCTTTTTTGGCATAGAGAAAAAACACAATACATAACTGCGACTGCTGTTCAAATGCACTAGCTCCTTATCCAGTACCTGCCTTGTCACTGACCTGGAACAAGCATGTCTATAGCAAGTATGCTGACTTGTCTGGCCACATGCTTGATGCAGTTCAATGGTTCACCAAGTAGGGAAGAAAACAGCCCTAAAAAGCTTTTACCTTCAAAAAGGCAGTATCTGCAGATTAGCTTTCATATTTCTAACACGTGAATACGGTTTGCACTCCCTGTGCTTACCTGTGCTATTTGGATGAACTGTTCCTGTGGATACTGTGGTAGAAGCAGCTTAGGAGAGTCTTGCACAGCTGAGACTTGAAGATAAAGATTTAACCAACCAACTCCAGTCATGGGACTAAGTTCCCATTTAAGAGCCTAAAAGATGGGCACAACAAATAGGACTTAATTTATGAAGACAGATTATAAATCCATGCATGCCAAATGCTGAACTTCAGAGAACATACCTTCAGTATAATGAGTTCAATGTGAATAATATCTTCCTCACTGCAAGCTCCATCCGTAACATAGGCAAACTCATGAAGTTTAGGAGGATAGATTTCCTGACAAGAGAGAAGATCACGTATTACCCTTCTTTGACAAAAGTTACAACATGAAGCATTTAACCGCTTCCCGACCACCATATAGCAGAACTACTGCTACACACATGCCACCCTACCCTCGTCACCAGGTCCTGGCTAGAGATTCCCCACCGGCACTCAATTGCCGAGGACCACTGACGGAGAGGTCTGTATGTAAACATACAAAATTTCTCCCGTCAGCACCAGCATGCTGAGCAGAGCAATATAAAGCAGCATGCTTACAGTAAAGCACACAGACAAACTGTTTTTAAAACAGCAGTTAACTCGGATTGCCCCAGATGTTAACCCCTTTCTGCCCAGTATCATTAGTACAGTGTTAGTGCTTTTTATTAGCACTGATCATTGTATTAGTCAGTGGGAACGGTAGTGGCAGTTAGTCAGTCCTCCCTGGTGTCAGAATGCCGGCGGCACTCCAGCTATATTATAAAAAAAAAAAAAAAAAAAAAAAAAAAAAAAAAAAACACCCACACACACCACCAACTCCACCCTTTATTGTATTCTTGGTTAGAGCTTTATCTATAGCCCTAAAAACCATTTCCAGTTGACACCACACCTGCAGCAAGAGATGCTTTTCTCCCCCCCTTTTGTACAAATTCTACACACCAAGAACTGTACTTACCTCTATTTTAGAAGCAATAAACAAGCATGTCACCCCAATTAGCTGGAGCATGCCTTTGTTGATAGACTTCTCTGTTAACATAAATCTGTCAAAGTAATCTTGAGCGAGGTTGAGGTAGAAGGTTTCTCTATGTAGCGAATAGACTTCTGAAACCTGATTTAAGAGAAATAAGATGATCATGGGGCATTTATGGTCAACCACAAAAAAAAAAAAAAAAAAAAAAAAAAAAAAAAAAAAAAAGTGCGCATTTGCTTCAATACACCATCCAGATCTACACACCGCACACAAACCTGGAGTCATTATCCATGTGAACAGAGCCAGTTTCTTTAACATAACGGCACATTTTAACAGCTAAAACAAGCAGTGATCCTTTAGGCCTCACTGACAGTATATAAAAACAAGCTTTATGGAGGGCAATCAGAAATACCACAAAGGTAAATACACTTACCTCTATTAACCAGTCCAATAAAATAGAGCGCATGTCAGGAGTTAGTGCACTGTGCTCTTGTAGCATCTGACTTGAGTGGGTGTATTTGTTCTCTTTGTTCAGCAACTTAAGCCACACATCTTTTGAGTTGCCCCAACTAAAAAAAAAAAAAAAAAAAAAAAAAACCTCCAATGAACTTAAATTGTTATTTTAAAATGGTAGGGCAAACAAAACAAAATTTGTAGTTGGGACAATTAATACTTTCTAATAGGATCACACCCCCCTCTGTAGAGAATTAAATTTACTTTCTTTCAAAGCCCAGATAAGTCATGTTCCACCCCACCCAATCCTTTCAGCACAGGGGAATTGGGAGATCAAGCCTGATAATTGCAGGGTTTATTGATAATGGTTAAAGGGGAGACTCCCACCTGAGGTCTGGTAATGGAGATGGATTTATGAAGAGATTCTGGAACCGGTATCGTGTGAAGCTTGAGACATCAGGAGTGACAGGAGATTCCTTTTGTGGTGTTTCAATAAGAACGCATGGGGTAGCCGCTCCAGCCCTTATCTGTGACCAGCAGCCCTGCAGAAAAAGCAGACAGAGTAATGTACACCATCACTGCCAATGAAAAGTCTACCGCAACTGATAAAAGAATTAGCAGGAAACTACACCCACAAAACCCAGGGTCCGCAGTCTACTACAGTGAGCCGTTTAGTGCTACAACCAACACAGGCCTTTTTTGTGATATGGAAGAAATGCTATACCAGTCAAAACATGCTCAGAGTACAAAACCAGTTTATAAAAACTACTGGATTCCCTCCTCCCTTAAAAAAAAAAAAAAAAAAAATTTTTTATTATATATATATATATATATATATATATATATATATATATATATATATATATATTAAAATTTCCTCAACCCACACTTCTGTTAATGGGACAACAGTCATTAGAAGACTTCAGGGCATCTCGATTACAATCAGAAGTTGTACAGGTCCGCTCACCAGTGCACACAGAGCCTGTCCTATCCAATGATACAAAGGGATCCACTGACAGCTGTCAAAGTCAGCAGAGTACTGTTGGAAGTTAACAGATCTACACGTTTTAACAGTTCTGTCAAGTTTCCCAACTGCCACATCATATAGATACTGCTTATAAATGTACCTGGATCTCATAGTTGTGTCTCTTTGTTTCCTGTAAATGGTCTTGTGATAACTTTGTTTCCTGTAAAAAAAAATACAGCCATTAGATTGACAATGGAGTCTGCCTGAAGTCTTAGTATGACTGTATGCAATTCATCGCTCATGCTGCAGTCTATTGCTAGTTACACAGCTTGATCTTCTGTTCACAGGCTGAATAAGAACAATCGGATGAAGCCAACTGTGCATTTGGAGGCACTACTGTAACAGGCGACTGCACTACCTGCCATTGCACAGCTGAACAGTGACTACATCTGCTGCAGTAATCCATAAGCATTAGTTGGACAATTTCCCCACTCAGCTCAGTTAATTTTGATGAGCCATGGTGCTTGCGGGGCATTGTATTTTGAGTAATTCAGCCAACATTGAGACCATCTAGAGGTCTTAACCTCTTCCCTACTGCGCTATAGCCGAAATCCGGCTACAGTGCGGTTGACTAGTTCTGGGACGAGATCCATGGACGTCATTCCAGAACAAGCCCCTGTGTGCCCCCAGTGATCGGTGTCCTACAGACACAGCTGATCATGTGATATGGTAAATTGCATATCACAGCAGCCTTTTACCACATGATCAGCTGAGTCCAATGACAGCAGATGACCGGGTAAATACAGTTGCCGGTTATCAGCTGCACTTTCCTCTCGCTTTAACAGCATGAGGAGAGTACTGCCGATAAACAGCAATCAGTGCCACCCATCGGTGCACACCAGTGAAGGAGAAAAATTAGCTGTTTGCAAAACTTTATAATAGGGAAAAAAAAAAAAAAAAAAAAAAAAAAAAAAAAAAAAAAAAAAAACACACACAGTGGCGATCAAATCCCACCAAAAGAAAGTGGTGTTTGTGTGAAAAAAGATAAATGTCATGGGTACAGTGTTGCATGACCGTGCAGTTGTCAAAGTAAGACAGCGCTGAAAGCTGAAAATTGGCCTGAGCAGGAAAGGGGTACAAGTGTCCAGTAGGCAAGTGGTTAAAGGGGAGCTCCAGTCAAATTTAAATAAATAAAAGTCAACAGCTACAAAAACTAACTGCTGACTTTCAAAATACAGCCACTTGCCTGTTCCTCACTCCAGTGAAGTCCTCACAGCAGCCAGTTTCACTGGCCATCCTCTGGCATCTTCAGTGTGGGCACCTGGCTGTGACAGCTTGTGGCTTTACAGCCAGGTAGCCACACTGAAGATGCAAAAGTAGCGCTGCGCTTTGTGAATGGTCCCATAGTCTGGGACCTGTCACGTATCCCAGAAGACTATGGGGAGGGAGGACAACTGCCGCTTCCAATCGCCTAGGCAAATCACAGCAGAAGAGGGAGCGGGTAACTGTCAAATTTGGGCTCCCCCTCGCAACTCACACTTCCCAAAAGGTGCCAATCCTTAAAACGGAGAGCAGATAAAGCCTTTAAGTGGAACTTTCCCTTATGGGTGGAGCTGTGCTTTAAGTCAAGCACATCCACTAAGAGCAACCATGCAATCCCAAAACACATCAGCACTGCTCTACTCTTCAGATATCACAACGCCCAACTTTGCACATCATGGATTTCCCCTGCAAAAGAAAACGTGCTCGGAAAACCAGACCAAATTTCCAGTGTGAATGCTTTACCCCGGTGCCATGTTTAGAGAATGCGCCACGATTTAAAGTTTTGTGACCATGGTATATTTAATCCTAAAATAATCCACCAGCCTGCTTGTGCAGGTCACCACTTCTTGCTGGTCCCATTGTGCACAAGGGCTGATCAGAGTGCTACAGTACAAGTCCCACCACAGAATGCCCTAAAGGGCACACACCGAGATACCTGGGCTGGAAGCTTGCGCTGCCTATGCTAGTACCTGTCAAGGGGGTGTGCCACTTCCAGACATGGCCATCACAAGGCAGAGAAGGGAAACAAAGCCACCTCCTTCCCGTACCAAGCAAGGGTCTACCAGAGAAGCCTACCAGCTGCTCCCAGGCAAAAAAAAAAAAAAAAAAAAAAAATTCCCTCACCCAGCTCCAGGCAATGCATCTCCTCCAGAGGGAGGAAACACTTAAAACAGACTAGTTTGGCAGAAACTCTTTTTAAAGTCTTTGGTGATGCGTTTCCTGTTAACAGGAGGTATCTATAGCACACATGCTGTCACAGAAGGCAATTTTAGAAATGTGCAGTAGTAACTCCTCACAACTCACCAGTGAAAGATGGCTTCTGCTTGGTTACTACACACAAGTGTAAATCTATTGAATCAAGTGGTCATGCAGGTTACCAGTAAATACATGGCCCAATGTGTTAACCACTATCAACCTACCTCAGCTTTTCTCTTCCTTACAGCAATTCCAGACGGACATTGGTTTTCAGTGTCTGCGTTTCCATTTTTTGCTTGTAGACGACCACTGTAATAACAAAAACAAAAAAGTTAATTATTTACTTTAGTTATATGCTAGACTTGGCTACAAGAGATACACCAACCCAAACATCAACCAGGTGACTTACTAGCTGTATAATATTTGGCCAACAAGGCACAAGTTCTGCCTGTTACATAAAATCTTTGAATGTGCAAGAAAGTTATTTAGTAGTCACCAGGTCCTTGTTATGTGAAAACACATCAATGTTTCATTATACATTGCTCTGACAAAACACACAAATGTATGAATCTGATATGAGACCAGCCTAAAGCTCTGGAACACTAGAAACTTTGCCAAGAATAGGCTGCCAGGCACAGAGGAGAGTCATCTAGCACATGGTAGTGCATTGCTATAATGGAGTTCCATTCAAAATGAATTGCTCTGCAATACAAGATGTGCACGGTGCATTATCCCATGTTTCCACAACATAAAAAAGGTGTAATACGAACATTAAACCACCCCCATCATGTGTTTGGACATGTGTCGTGTGTCAGGTAGTTTAAAGCATGGCTATACATTGAGAACACACATGTGCAAAAGTAGGCAATCGCTTTCAGTGAAGCGGTCCTTTGAAAATACCTCCCATCCCCCAAAGCGACTCACAAGCAAATCCTGACCACCATCCTGCTCCTTGGTTTGTGCAGCCCAGGTTGACCCCAGGTCCTATAAAAAGTGTATATGCATGCCCTGGCTCCATTCTTTCCTATAGATGGTCTGTAATCAAGTCAGCCCCCAAGCCATAGCACAAGTGCTCACTAGACATAGGACCTGGTTGAGATCTATTTCTTGCAATCGAAGTACAGGGCTGCATGGTGAAGGGCTAGGGAACAGGAATGAAGATACTCAAGTGTTTTAGTGTGTGGGCTACACTCAGGAAGGTGGGATATATTTAAAAGACCGCTTCACTAAAAAGGAATTGAATACATCTGCATGTTCTGGGGGTGCTTCACGAGGCAAAGACGCACGGTAAAGAACTCTGGGTATGAAGGTATTGTAGCATAGGGGCTACATACCACAAGTATATAGGACAACTTCACTAAAAAATGAAAAGTGGTTGTTTGACAGAGCTGAGAAACCTGGGCCTGGTTCAGTCTGGCTTACTATAGTGTGTAGGCGTATTTGCCTGCACAGGGGTTCCATGCAGCCAGTCTCTTTCAGGTCAATTGGGACACAGTAGCTGCACAGACACAGCCCCTGCTTCCAATGTGACATCTGTGTGGACAAACAGTCCTGGCACAGGCGTACACTACAGTATGCCCATGTGAACGAGGCCTTAGGGGTCTGCTGTACCGTGTATTAGCCAGCCTTCTGGGTTCCCTGTAGCACACTATCTAGTACCAAAGATCAACCCCCAAAACTAGTGTCTGGGCATGATCACTGACCTGGCTGTACCAGAGAACAGGACAGGTTCACTTCAGACCTGAACAATGTTTAGAAAACCATTTCCTGGCCGAATGCGATACAAAACAATGCGAAACGATGGTCAAATGTGATACAAAACAATGTGATACAAAACAATGTGATACGATGGCCGAATGTGATACAAAACAATGTGATACGATGGCCGAATGTGATACAAAACAATGTGATACGATGGCCGAATGTGATACAAAACAATGTGATACGATGGCCGAATGCGATATACAAAACAATGTGATACGATGATACGAATGCAATATACAAAACAATGTGATACGATGGCGAATGCGATATACAAAACAATGTGATACGATGGCCGAATGCGATATACAAAACAATGTGATACGATGGCCGAATGCAATATACAAAACAATGTGATACGATGGCCGAATGCGATATACAAATGTGATACGATGGCCGAATGCGATATACAAAACAATGTGATACGATGGCCGAATGTGATACAAAATGAGATATGATGCAGTGGAGAAAACATAAAACAAATTACCTTCTTCTTGACATTATTCAGAAATGAGGAACAGCCTGCAAAACACAACAAAACAAGTGTTACTTCTGATGATGTTGTACACAATTCTATATATTGTGATGTTACACAGACATGTATACACATAGGGGTTCCTGCACATGGTGGACAGTATACTGCTGGGGAAGGTGCATAGAGTTGCATGATCCTGACCCACAGAGAAGTGCGCTGGACTAGTAAACACACAGAGGTGCCATTCATTTGCAGCTGCCCTGTGCATGTGTTGCTGACCTCCCCCTACAGAAGTCATGGTGATGGTGGTGCAGACTGACCCTGGCCCTCATGATGAAGGTGGGGCTCATTCTGTGTATAGGACTCGTCCTCATCCATGATGGGCTGTGTTTACCAGTAAGACGATTCCCAGATGTTCCATGGATCCCTGTGCAGGCAGTCGGGACACAGAAGCTGCTCCCAATGTGAAGTCCATGCACCCCCGCTGGAAGCAGCTGCTGTATCCCAACTGACAGGAATGGGCTCCCTGCATGTGGATGTACAAAACAGGTGTGAGGACCCATGGCAGTAAACCTGGCCCTGCATGGGGCATGATTAAACCGCCATGTGAACGAGGCCATAGAAGGTGAGGTGCAGAGCAGACCATTGTACTCTGGGGCCCACATGCGGCAGTAAAATCAGGTGGTTGAGCAGGAGCCGCTGCAGTTATACCCCCCCCCCCCCCCCCGAATTCTAAGGCCAGGAGTACACTGGTGTGCTGCTGTGTTTTGGATCATTTAGGTGCATTCGATGGCTTCTATTAGAACACATTTTCATAAAAACATCAAAATCTTTCATGCGGTCTCTGAAAATGCACACCATTCCATACGAACGCACCTAAAAATGTGTGTAAAACAATCTCAGTGGGCCCAAAATGCAGCGCACTGGTGTGAACCCGGCTCATGGCGGTACACTTGTGGTGCTTCCCAACAAACATGGCGCTGCACACAACTAATGCCGTTCTATGGGCTGCCCTGCAATTGACGCAAAACGCACAACTTAATGGGTTAAATCAGGTTGTGAGGTGGCGATAGTCCACCCCTGAGAAGTGACCAGAGTGTGGAATGCTGCTCAGGAGTGGGGGGTCCCGGCCCCTCATGTGAATGAGCCCCATCCTGTACAGTATATACAGCCCACCTATACAAGTCATGTGTGCAGTATGTCTGATGATTGGTCACAACAGGACGTTTATGATAAAGAAAGAAAAATCTGAGGGGGTGTGTTCAGAATGGGGGGGGGGGGGGGGGGCAGACTGATTTTGGGGTCCGGGATGGGGGAGGGGAGTCTGTCCCCCCGGGGCCGCACACTCCCGCCATTCAGTGAGGAGATCCCACACCGCCCGGGCCCGGATCTCCCCTCACCCCCCCGGGGAGGACACACAGGGGCCCCGGGCTGAGCGGGCTTCTTCCGCGCCAATTTATCGGCGCCCTCCGCCTTCCCTCCAACGCCGGACTGAGGGGGCGGGCAACCCGCCCGGAGAGGAGTCACCCGGAATCCGCCTCACCGATATTGCCCGCCACATCCTACCCCCCTCCTGTCTACAGGGAACCCGACCACTCTCCCCCCTAAAATACAAACCCCAACATACCATCCATCCCGACTCCCAATCCATAGACATCACCCCATAACAGCACCCCCGCCAACATACCATTGATCCCGACATCACCCCAAAACTGCACCCCCCACAACATACCATCCATCTCAATCCATAGACAGCACCCCAAAACTTGCACCCCTGCAACTGGAGGGAGGCATTCACCCCAATACCAGCCCCCCGTACCCCTCATTCCACGCCGGGGGAGGGGGTGAGCCATTAACCCCTGCATTGCCGCCAATACAAGCCGCATTCAATGGCAATGTACACCGAAGGCCCGCATTAACCCCCTCAATGCTGGAGAGAACAGGTCACCTCCCCTCCCCCAATGAATAAGAAGTCTGCAGCCAGGATCAACCCCCAATATTGCCATGGGGGGGGCTGCTGTTTTAACTTAACCCTTCGAATGCTGCACAGCTTGCTCCCACATTTCCCACCATCTGCCCCCTCCCCCATACCGCCATCCTGGGGGGCAGCTGCTAGCTGAATGCCTGTTAACCTCCTCGCTGCTGGACAATCCTCCCCCAATCAATGATAATCAATAAGAAATCTGCAGCCAGGATCAATCCCCCCAATATCACTTTACACCCACCCGGATCAGCCCCCTGCATTGTACACCCAAATCGGTCTGGACACCCCCCCCCCCCCCCCCTACAATTAACCGGCTCAGTGCCAGCACCGTGTGCACAGCCCCCCCCCCCCAACTGATTAATCAGCATGCAGCCAATGTGATCGGGATCAGTATAATTAATACCATCCCCCGTCCAGGCCACGATCGGTGACCGGATACAATACGCGGGATCCCCGGCCCCACTCAAATACGACCCGCCCGCAGTCCCCGTGCAGTCTGGGTGTGGATGGCTCGCCCGGGGTGTAGAGGCCGCGATAAGGACCGGACTACTAATAGTATCGGATGGCATTGACTATCCTGTCGGCGCCCCGTACTCACCTCTCACACAACACTTCACTGACCGAGATCTCAGCTGATCAGCTGGCGCCAAGCCTCTATATACCGGGAGGAGGGACTGCGCATGCGCCCCGCCCCCCAGCCACAACCATACTGCAGGTGCCCCCCAGTGTCTGCTAGCCGAGGCTGGGGGAGGGGAGGCTTGTCACCTTACTGTTTTCCTGGATAGGGACACCCAGGTGTGAGAGGCTGGGGGAGGGGAGCCACTGCTCTGAGTATAGGGGGACATAGAGGGGTGCACAGTGCCTGGGGACTGGAGTACATCTACAGGGGGACATAGAGGGGTGCACAGTCCCTGGGAGGGCTGGAGTAATCTCCAGGGGGACATAGAGGGGCGCACAGTGCCTGGGGGCTGCAGTACATCTACAGGGGTACACAGAGCAGTGCACAGTGCCTGGGGAGGCTGGAGTACATCTCCAGGGGGACATAGAGGGGTGCACATTGCCTGGGGGGCTGCAGTACATCTACAGGGGTA